CAAACATCTTTCGAATTTCTCGTATTGTTTGGAAGATTGCAAGGTTGTGGAAAATTTTTCGCATTTGTTGTCTTATCTGAGAATAATTTTTAAAATTGGGAAAACTTTTCAGAAACCGAGTTGTGTCTCGCGTGTCCTTTTAACGTCGTCCAAGAAAAGATGAATTTGATGAATCTCAATTGAGATTTTTATGAATGCGATCGCAATTAAAAGCGCAATGACGAGGCTGTAAAGCACCCGAGTGTCTCGGAAATGACAATCGATATCATTCTACGATTCGAAGGAAAAAAATATGTGCGTTTTATTAGCAAATCTATATCACTTCGGAACCAAGAAAGATATTGATTGTTTTAAATTCCGAGATTAAGTATATATATCGCGAAAATTACTGACATTGCAGCGTTAAATGTAGCCGTAAATCCGCGTGTGTAGTGGAAATTGTTCAATCAAATGCATTTTTGCATGATGAAAAAACAAATAAAATTGACAAATAAAACTTTCGAGTTCGAGGCTCAAACAGGCAAATAATGAAGCCTGTTTCTTGCATTAGCGTCAAGCGAAGAATTTATTTAAACAGAATTGCAATTATCATATTCAGGGAAACTTTCGAGGATAGAAAATTAATTAAAAAGATTTCCACTACGCGAAGTGTAAGCTCGCGAGTTTGCGGTTTGTCCACAACATGTTAAAAACGTGTAAATAATCTCGAGAGATTTAATCAACTCTTCACTTTTATCATTTGTACCATACTTGGGCTTGTATATCTGGTTTTCTTTATTGTGTCGTACTTGTACGTGTTCTCTCTCTCTCTCCTGTCGACAGTTTCGCCATCACGTAATCATCATCTCCTTCTATTTCGAACCCGAATATCGATCGAATGTTAACATTCGTTGTACATATACCCTTTGTTCGAGACACATCATCTTCTCTCCATCTCACTTTGCTCTTTCTCTGTTTTTCTTTCTGTCTCTCTCTCTCTCTCTCTATCTTTCACTCTCTCTATTGTGTATATGTATATTTACTCCCATATTGAGAACACACATTGAACCAAAATATACATGTATTAAACGTTCCTTTTCTCTTCCTTCCTCTTCTCAATCTATCTATCTATCTTATCTCTATCTTTTTTCTCTTTCTCTCTTTCACTTTCTTTATATATATTTATATATATATATATATATATCTTTCTCTATCTCTATCTATATGAGTCTGAGTCCGTATTATACTTATATTGCCTTACTATAAGGATTGGACTGAAGGTTCTCTCTGTGTGATTTTTTGATTGACCGATTTTGGTTTCTTTCTCGTATTTACAATATGTATACATATCATTCTATGTATTATTTCCGTTTTCTTGTTTATTTCACTAGTCGAATTAATTAGGCACGTTCTGTACATACTTGTGGCATGTCGGCATGTGAATATGTGTGTGCACGTTACATGTACATAGAATATACGTACATATATATTTATATATGTACATATCTTCGTATGTGTGTGTATTCTGGCGCGTAAACACGCATGCGATTCTCCTTTGGGAGACAGCATCCCTATACCGCGTTTTATTTAATTTTTTTTTAACCCACGCCTTCAAAATGCATGTTACATTTTGCGTGGGGTCTTCCGTTACCTCAAAATAAAAAAAATCCGAAAGGGATTTCGACGTCATTTGTGCGGGCATCGACGAACGATTACTCTCGTTTACACTAAACCGTTCGTAAACCGGCGAATCTCGGTAAGAAATACGATTTTATTCCTCTCTTTCTCTATGTAACTGCGTTATTATTATATCTACATTTTTGTGCACCTCGATCATCGGCATGGGCACAACAATCTTCATGTTTTACTTCATAAATGAAGAGATTTGTCAAACATCAGCGGATCACATCTACGTAAAGTGATCGCATCCTTTTCTTTTTAGCGTTGATGTCATGGCGATATTTTTTGTCGAGAACTGGAAATGATGCTGCGTTGACGAAAATGTTTTTTTTTTTTTTTTTCGATATGTAAATAATTTTTTTAATTGATTAGAGAATCGAAAAATTTGGCAAACTCATCTCTTCAGCAATATTAATTAAGTCTTATTACTCGGACAAAGGACTTTTAACGAAATGTCAAAATTGCGAAATAATGGAATTAAATTTGAATAAAAAATATAGGAGTTTCAATTTTTGGACAAACACAATATCGCCAAACGCTACAATTAACTTCGTGTATGCACTTTGTAATTCATCTGCCCGGACATCATAAAAAAATGTGACGACTTTTTGGCATTTTTCAAGGGAATCATATCGTTTCTATCTATTCGATCGTACAAGAATAGAGTATTTTTCAATCAGTTGCGACTTTGCCGCGCTGCAAATTATAATTATAGGTTTTTGTGTATATTTAAAAATTGTATTCGTGATTATTTCTCGCGCTGCACTTTCGCGATGCAAGATGATCGACGCAAAATCCTTTCGATCGAACAAAGTCGATGCCCGAGCGATGCGTCGTGCGTTCTCCATTGCTTTTTCGTACGGAAATCCGTCATTAGACGTCGATCATGGATGATACGCGAATATATCGTATGTAAATGAAAGGTCGGTCGGGGTAAAGAAATTCCTTTGTGAATATTTGATGCGACATAAAAATCGTAAAATAAAGATCTCGCGTATCCCGCTTTTATGACGCTTTTCGCACAGCGCGTTGTCCGAAAAGCATCGTAAAAGATGGTTGTTTTTTTTTTTTTTTTTTTTAATTCTTTTAATCTTTCAAACAGCTTTTCAGATATATGTGCTTTCACGCTTTCGCGATTTACCCTGATTTACCGCGCATCCGCGAAATGACGTTTGCGAAGCGAAAAAACTCGAGGAGAGCGACGAAGAATTTGTTTTCCACCCACCCGCGGTTCACACAATATGACCTCTGACCTCGAATTTTTGATTTTTGGTTTCTCTGTTTTTTTTTTTAAGTTGACTAATACCGGACAGCAATCGATGCCAAATGTAAAAGAGCCCCAAACGAGTACTGACTTGTAACACGCACAACGCACGCACAAAACGTATAACTGACCGCAGGTAACTATCTAACGGAATTAATCATATTTATGTAATTATGCCTTATACGATTGTGTGCCTTTTTTTCGTTTCACTTATTACGATTCACGACTCATCATTGCGCTCTCTCTCTCTCTTTCTCTCTCTCTCTCTTTCTCTCTCTCTCTCTCTATCTCTCTTCTCTCTCTTTTTCTATCTCTATATATCTCTTTCATCCCATCTCTCTTTCACTTTACTTTCTTCATACTCATCGTATTCTGCATTTTCGTAATATATGCTCATATTCATATATGTCTATTATCACTCATCACATCATCACGTTTCATCAAATCGTCTCTCTTCACCGTTCTATACTCGCATGCACATTATTCGCACATATCACGCACATATCACGCATGACATAGAAGAAAAAAGACAAAGTTCGATCTTCCGATCGTACGATCATGGCGTGTCGAAATGCGTCCTGGTGCTGGTTGTTTTCGTTTCATTGTTGCAGACATTTTTTCACGCTTGATCAAACGTTTTACAGTAAAGAAAAACAGCAGCACAAAAACGCAAAGTCCAATGTTTCGAATTGCACACTTGAAACTTAATCAAATTAATAAATAATTAATTAAAGTAAAACACTGACTTAAAAATTTTTATAAAATATCGCAGAGATCATTCTTAAGGGAGGACGTACCGAAAAAATAGCCCTATATTTATGAATTTCTCAGAAAGGGTATTGAGATTATCAAAATGGAATTTTTATAGAGTAAAATTGTTATTGAAAAATCTTTGCCGTAACGCATTTCGAAAATTCATAATTGTAAAATGACACTTATTTGAATATAAGAACGAATTTTTTATTAATCATTTTGGCTGTTAAAAGAGCTAAGGTGTTTAACAAAATCCTACGACAGACTAGATTTAAATGAACCATATGTAGATTGTATATTTGGTACCGTAAAACGCAACAGCATCCGACGTCAGCAGCAATATCTGTCATATTTTTTAATATTTTTCAATAAAAATTTAACCTTATATCACTAAATATACAGATCGCATAGACTGATAAAAACCCCATTTTGATAATCCTAATAGTTTCTAAATATAGGGCTACTTTTTGATGGCTCTGGGTGTACGTCCACCCTTAATCCTATGAAATCCTATATACGAAAAATGCTTAAAATAAGATAAAATGTTGATGAAAAAAGAACAATGCTTTGTGGATAAAATGGACTTTACGTGATCCATGTTTCGAATATCATCTCTCTTTCTCTCTCTCTCTCTAATTCACTCTTTTCGCAATTCATCTTTCATCTTTTTTTCAAACTCATTTGGATCTTCGCATCGAGACGCCACTTTCTACGATCATCGCTCTCGTTGTCAGAAAAAGCATCCGCAGCGACAGCACACACTAAATGAATGTATTGTAATAAAATATATTTATATACTACTACAATGTACGAAATCTGTACTTACCTCCGGTACTCGTCTGCACCATCTCGTTGAAATGTAAAAATGTATCTCTCTGTACATACGTAAGTCAAGTGTACATACACATATATAATCGATGTGCAATTTTTTACGAAATTCTTTTCAAACGTTTCTCACACTCATATATACATCTCTGTGTATCTATATATGTTAATCACAATCTAAATCTACACGTGTAAGTATCTATACATGTATATTATCGCTGTGTACTTTCTTATTCACTCTCGCCTGACTATCGACGTCGTGACACCTCTACAAAGGTACGAGAGGCAAGTTTCCATGATCGCGTTCAGGATGCTTCTTCTGACAGCTAACTGACAACGAGAGCGTACCAAACAAAAAAAAAAAGAGCACGATACTTCCTCCCGATGAGCGTCGAGGAGCGTCGCGCCAGCGAACCAAGAAGAGAGACGTGGGCTGGCGCGACGTTACCTCAGAGGCAAATCCGGGCCGAGTGTTGATTCGACATATCTGAACGAACAGGCAGCTGCCCCTGTGCCAGCGGAACGCACTGTCGTGGGGTCAGCGAGCATCCTCGGGGGAGGGAGCCACCCTCACGAGTCATCCGCCGACCCTCAGCAGCGTCCGGAGAACGCACTCGACGCTCTGCTAGACGAGCTGCAAACCTTCTCGCGACCCGGCTCGCAGTTGGGACACGTGTCTAGCAGTCTGTCGGTGCACCCAGGCTCGAACGTGCTCCTGGCTGACATCGGGCGCGCTTCCAGCCTACGGGAAACGAGCAGCATCACGGCTTCATCGGGCACCACCAGCACTCGTCCACCCAGCATCAGCGACATCGGTCGAAAGGGTAGCGTGGATTCGTCGAGCGGCCCTCTGACCGCGGTTCCTACCGTCATGGTGGGTCTACCTGGGATGGCCCCGGGTGCCAGCGGCACTCTGCGTCGTCTGCATTCGTACCCGTCGAGCTCGGACACCGACACTTCGCCGCCCATCGCCAGGTTGCAAGCGTTGTCGCTGCAGGAGCAACAATCGTCGCAGCAGCAGCCTGCGGTGCTGCCGCAGGCTTTCCTCCCCGGACAGAAACCGCCGGTACCGGAGCGAAACGTCGAGCTGTTGCAGCTGGCGAGTGCCAGGAGAGTCCCGCCGCCACCGCCGCCGCGCACCAGCTCCCGATCACCTCTGGCGAGCCCGACCAGTCCCCAATTGCCGCCTAGGAATCATCCGTGTAATCTGCAGAGCGGCAACGCGACCTTACGTCGACCCGCAACGCGCGGCGGAAAACCGCCCATGGCTCTACCAGCGGATTCCACCGCGACGGAACAGGTCAGCGGAGACCGGTCGGCGCCGCCGAACCTCGCTGCTCCGACGCACAACTCGTCGTCCTCGCAATCCTCCGCGGTACTGTCCACCAGCAACTCGAGCTCCTGCGAGAGCGTCAACTCGCAGGAAGGTCTGCAGAGCAAACGCGGCAGGCAGGAGCAACTGGAGCAACGGCACCAGGAGCTCCTGCGGAAGCAGAAGGCCCTGCAAGAACAGTACGCCAGATTACAACAGTTACAGAGAAACGCAGCTGGTCTCACCACCGTCCCACCTGCGCCGCCTGATCTCCTGAAGAAGACCGGCTCCGAGAGCAATCTTCTGGCGAAGATGGGTCTCGGGTTGAGCGCCGCGAGTTCCGGATCCCTCACCAGTCTCAGTCTCAAGCCGCAGATGGTCTCGCAGGAGGCTATTATCGTCGATGGGAATCAAGTGAACAAGATCGAGATCACCAATGGACAGATCCTGCCGGTTACCTCCGCGGCGACGACGACGACGACGACGACCGCCAACCAGGTCGTCCCCGTGGGCATCGCCACCTCCACGACGGTGTTGTCGGCCTCGACGACCACCGGCTCGGCCACGACCGTCACCACCACGTCCACTACGACCACCAGCAAGGTCTACGAGACGGACATTCTGTGACCGAGAAGCCGCTCGCTCATCGGCTGCTCGACCGTCAAGGTCACCGCTGAAATCGCGCTGGCGAGTAGTTAACACGGTGAAGTCGCGAGACTACTGTATCGCGCGATCCTTCATCCTCCGTTGGAATTGTAGTCGTGGAGGCTGCGATCAAATGGGAAAGGAAGAAAGGGACAACGTAAGGAATTGGTAGAATTATAAGAAGACCAAACGGGGACGCGGAAGACAAGGAGAGGAAGACGACTTTTCCTCCAATCTTCGCCAACATACCTATACGCGTAACATCTAACTTGCGAAAGTAGAATAAAGCGTAGAAACTTAGCGCGGGAACTACACGCGTAAGAACATAATACCGCACTAAATACTATGGCTAACGATAACATTAATAATCGTAAAAAAAAAAAATAAAAAAAAAAAAAAAAGAAAGAAACGATCGACATTTTTTTTTGAGAAAGCGAAGAAGAGAAGACGCGGCGTTAGGGGTCGTTGAATTTTGCACCTTCGCACGAGCGATGTTCAATGCGCCCATGTGAACATAGACAGGTCTTGCCCTCGCTTGCTTGGTCTCTCGAGGGTTAATCTTTCCCTTCGACTTTCGAAGACGCCGAAATTCTCAAAATCGATCCTTGTGTACACCTCGCTCTTCGTATAGACGTCTCTGTGCCAAAATACGAACAAAAACGCGATACTCGCGTACTTTTTGAAGACTATACACAGCCGCCAGCCGTATAATTGAGCCGGCTCTTCGTTCTTTCTTCATCGTAGTAGGGCGAGCGTAAAACACCGTCAAGATTCTACGTAGGCGAACCATCACATATAAATATTATACATAATATACATACGTGTATATATATATATATATATATATATATATATATATATAGTATATATATATATATTATATACATTATAAATATATACATACTATATGTACGCGTACGCGGACGGGGAGATTTATATAAATATATACACATAAGTGGATAAAAAAATAGATAGATAGTATATGTATACACGAGATATACTGTGCAATCTTCTCTCGTAACACATATGCATACGTATACATTCGCGCGTCGTTAAAAAATGCCACAAAACGAAACGGGAAGACGAAATGACACATTTACGCGTTTCGTACACGATGACGACGGTCCTAACGTGACTTTTATCGTGCTTAGAATAATTGCTACCGTACGTGTGTGTGTGTATGTATACACAATATATACACACACATCCAGCCGCATTTACACATATATAAATAAATACACATATACAGGATGCGTAGCGATATAGGCGATCGACGTTGATTATTCCTCGTTACCGGCAAAATATTTACGGGTGGCACTTCACGCGAGAAAATATTCCGAGGGTATACAAGGAATCCAGGAAGGTATACGAGACATCTTACAAGTTGGCAGAAAACTCGAGAGATCCAACAAACAGACCGGAGTAGTATAAATTTCAACATCCACGTCGTACAGCGATCCGCTCGTAAAACGCAAAATATCCAAAGAATATATTATATATTCGCGTGATCTGTCTAGCGACTCCAAATTGCATCGACACAATATATATTTTACAATTAATTACCAATAGATTATTTGATAGATTATCGCATAGTAATACTTAGGATCTCATTTCATTCAATTAAGAAAATGTAGAGTATTGTTGAATAAAACTTCACTTTCAATTTCAAATTCTTGAATTTTAAATAAATTATAAATGAAACAAATGTGTGCGATTATAAATTTATGTATGCGATTTAAAGTTTGGTTGATTCTGACAAAGCATTATGATATAGTATCGATGCAACTGGGCTATTCGCTACCCTTATTGAAAAACAGTGCGATTAATTATTGGAATCGAGAGGCAAGACGCGCGAAAGACCTGTCGGAAAACCTTTTGGCGGGCAAAGAAACGTCATATGTGACATGCGTTAGAAAGAGAATATTGCTCAATATTTACCAACCCAAATAACGCGGCGACGCTGCTACGATTTTGCAATGAACGCTGCAGCAGCGTGCACCCTGCGGATTGGATTATTTGGACACGATCGCACGATTATTAGCTAATTATCACACGTTGCGCGCCACACAAGAGGACATCGCTTCGTCCTGTTCTTTTTCCATCGTCGAAAATCGAATATGTGTTTGCGGATTCGAGTTGGCGGATCCTTTAGCGATATTCCCCTTTGTCATTTAAGATAAAAACTCGAATAAATTCGAAACATTGCGAGATCGATTGCGAGAACTTCGCGCGTCACTTTGGTCGTTTCTCGCAAGCGTGATTCGCGCTTTATATATTTTATTTCGCAGCTTAATTACTGCACAAAAGAAAGAGGCAAACTCGTCGCGCGCCTTCCAATGTACATGTCCAAGATACGAAGCATCTGAAATGTTAAAGCGAAATCGCGCAGCTTTCGGATACCCCTTTTTGGGCATTTCGAATGAATTATTGGCGCTCGACGCAGTCGTATACCATGCTTCTCGAAGAAGGGCCTAACACATTCGCGTATTTATTTTGTACGCTTTATTCCTCATGTTTTCGTTAGAGCAAATGTTCATCGAAACTTGCGTCGTAATCCTCGGATGCGTTTGCATTCAACTTGGCGGTATATGGATTCCTCGAATGAGATTATTGTGATCGATATACGATCAATGCTTTTTGCATTTGTTAATATCCAGCGAATTGTTAATTATAATTAAATGCGTTGCCAATTATTAATTGGAAAGTTTAATAGGTTCGCTGGTTAACGAGAATCCTTATAGTTATAGTTCCACAACGATTGACAAAAGAATCGATTTTCTATATTGATAATTATATAATTCTCTTTCGTAGATTATAAAAATTTATTTTATGTATTTTTGTTGTGTTAGAGTGAGGAAAAAATTAATTAGAAAGTATTAATAGATTATTAGGAGTAAATTATGCATGCTATTACAAAATCGAAAATTTTGCTAATATCGCAGAATAGGATTAAGAATTGAAAAATATTTTACACACACATTCTTTAATTTACTAATAATAAGTATATATTTATATAATCTCGCGAGCGATTAATATTTATTTTATGATTGAATAAGAGCGAAAAACAAGATTGTCGCTTATACAGCTGATGTGAAATAACGCATCCGGGGATTAAATATGCAGCGAGATGTATAAAGATCTTATTTATTTTCCACTGTCATACAAGCACACATGTCTCTATAGGGAAATCATAATTACTTACAATAAGAGCACACACACACACACACCCACACAACACACACGCATACACATATTAAGGATAAGGCGAACGATAATGATCGATAACGAGCATTTACTTGCGAGTGCTCATCATGTATCGACACGAGATCCCACGAGAAGAAAAAAAATACTTTTTTCTCTCGTTTTTTTAATTTTATCTCCACATCGGATTTGTATAATTGTTACATCGCGCTTATTGTAGGTACTTACGCCACACAATTATATATTGCATTTACTGAAAGCTATACTTTGAACGGTGCATTTTCGTTCGCGGCGTATCGTAATTAGAGCTAGAATTATATTTGTTATCGAAAAATACGTTTAATCGCGCTCGCTAAGTATAATCAATTTCCAGATCCCTGTCCCTCGTCCCTTCTCCTTCCTTTTAATCGTAAACGAAGCGTTTCGGACTGAAGGTGCGCGCTGTCGATTCGCGTAAATCAAACGCGGATCGTTCGTAATCGATTATATGTTTTTTTTTCATCTCCGTTCTCTCTCCCGTAACGCGATTAGCGAGAATCATTAGTGTAATGTTTTCTGATGATCCTGTACGCCAAATCGAATTGACTTGTTACATTTGTAAATGTTTGTAAGTACTACCGTACGTATAATAAAATAATCGAGTAATAATCATCGAATTATCCTGACGACCACCGTTTGTCTCTGTTATCCATCGATTTATTCAACCTTACGAACAACGAATAAAAGGCAAATCATGATATACCCTGTAATGCAGTCCCATTCTTATTCTACAGGAATAAGAGACTCTCTAATAAGGAGAACTTCCTTCTCTTTCGGAGAAATTCGTCATGTAAATCTTTTCTTAATGAAGATTAAAACTAGATAGATAAATTATGGTATTAGATTGGTTTTTCTCTTATTAAAAGCCTTTCTGTAATTTACTCATTATCAATTTAATTTACAAATGTTCCTCATCTTCTCATAAACATTTTTCGAACAAGTATTATTTTGAATAATTCATTATAAAATTATACCAGGATATTTCGAATAATCGCTTTTGTATCATTGATCATTATCATACCATAGATGGAACGACGTAAATCAATAAGATAATTATATATAGAAATACTAAATTTATTGGTTTATATTTACACTTTATCAGTTTCTGAAACCACGTGCGCCTGTTTAATACCTTCCTCCACGATTTGACGTTCGTATTGCAATTCTTTATATGCTTGCAAGAGCTTCTCGATCGTACTTTTTCTCGACGAGTCTAGACGCGCATAATGCATGATAAATTCTACGTAATTCTTTTCTTTGCACTGATCGACCGCTGATTTCAATGTCGGATGAATCGTATGATAGAGACGTATCAGTATCACAGCGTCCTTAATCCGACCATTTTCGATCATCTCGCACAATAAATTGTCAATATTTTTCGTCCACGCCAAATGAAATACCATTGGCCCAAAATGACGCGTAGATCTCAAATAATCGAAATGTTTCTCTTTGTTTATATACTCGTAGACTTCTCGTGTTATCGCCTGATAACTTGGGTCGTCAGGTTCAAACTGCACGCACGCTCGATCCAAAATGAATATATATTCATTGCGATCTAATAAGCTCTATGAAAAAAAAAAAATGTTATCCTAATATTAATCACACTATTATTTTATTTTTCTTTTTCTTTCTCAGAGCTGTTGTTCTTAACATGTGAATATCAGTAAATATAATACTATGATGTTTTATAATACAAGCTTTAAACAAAGTTTTTGTTATTTACTTACTTGTAAGTATTCGCCTCCAAACATTTTTGGTATCTCTATCTCCCTCGATGGTTTTGGGAAATAAATTTGTATAATCCTATCTCGCTCCTGTCCAGTGGCGTACCTCAATGTGCCTTCAGGTTCTCTGATCACTACAAATCTGTCTCTATCCTTGAGACCATATGTGATATCGGTGAACACATATTTAGCAGTATCGTGGTCTCTTAATGCAGGATCTTCACATAATGGTGCAGACGGATCTAATCTTTGTTTTATCACTGGTGGCATTTGCAGATACTTCTTTGCTTTATACTTCGCTACTTGCTTAGCCTCGTAAAGCTGCTCGTCTGTTAAGAATTTATACTCTGGTGGTTTGAGCCTGTGTCCATCTTTGCGAGTCCGGAAGACTTTGGTGTAATCCAAAGTCGTCAATCTTTTGAGATACGATTGAACGTATTTGTCGAAGAAAATTGGTGCCGGATCTCTTTCTGTCGGATCTATACAAAAATGATCATGATTATATTAAAATTAAATATTTGGTATAAATCTATAAATCTATATAATTGCACAAAATAATAATTGCATATAAAAAGCAAAGAATTATAGACTTAACCTCCATATTATACAATACTTAATAGCAATGTATACCTGTTTCAACGTTCGCTGATGCAAAATTACGACAATTGGAAATTACACGAGCATATGAGTGCCGCAGAAAGTTGTTTATACGATGCGAAAGCATGGTGATCCGCTCAATATGATAAAATAACACAAAATAATCCATGCAAAACTTAACCTCACTTTGTTTCGCGAGTTGCTCAGCTGTGCTTCGCCGCTTGTCACGTGACTGATTTTAGTTCATTCATATCCCGCGTAGCGGCGCTGAATTCGCTCTCGTGTCACGTGACAAAATACTGTGCCTAACCCTAACCTTTAAAACGTGGTCCACGTGAGTCAATGAAATATTAAATTCATTGATACACGCGAAATTTCTTTATATAAATTGCACAGTAAGTATGTGATAAATTATAATTGCAATAAAATATACGATAAAGATTTTTCAAATTTATGTGCATTAATAAATTCAATATCTCAACAGAAATTCATGCTTAACCAATATTGTTAATCTAATATCCTTTTATGTTTAGAAAAAGAAAGAAAAGTTTCATTATTTGATTCTTAATTAATTCTTGTTATATTTATAGATGGAGAGTTTTCCCAGAGGTGGAAAAAAACCTGAAATTAAGAGATCATCAAATGTGGTGAATATATAATTTTATTCTGGTTACTCCTAAAATTTATTCGAATTTATAAAATTTAAAAACGCGAAAAGCATAGCTTTCTTTATTCTTTATTAACAATTTTTCTTTTTTAGTTCAATATCAAACTTTGGTATATATTTCATTTGAATATACATCTGAAATTAAAGAATTGATATTAATATTTTTTTTAATTAAATTTCGTATACATACAGAAATTTATTTGTGCATTCATGTAAATGGAATTAATAGTATAATGTTTTTATTTTATAGTTTGATCAACAATCTAAAGCGAATAAGAAACAAAAACCTCGAAAGAAGAAAGATAACAATGCAAGTGGTAAAGAGATAAATCTTATTGCCACTGCAGAACGCTTATCTAAAGCAACATTACGTGAAGGAATGACAATTCTTGGCCGGATTTCTCGAGTGTCAGAATATGACTTAATTGTATCTATACCAGGTGGAATTTTAGGACGTGTAGAAGTCACAAATCTCAGCGAGTCATATACAAATCTATTGCAAAATATCATTAACACAAAAACCATCCAATCAAATGAATTTAAAGCACTACCAGATTTATATAATCCTGGTGATTATGTAGTGTGTTATGTCAAGAGTATAAATGTCCAAGGAAAATGGTTGTACAACTTATCTCTGGAACCACAATTAATAAATCAGAATATTCATAGCAGTTCTCTTGTAAAAAATACAACAATAGTTTGCACTATTAAGAGTATAGAGGATCATGGCTATGTAGTTGACACAGGCATAGCTAATGTTAGAGCATTTCTTGCTACCGAAAATGTAGATAAAGGAAAGCGTTATTGTAAGTATAACTAATATCGCATAATGAATTAATATTGTTCTGCTGTAGAAAATGATTTATACGTTATAAATTATTTAGTTCCAGGTAATCAACTTTTGTCCACAATAAAGGAGCTAGAAACAACAGATTATTCATCTGTCATTAAATTGTCAGCTAAGAAAAAAAAGATTAAAAATGTCAACATACATGATATAGTCTCTTTAGACGTTCTAACACCAGGAACAAAATTGTCCCTTTGTGTGACAAAAGTGCTCTCCAATGGTTTGCAAGTTACATTTGGACAAGATAACATTGGATATGTAAACCAAATTTATCTAGACAATCCTTTATCCACGTATGTAGAAAATATGGAAGTGACTGGTACATTGTTATATATATTGCCAACTGTGAAATTAGCTTACTTTAGTCTATTAACTGACGAATCTGAAAAAGAGAAATTAAGTAAAGGTGATATTATACGAAAGGCCAAAGTTTCATATAGGGAATCCAATGGAATCATTTTAAAGATATCCAAATCTGGACTACGTGGATTTGTTTCTTTTCCGAAAACCAATGTCCCGTTTGCGAAAATTCCGACCGAGTTTAAGCAAGATTCCACACACAAGTGCAGGATACTCGCCTACAATTGGATGGAACATCTTTATGTCTGCACAATGGAAGATGAAGTTTTAAAACAGAAATACTTTTCAGTTTCTGATCTTAATTGTGGAGATATTATTACTGTAAACATTACAGATATTGATACAAGTAATGGTTACATACATGTGCAAACAGGAAATATTTCAGGATTTATTCCACCGTTACACGTATCCGATAGTGGTTTAAGCGCATTAAATACATTGAAAATCGGAGATAGCATCGAGGCAAGAGTCTTGCAGCCCAAAATTTCCAACATGAATGTAATGTTTACGCTGAAACAGTCGCTATTAAAGAGCAAACTACCAGTCTTGCAGGATATACATGATGCGCAACGTGGATCGAAATATCACGGTACAATAACTAAAATAGATAAGAATGGTTTGTTGGTGAGATTTTATGGAGCTGTAAAAGGATGGGTGCCACGTACTGCGTTAAACAGCGATGCAAATAATATGAACTGGAATTATTCCATTGGTCAAACTATTACTGTACGTGTCAATTCTATAGAAAAGAATGAAATGAAATTACAGATTTTTATCGAGAAACAAAAGCAGCAAACCGTAAATTTCTCGATTGGAGAAATGCTCGAAGGAACAATCACAGAATCATCCATCAAAGGAGTCTACTTAAGAATACATAAAGAAAGTGATGACAACGTCACGACAGGCTTCTTACCTGCGGGTCATATGGCACCGTGTATCGAAATCGGCGGTTTAATGGCATCAAGATGTACTCCCGGAGATGTAATGTCGGCTCTTGTTTTCGCTACGAAGCCAGGTTTAATACTTTCCCGCACTTTTGTGTCGCAAAAACAATATAGGAGCTTCGATTTGTTAAAAATAGGCGATTGCATTCCATGTACAATCAGAGATATATCGCAAGACGGTGTGAGAGTCATCTTACCTATTGAAAATTATTCGAAATTAGGATTTGTATCTTACAAGAACATCAGTAATTTCGAACTATTGTACGTCAATCAAATATTATTCGTTAAAATCACAGGTATCAATAAGCGAGAGAAGTACTTGACTCTGTCGATGGCCTTGAAAGATGTGTGCGACAATTCGCTGGAGAAAGAAGTTAGAATGATGACAGCAGTGGATGTTTTGAGTTTATATCTCAACAGATTGTCGGAATTAGCGAAGAATACGTTTTACAAGAACAGACCGATTTCATCAGCAGTCTTGGGTCAAAAGATCACTGGCATTGTCGAGAAGATTACTGAACACGGTCTTGTGCTTCGATTAGATCACAATCATTTGACAGGAATAGTACGTAAAGATCATTATTTCAATGTGTATCAAGTTGGGGACAAGGTGTCTGGTACAATCTTGTGGAAGAACTACGTCCACGAACTCGTCGACGTCTCGTTGTTGCCAAGAATAATAAATAGCATCAGTTCAAAACAGAAAACTCTCCCGGAACTTCCTACTGGAGTTGTCCTGAGAGCTGAAATTTTAATGATTACCAAGTGGACGATACTCGTTCTCATTAAACGTAATGGTTCAGGATATTTAGCAGCGTTACCGGTTCGCCAACACATCAACGACACCTCTCCTGATTTAACGCCTTACGCGATTCACGCCAAGATTCGATTATATGTCATAATGACGAGAACCGAAACCGATTTCATTCCCGCCTGTATGCTAAAATCTGCGTTCGAAAGCAAAATCCCGAAAGACGTACCTGTAACTACGAAGAAATTGAAGAGAAAGGAAGCATCTGAACAATCCGATATAACGCAAAGGAACCCACCAGAACAAGTACCGAAGAAAAAGAGTAAGAAGGAAAATGTAGCTGAAATCAAAGAAGAAAAGGAAAGTAGAATAAAAGATATAGATGAGGATTCTGAATTGACTACAGATTCGTCAGAGAGTGAAAACGAAGAAGATCAGCCAGTTGCGAATAGATTACACATTCAGGAGTGTGGATTTTCCTGGGACGATAAGGCAAACGTAGCTGCTCCCATTGAACCGTCCAGCGATGAGGAAGAGGATCCTGAGGAGGAAGAATCTAAGCGAAAGAAGAAGAAATTGAGCGCAGCCGAGCGTCGAGAGCAGGAGCGCGAGAAGGAACGCAGGATCCGTCAACGAGAAGAAGCTCTGGCGAGTAATCAAACACCCAACTCGACGTATCAGTTTGATAAATTGGTTCTCTCGCATCCCAACAATTCCATGTACTGGTTGCAGTATATGGCGTATCATTTGCAAGCCACGGAAATCGATAAAGCGAGAACGGTCATCAAACGCGCCATCAAAACAATCAGCTTCAGGGAAGAAAAGGAACGGTTGAACGTATGGAACGCTTTGTTAAATCTGGAGTCCAGGTTTGGCACTCCGGAATCTCTGAACGACGCGTTTCAGGAAGCTGTGAGGACCAACGACGCGTTCAAAATATATACACACTTGTTGACTATACATGCAGATGCTGGTAGAAAAGTCGAGTTGGAAAAGTTGATCGACACTATGATTGGAAAATTCAAACAAAATCCAGAAATGTGGATAAACTGCGGTGCTGTTCTATTAAAAATTGGTCTGAAAGAAAAATCGCGACACATTATGCAACGGGCCATACAATCCTTGCCTGCATCTCAACGTAAGTGCAGTGTAAAAACAACTTGTATAATAATATAATATATATAATAATATATAATATAATATTATAAAATAACTTGTATTATTAACTGTATGTATACATTTTTTTACAGATGTGAATTTGTTGGTAAGATTTGCGAATTTGGAGAACAAATTAGGAGATAAGGAACGAGCACAGACACTATTCGAGCATATCCTTAGTTCTTATCCAAAACGTGTTGATGTATGGTCATGTTACGTAGACTGCTTAATCAAATCTGAAGACCTTGATCTGGCCAGGTAAAGATAATGCAATATGTTTCAAGCGTGAGAGAAAAATAGATTATTTTAATAAATGTTAAATATAAATATAATATTTTGTGTTTACACATTTGCAGGAGAGTATTAGAACGGGCGTGTGTCCAAACGCTTCCAGCGAGAAAAATGAAGACTTTATTTACAAAGTTTATAAATTTCGAAGAAAAGTATGGCACTCCCGAGGCTGCAGCTCGTATAATACAAAAGGCTGCAGATTATGTCGAGAAACAATGTAGTAGGGAATAAACCTTTGTTCGCAACTCGTTTTTGAAAAATCAGAAAAATACAAGGAGAAAATAATTAAAACGATGACATAAATTGTAATATTCTAAACAAAATTAAACTCGAAAATCGGAAAAATAACCAAATGTAATCACTAAATAATATAAATTGAAATTCCAAGAAGAAATAAATTCTCGAAAATGAAAAGTACGAGAAGAATATAATTAAATAAGTGCAAATCAAAATTCTAAGCTTTACAAATGTAAAGAATCTAACTATATTGTTTTTCTTTTGTCATTTACATTACAAACAAGCAATCAAAAATAATCGAGATGAATTAATTACTTTTATAACTTGAGTTGCTATACATTTTTTTAAATAATCAATAAATAACTCAGAAACAACTTAAAATAACAAGTGCGAGCAAATTATATGTTCTTAAAGAGAAACAGAAAATATTTATATAGCATGCACCAATTGGTCTGATTTTTATTTTATATTTATTCATTGTAAAAATATATATATATATATTGTATCCTAATCAGTGTCAAATTTAATTGCATTTATTAATTGTTATATGATTTCTATCTCATTGTTATGCTGAATAAAGATTAATTATTTTTTGCCAAAAGAATAGCCTAAAAATATTTTATAAAAATGACAAAAGAAAAGCAATATAGTTAGATTCTTTACACTTGTAAAGCTTAGAATTTTGATTTGCACTTATTTAATTATATTCTTCTCGTACTTTTCATTTTCGAGAATTTATTTCTTCTTGGAATTTCAATTTATATTTATCAAAAAACACGTGAATACGGAATGTATAATGAACGCGGTTTAAAATTTATTTCATCAATGTTTTTATCATATTATATTATTTCCAAGATTATCCAATAATATACGCATATATTTTTTTCGAGTATTATTTTACAATAAGTTGCACAATAGTAAACACAGAAAAAAGTATATTTAATAATAATAATTCATACACTTTATTAAAATTATTAATAATAATTTAATAATAATAAAAAGTGTTCGAAAAGTCGAAGAGGTTAGCGGCGATAAATGTCTCGGAAATGTTCGAAAAATCATTTCTGAGTTAACAGGAGAATATATTGTGCAAAGAGGTATTAGGAGTTCGCTATTAGGAGAATATATTTGCGATGAGGTCTCTTAAAAATTGACGGTCGGTAAATTACCATCGTTGGTAAGTTACCATCGTCTGTAAGTTACCATCAGAATTACCGACATCTATTTTCTGACTTACCTCTTCGCAAATATATTCTCCTAATAACTACCTCTTCGCAAAATATATTTTCCTGTTAACTCAAACGATTTTTCAAGCATCTTAGACGCATGACCGTATAATATACATGTGAAACATAACCTGTTCTAGATTTAATAATGCTAAATAATTTTTATGAATTGATACTTTTAAGTGAAAAATTGACAATAATAAAAATTACAACGTGTACTACAATGAATGTTGTTATTAACAATTATAATATTTAATCAGGATGTGAAAGAAAAGAAGAAAGAAAATACTGTAGATCAAAAGAAAAACAATGGTAAAAGGAGAGGAATAAACTAAAAATAAAGCGACTTCAATTATTATTGTAATATTACATTGCTAAAAAATGCCGGTTTATCAGGAAGCCGAGATAATTACATCTTTATATTATTAAAAATATATACAGAGAGATCAATATTTGTGAATTTTCAATATATTTTACATTTGTTTACTGACAAATATGAATAAAAATTAATATTTATTTAGCAAATCCAAGCACAAACTATTATTGTTATTCATCCTGGCTCTATGTATCTTCGTATGGGTCGTGCTTCTGATCTGAAACTTGTTACATTATTACATGCGGTGGCAAGAAGACGTTTACCAAATGGAAGAAAATACAAAGACAGTTTTCTGCCACCAGCTGTTATATTAGTAAGTATAAACATGTGTGAAATAGTGAAAAGATTTTTTTTATCAACATTGTTTTTTTATAGACAAAGGAATTGACACAAGCAATGGAAGAGTCTCGGCTGCAGGTATCGCATACTTTACAATCCTGTTTACAATCAGATAAAAGTTGAAGGTATGCAACTCCACTACAACAAATAGCAGCCTTTAATCGCAGATCCAGTCCAGAAGTCTCTTCTCCATGCAACATGAAATGGACAAATACTGATCATGACATAGTTGTTGGTGATGATATTTTGTCATTAGAGATCCAGAGGAAGAATCTAATTTTAATATTCATTTCTCTATAAAAGAGGTGAAGTCAACATACATGCAGGTCCAGATGGCAGTTTAACAGCTATCATGGCAGATTTAAAAACAATTTGGGAATATGTATTGACTGAAAAGCTGGATATTCCTTCGAGAGATTTAAAGCACTATCGTGCAGTGCTTGTTGTACCTGATATTTATCATCGACCTTATTTGAAGGAATTAACTACATTATTGTTGGACGAAATTGGTTTTGATCGCTGTATTCTGTTGCAAGTCAGTTTCTACTCATAATATTGCTAATATTTATTTTTACATATAATCTTTACACTAATAGAGTTTTATAAATTTCTTATTTTATTATATTTTTTATGTTTTATTCTAATCAACTGTTATATTTTAACAAATAATTTGAAATTGAAGTATAATTACTATTACATTAACAGGATCATGTAGGCGCGCTATTTGGTGCAGGTTTGGGTTATGCGTGTGTGGTAGATGTTGGAGCACAGAAGATATCAGTGTCATGTGTGGAAGATGCAATTTCTCATAAGAATAAGCGAGTACGTATGGATTATGGTGGTGCAGATGTCACACAGACCTTTTTCTGGCTTTTACAAAAATCAGCATTTCCATACAAATTGTGTGATCCTATTAACAAATTGGATGCATTGCTTTTGGACCAATTAAAGATAGATCTCTGTCATGTGGATTTAAATGTATGTGGCTCACAAGAGAAAACGTTTGTTGTTAGAAAGCCAAAACAACAAACAAAGACATATACCTTGCAGGTACCTTTTATATTCCCTCTTCTTATAAAAAGAAATTATATATTTTTCTTCTTATATGTGTAAATATTAAACTGTACTGAAATTTGTTCAACAGGTAGGAGATGCATGCTTAATAGCACCTTTGAGCTTGTTTCAACCTGAATTGTTCAGAATTACTGGAACTCATAATGTTCATGTTCAGAAACGATCATTAGGAGATCCAGAAGATCCTTATGATGAGAATTATTTAAGAGAAACGAGCGTAAGTGTTCATTTTTTAAAACAAATATATATGTTTAGTTAGTTTATTATTATGTAAAATTTTAGTTTAGTATTATGTAATTTTTTCTTCAAAGCATTATACTTATGTAAAAAAAGAATAGAAAGTAAGACCATTTATTTAGCACAGTATAAATTAAGTAAAATAAGCATTAAGAATGTATTTCTAATATTTATATGAAAACTTTAGAAAAAACGATATCTTTATATTCATCAAGTTCAGTTTTGACTATGTTTCTTTATTTTCATTAATTACGTTTAAATTTACCTCAATTAATTTCTTTTTCAGAGACGCGGAATAAAGGAATCTTTAAATCATTCATCAGAGATGCAGGAGGAAACTACAACTGTACCTACTACTGTGGGTGAAGACGAGGTTGTAGTCGACGCGGTTGGGGATTCCGTACCTAGTTTGTCTAATCGCGATTTAGAAGTTCCTCGAGATTTTGTGGTTCCACAACAATTATTAGGGCTTGATCAAGCCATATTACAAAGTATAGAACGATGTTATAAGTATAAAATTATTTATTTACTAAAGAAGAACTTATAACTCAAAGAGAAATAATTAATTTTATTTCCACAGCCAATGAAGATTTCAAGAGAAAAATGTATAGTTGCGTGCTAGTTATAATGTTATCGAAAAACACGTGAATACGAAGTGTATGAACGTGGTTTAAAATTTAAAATTTATTTTAATAATGTTTTTATCATATTATATTATTTCCAAGATTATCCAATAATATACGCATATATATTTTTTTCGAGTATTATTTTACAATAAATTGCACAATAGTAAACACAGAAAAAAGTATATTTAATAATAATAATTCATACACTTTATTAAAATTATTAATAATAATTTAATAATAATAAAAAGTGTTCGAAAAATCGAAGAGGTTAGCGGCGATAAATGCCTCGGAAATGTTCGAAAAATCATTTCTGAGTTAACAGGAGAATATATTGTGCAAAGAGGTATTAGGAGTTCGCTATTAGGAGAATATATATGCGAAGAGGTCTCTTAAAAAATTGACGGTCGGTAAATTACCATCGTCGGTAAGTTATCATCGTCTGTAAGTTACCATCAGAATTACCGACATCTATTTTCTGACTTACCTCTTCGCAAATATATTCTCTTAATAACTACCTCTTCGCAAAATATATTTTCCTATTACCTCAAACAATTTTTCAGACATATTTTGCTGCATTACTACCTACTACCTCTTCGCGAAATATATTTTCCTGTTAACTCAAACGATTTTTCAAGCATCTTAGACGCATGACCGTATGACATACATGTGAAACATAACCTGTTCTAGATTTAATAATGCTAAATAATTTTTATGAATTGATACATTTAAGTGAAAAATTGACAATAATAAAAAATACAACGTGTACTACAATGAATGTTGTTATTAACAATTATAATATTTAATCAGGATGTGAAAGAAAAGAAGAATGAAAATACTGTAGATCAAAAGAAAAACATAATGGTAAAAGGAGAAGAATAAACTAAAAAATAAAACGACTTCAATTATTATTGTAATATTACATTGCTAAAAAATGCCGGTTTATCAGGAAGCAGAAGTAATTACATTTTTATATTATTAAAAATATATACAGAGAGATCAATATTTGTGAATTTTCAATATATTTTACATTTGTTTACTGACAAATATGATTAAAAATTAATATTTATTTAGCAAATCCAAGCACAAACTATTATTGTTATTCATCCTGGCTCTATGTATCTTCGTATGGGTCGTGCTTCTGATCTGAAACCTGTTACATTATTACATGCTGTGGCAAGAAGACGTTTACCAAATGGAATAAAATACAAAGACAGTTTTCTGCCACCAGCTGTTATATTAGTAAGTATAAACATGTGTGAAATAGTGAAAAGATTTTTTTTATCAACATTGTTTTTTTATAGACAAAGGAATTGACACAAGCAATGGAAGAGTCTCGGCTGCAGGTATCGCATACTTTACAATCCTGTTTACAATCAGATGGAAGTCGAAGGTATGCAACTCCACCACAACAAATAGCAGCCTTTAATCGCAGATCCAGTCCAGAAATCTCTTCTCCATGCAACATGAAATGGACAAATACTGATCGTGACATAGTTGTTGGTGATGATATTTTGTCATTAGATCCAGAGGAAGAATCTAATTTTAATATTCATTTTCCCTATAAAAGAGGTGAAGTCAACATACATGCAGGTCCAGATGGCAGTTTAACAGCTATCATGGCAGATTTAAAAACAATTTGGGAATATGTATTGACTGAAAAGCTGGATATTCCTTTGAGAGATTTAAAACACTATCGTGCAGTGCTTGTTGTACCTGATATTTATCATCGACCTTATTTGAAGGAATTAACTACATTATTGTTGGACGAAATTGGTTTTGGTCGCTGTATTCTGTTGCAAGTCAGTTTCTACTCATAATATTGCTAATATTTAGTTTTACATATAATTTTTACACAAATAGTTTTATAAATTTCTTATTTTATTATATTTTTTATGTTTTATTCTAATCAACTGTTATATTTTAACAAATGATTTGAAATTGAAGTATAATTACTATTACATTAACAGGATCATGTAGGCGCGCTATTTGGTGCAGGTTTGGGTTATGCGTGTGTGGTAGATGTTGGAGCACAGAAGATATCAGTGTCATGTGTGGAAGATGCAATTTCTCATAAGGATACGCGAGTACGTATGGATTATGGTGGTGCAGATGTCACACAGACCTTTTTCTGGCTTTTACAAAAATCAGCATTTCCATACAAATTGTGTGATCCTATTAACAAATTGGATGCATTGCTTTTGGACCAATTGAAAATAGATTTTTGTCATGTGGATTTAAATGTATGTGGCTCACAAGAGAAAACGTTTGTTGTTAGAAAGCCAAAACAACAAACAGAGACATATACCTTGCAGGTACCTTTATATTCTCTCTTCTTATAAAAAGAACTTATATACTTTTCCTCTTTTATGTGTAAATATTAAACTGTACTGAAATTTGTTCAACAGGTAGGAGATGAATGCTTAATAGCACCTTTGAGCTTGTTTCAACCTGAATTGTTCAGAATTACTGGAACTCATAATGTTCATGTTCAGAAACGATCATTAGGAGATCCAGAAGATCCTTATGATGAGAATTATTTAAGAGAAACGAGCGTAAGTGTTCATTTTTTAAAACAATATATATATGTTTAGTTAGTTTAGTATTATGTAAAATTTTTCTACAAAGCATTATACTTATGTAAAAAAAGAATAGAAAGTAAGACCATTTATTTAGCACAGTATAAATTAAGTAAAATAAGCATTAAGAATGTATTTCTAATATTTATATGAAAACTTTAGAAAAAACGATATCTTTATATTCCTCAAGTTCAGTTTTGACTATGTTTCTTTATTTTCATTAATTACGTTTAAATTTACCTCAATTAATTTCTTTTTCAGAGACGCGGAATAAAGGAATCTTTAGATCATTCATCAGAGATGCAGGAGGAAACTACAACTGTACCTACTACTGTGGGTGAAGACGAGGTTGTAGTCGACGCAGTTGGGGATTCCGTACCTAGTTTGTCTAATCGCGATTTAGAAGTTCCTCGAGATTTTGTGGTCCCACAACAATTATTGGGGCTTGATCAAGCCATATTACAAAGTATAGAACGATGTTGTAAGTATAAAATTATTTATTTACTAAAGAAGAACTTATAACTCAAAGAGAATATAATTAATTTTATTTCCACAGCCAATGAAGATTTCAAGAGAAAAATGTATAGTTGCGTGCTAGTCGTCGGATCGGGTTTAAAATTCAAGGGTATTGGTACATGGCTTCGCAATCGAATATCTCTTCAAACACCTTATACATACAGACCTGGTAAGTACTTTTTTTTTTAAATACTTGTCAATCAATTGCATTATATTATGAACAGAAAATTATAAAAATATTTTTATATGAAATTATATGCATTAATATCTTATGAGATTTTATAGAATAAAATATAACATTTTTTTTCATGTAATTAATAATGGATAAAGCTATTAATCTGTCATTCTTTAAAAGACAAAAAATCGAGCTTTTTCGTATTATTATTGTAGAACAACTGGATATTATAACACAGCCAAAGGACATGGATCCTGGTATGACGACTTGGAAAGGAGCAGGAATTTTAAGTTGCTTGGAATCAGCGCAGGAGTTGTGGATCACTCGAACTGAATGGCACCGGTGGGGAGTAAGAATATTAAGAGAAAGATCACCTTTTTTGTGGTAAAAAACGATATCTGCTATTTATTATATTACTTATTAATAATTATATAGTACATAATATAATAAAGTCTAACACATAGTCTACAATAGAAGGAAAGATGGAAACACTCTAGAAATTCCCTTATTCACTATGATTAGTGATATAAAAATCCGAAAATTTATGCCTATTTTAATAACAAGGAGAATATTTCTCTTTACATCAATTTTGTAATGTTGATTTCCAAAACTAAAGTGTATCATACCAACGTTTATTTATTTACTTATCAAACGTTTATATTATCAACAAAATATTAATTTGTTTTTTTAAATTATTTTTCATAATTGGCAATTATCTGTATATACTATATACTAAATGAACTACTTTTCCTCAAAATTTATATTTTGTGAAGTCATCTGCTTCACTAGAAACATTTGCATACATCCTGTTCCAATGTTCTTCAATAAATGTGTCAATGCATATAATATTTATTTAAATAACAATTATAATGTTGCATTTTCACACATTTTTTAAATCAATATTACCAATATATTAAAAAAAGTATTTTTTTAAACAATATTATTACAACCAATATATAATTTATTGCGCTGCACCAACAGTAATTCATATTTGTAATTAAATATTTATTGGACGTATTATAGTAACTCAGTCATTCTAATTTTAGTCTTATCGTTACGGTGATATTGTACTATATCATTTTCTACTAGAAAATTTACATGATCCAAAACATCCGGTGAAACATTTACATAAACGTCATCTCCCCCTTTCATATAAGCGGATGTTAGTGCCTAAAATTATTCATATAATTAAATTATAATTATACGATTAAAATACAATTTTATATATTCATATTATTAAAAACTTTAAGAAAATATAGATTGCAGTTTATAAATAATTTTGCTTACTGCTAATAACTCTTTGAAGCTTTCATTGTCAGCAAAAATTGTATCAACCACAGTATACTGTAAAAAGAATTTAACAAATATCGATTTTTGTTTCACATCTTAGTAAAAGCACAATTTTATATAATAAAAAAATATATCAAACAAATTCCAAGTTTACATACTAAATCATTCCTCACTTCTTGAAATATACGTTTAGTTAGAACAAGTTCCTTCTCATAGGTTTTATTCGCAAAAGTCTCTGTCATATCCAAATAAGCCTCTTGCATTTTTTTGAGCCCCTCTTTTTTATTTTTCAAACTATAATAGATATGATGATGAAATTGATGTGATACACAAATTGCAATGAAATTTTTGCATTGTTATACTTACTATGTGATATCTTCCTGAATATCAGAAAGTTTTTGTTCTAGATTTTTGTGGAGTTTTTGCATGTCATAAATCTCTTTTTCCATTTCATTTAATACTTCAACTCGTAAATCAGATGTTCTTGGAATTGGATAATCTTCAGGTTCTACTTGTTCAATTTCTTTTAACAAGCTTTGATATAGCTCCTCTTGTTTTATTTTTATATCCTCAAGTGTACTTGATGATTTCAAAGAAAAGACTTCATTATTTGATATTTTATTTATTAAGTCTTCTATATTTTTTTCTTGCTTTATTTTCTTATCCATTAGCGTGTCTAAAGCGTCCTCTAATGTATATTCCATTTTAAAAAAAATAAATATGTATAGTTTAAACTGAAAGTCTCTTAACAAAATTCATCCAATTAGTTCTGTAATCCTGTAAATAAAATTTGAAATGTTACAAGAAAAGATAATATTTAATTAAAATTTTAATGACAAAATTCAATATATATATATATTTTAATTGAATTTAATTTTTATATGTATGTATATGTGTGTGAATATATATATATATATATATATATATATATATATATATATATATTCAATAAACTTTAAAATAGGTTAGGTTAGGATGTATACTGTATCTTTATCATGTTATTTCTATTTCAAATTAGCTACAAACAAGAAATAAATTAAATTTAAAGACATAACATACAAACATTAAAACGTATATATTATATATATCACATATTATTGCTAATATGAAAAAATATCTCACTATATATTTTTTGGCGGTTCTCTGATATCTATATACGGAATGTATGTACACACACACAGACACACACACACACACATATATATAATATACAAATATCTGAAATAAGAACGCTTCTTCCTTTGTTATTATTAAAATACTGTATAATACAATATTTATAAATCTTTTTCCTGTACAAATTAATTAAAGTTTATCTTATATTTTGTCGATAAAAAAAGAACATAATCTAGAAAGACAGGTTGAAGACATAAATAATCATCCAGTCAGTGGCGCGAGAAAAAAAAAACCGATAAAAAAAGAAAAAAAACAACTTCATGATTTTTCAAATTATATATATTTTATAATTTTAGGAATGTTTGTTATATTATATACATACATATAAAAATTAAATTCAATTAAAATTACATTAAATTCCCAATTATTAATGACAGTATTCACGTGTTTTTCGATAACATTTGCGGCTTTCTCAATTCATAAAAATTATTTAGCATTATTAAATCTAGAACAGGTTATGTTTCACATGTATGTTATACGGTCATGCGTCTAAGATGCTTGAAAAATCGTTTGAGTTAACAGGAAAATATATTTCGCGAAGAGGTAGTTATTAGGAGAATATATTTGCGAAGAGGTAAGTCAGAAAATAGATGTCGGTAATTCTGATGGTAACTTACAGACGATGATAACTTACCGACGATGGTAATTTACCGACCGTCAATTTTTTAAGAGACCTCTTCGCATATATATTCTCCTAATAGCGAACTCCTAATACCTCTTTGCACAATATATTCTCCTGTTAACTCAGAAATGATTTTTCGAACATTTCCGAGGCATTTATCGCCGCTAACCTCTTCGATTTTTCGAACACTTTTTATTATTATTAAATTATTATTAATAATTTTAATAAAGTGTATGAATTATTATTATTAAATATACTTTTTTCTGTGTTTACTATTGTGCAATTTATTGTAAAATAATACTCGAAAAAATATATATGCGTATATTATTGGATAATCTTGGAAATAATATAATATGATAAAAACATTATTAAAATAAATTTTAAATTTTAAACCACGTTCATACACTTCGTATTCACGTGTTTTTCGATAACATTATAACTAGCACGCAACTATACATTTTTCTCTTGAAATCTTCATTGGCTGTGGAAATAAAATTAATTATTTCTCTTTGAGTTATAAGTTCTTCTTTAGTAAATAAATAATTTTATACTTATAACATCGTTCTATACTTTGTAATATGGCTTGATCAAGCCCTAATAATTGTTGTGGAACCACAAAATCTCGAGGAACTTCTAAATCGCGATTAGACAAACTAGGTACGGAATCCCCAACCGCGTCGACTACAACCTCGTCTTCACCCACAGTAGTAGGTACAGTTGTAGTTTCCTCCTGCATCTCTGATGAATGATTTAAAGATTCCTTTATTCCGCGTCTCTGAAAAAGAAATTAATTGAGGTAAATTTAAACGTAATTAATGAAAATAAAGAAACATAGTCAAAACTGAACTTGATGAATATAAAGATATCGTTTTTTCTAAAGTTTTCATATAAATATTAGAAATACATTCTTAATGCTTATTTTACTTAATTTATACTGTGCTAAATAAATGGTCTTACTTTCTATTCTTTTTTTACATAAGTATAATGCTTTGAAGAAAAAATTACATAATACTAAACTAAAATTTTACATAATAATAAACTAACTAAACATATATATTTGTTTTAAAAAATGAACACTTACGCTCGTTTCTCTTAAATAATTCTCATCATAAGGATCTTCTGGATCTCCTAATGATCGTTTCTGAACATGAACATTATGAGTTCCAGTAATTCTGAACAATTCAGGTTGAAACAAGCTCAAAGGTGCTATTAAGCATGCATCTCCTACCTGTTGAACAAATTTCAGTACAGTTTAATATTTACACATATAAGAAGAAAAATATATAATTTCTTTTTATAAGAAGAGGGAATATAAAAGGTACCTGCAAGGTATATGTCTTTGTTTGTTGTTTTGGCTTTCTAACAACAAACGTTTTCTCTTGTGAGCCACATACATTTAAATCCACATGACAGAGATCTATCTTTAATTGGTCCAAAAGCAATGCATCCAATTTGTTAATAGGATCACACAATTTGTATGGAAATGCTGATTTTTGTAAAAGCCAGAAAAAGGTCTGTGTGACATCTGCACCACCATAATCCATACGTACTCGCTTATTCTTATGAGAAATTGCATCTTCCACACATGACACTGATATCTTCTGTGCTCCAACATCTACCACACACGCATAACCCAAACCTGCACCAAATAGCGCGCCTACATGATCCTGTTAATGTAATAGTAATTATACTTCAATTTCAAATTATTTGTTAAAATATAACAGTTGATTAGAATAAAACATAAAAAATATAATAAAATAAGAAATTTATAAAACTCTATTAGTGTAAAGATTATATGTAAAAATAAATATTAGCAATATTATGAGTAGAAACTGACTTGCAACAGAATACAGCGATCAAAACCAATTTCGTCCAACAATAATGTAGTTAATTCCTTCAAATAAGGTCGATGATAAATATCAGGTACAACAAGCACTGCACGATAGTGCTTTAAATCTCTCGAAGGAATATCCAGCTTTTCAGTCAATACATATTCCCAAATTGTTTTTAAATCTGCCATGATAGCTGTTAAACTGCCATCTGGACCTGCATGTATGTTGACTTCACCTCTTTTATAGAGAAATGAATATTAAAATTAGATTCTTCCTCTGGATCTCTAATGACAAAATATCATCACCAACAACTATGTCATGATCAGTATTTGTCCATTTCATGTTGCATGGAGAAGAGATTTCTGGACTGGATCTGCGATTAAAGGCTGCTATTTGTTGTAGTGGAGTTGCATACCTTCAACTTTTATCTGATTGTAAACAGGATTGTAAAGTATGCGATACCTGCAGCCGAGACTCTTCCATTGCTTGTGTCAATTCCTTTGTCTATAAAAAAACAATGTTGATAAAAAAAATCTTTTCACTATTTCACACATGTTTATACTTACTAATATAACAGCTGGTGGCAGAAAACTGTCTTTGTATTTTCTTCCATTTGGTAAACGTCTTCTTGCCACAGCATGTAATAATGTAACAAGTTTCAGATCAGAAGCACAACCCATACGAAGATACATAGAGCCAGGATGAATAACAATAATAGTTTGTGCTTGGATTTGCTAAATAAATATTAATTTTTATTCATATTTGTCAGTAAACAAATGTAAAATATATTGAAAATTCACAAATATTGATCTCTCTGTATATATTTTTAATAATATAAAGATGTAATTACTTCGGCTTCCTGATAAACCGGCATTTTTTAGCAATGTAATATTACAATAATAATTGAAGTCGCTTTATTTTTTAGTTTATTCCTCTCCTTTTACCATTATGTTTTTCTTTTGATCTACAGTATTTTCTTTCTTCTTTTCTTTCACATCCTGATTAAATATTATAATTGTTAATAACAACATTCATTGTAGTACACGTTGTAATTTTTATTATTGTCAATTTTTCACTTAAAAGTATCAATTCATAAAAATTATTTAGCATTATTAAATCTAGAACAGGTTATGTTTCACATGTATATTATACGGTCATGCGTCTAAGATGCTTGAAAAATCGTTTGAGTTAACAGGAAAATATATTTCGCGAAGAGGTAGTTATTAGGAGAATATATTTGCGAAGAGGTAAGTCAGAAAATAGATGTCGGTAATTCTGATGGTAACTTACAGACGATGGTAACGATGGTAATTTACCGACCGTCAATTTTTAAGAGACCTCTTCGCAAATATATTTTCCTAATAGCGAACTCCTAATACCTCTTTGCACAATATATTCTCCTGTTAACTCAGAAATGATTTTTCGAACATTTCCGAGACATTTATCGCCGCTAACCTCTTCGACTTTTCGAACACTTTTTATTATTATTAAATTATTATTAATAATTTTAATAAAGTGTATGAATTATTATTATTAAATATACTTTTTTCTGTGTTTACTGTTGTGCAATTTATTGTAAAATAATACTCGAAAAAAATATATGCGTATATTATTGGATAATCTTGGAAATAATATAATATGATAAAAACATTAATGAAATAAATTTTAAACCGCGTTCATTATACACTCCGTATTCACGTGTTTTTCAATAACATTTGCGGCTTTCTCTGTATACATAATTAATTAATTTAACGCAGCAGACTTTCGTGACCTTTCCATGTATCACCTCGCTCGTGAATTGATTATGCAGATTATCTTTTTTAGATGCATATTGTTATATCTTTAATAATGGAATATCTTGATAATTTATCATTTGCATCTATTTATAATCTAAATCATTATTATAATCTCTCTTAAACTTCGTGTTTATATCAGGGTTGGTATGTTTTAAAGCATTTGTTTAAAACTTGTTTAAAACAATGGTCACTGTTTTTTGTTTAAAACATGTTTTTTTACTTTACTTAAAAACACGTATAAAACAAAAAAATGTTTTAAATAAAAAAATCTATATTTTTTTTTGTTTAAAATGAAAAAAAATGTTTTCTGCCAACTCTGCGGTGTTTATAGCATCTCTCTTTTATCTTACCCGTGTTAATAATTAATGGCAATTTCATAATGAGCATATAACAACGTCACACCAATGGTTCATATAAACACAGTCGCGTTAATTATATGCAGAGAAGATTCCGTTTCGAATTGCATCTATAATACAAAATCTGTGGTAATGATACTATATAATTAGCATTAGTGCAAAGGCGTAACTAAATAATTTTTTTATATTAAAAATAGTTTTAAAAAATGAAGCTAATTTTAAATTCTCTGTACATTATTCCATTTGATGTTAAAATCTTGTCGAAAAAATATATGTAATTGTTGTTACAAAAATACTGGGTTTATCAGAATATATCTTTTGCTATTTGATAAATCGAAACAATTATAATAATTTCCTTTTATTAATGCTATATCTATATCAATATGTTATTTTGCATGACGAATTATATATAATTTATTGTTTATATAATACACTTTTTTGAACCATAATTTATTATTATGGAAAGAATTAATAAGGTAGTTAAAAAAATAAATATTATGATTTATAATCTCTGGGGATTTCCGATTATTGATATATATATATATATATATATATATATATACATTTATCGCTAAAAATAAATGATCAGGCCATCATTCCATTGAATGGAATTCTCATACATCAGTAATATTTATATTAAATTCCTGATTCTCATCCAAATGAAGAAATTCTCTTATTAGAAATACCACAGATATTCTTGCACCTTTTAAATTTGTTGTTTAGAAGATTTTTTTATTTAAATAACTCTATATATTTATATTACATTAACGCAGTTTATTATGTCAGAATAATTAATTTATTATGTCAGAATAAAAAAATGTTCTCTTTTTTGCAAGACAAAATACACACACATATATTTAAAAAATCTTATATTATCTATCTAATGCAAATTCTTCTGTGATGATTTAATTATATAACAAACGTTATAACTATATGAAAATTAAAAAATTAAAATTATAAAAATATTTTATATTAAAAAATTAAATTTTATTCAATATTTAAAAGGTCAGTAACATGTGTGAGTTCGATGATCTCGAAACGTGCGAACAAATATATCTCATTTCTTGAAGGAACGTGAAAAATTCGATAATGTTTTAATATACGTCAGTGTGCGATTAGCATATCCCTTCCTCTCCCGCCATATATACCGTAAGCGTATTGCGTCACATGACTTGTGTCAAGAGCGAGTTCACGCTTCGGAGTAGAAGCGATCGAACCATCATGCGGAGTGTGCGCGAGGACTGATTCGAGAAAGGGTTCTTTCTTTTTAAGTTCACTTCAATAATCGCTCATTGACAGTCGGATACAGCTTGGCTCGGATTTCCGTCGAGGTGACTGACTATCTTTTCGCTAATTATATATGCAAAACATTCCAAATTCGACACTTGGTGATTCTCCGGCATGGCCGCGTTGCTTAACCCACGTGGTGCATCGGTGCATCCACTCGATCATTGACAGTTTTACGTAATTATTTTTGCAATTGACATGGTGAGGTGGATAAACGCGAGAAGCAACTGACGAGTGCGAGATATTTGTATTCCCTCGTCGTTTTATGTTATCAAATACAATTAGAGAAAAATGCGGAGTTGCGTCATCGACTTTACGAGCGACACATAAAAATAGATTCCGGCGTACGACGTTTTAGGCGTATGTATATAACGAACTCGTAATTTAGTAAAATTATTACCGACAAGTTTATTTGTAAAGTAGGTTACTATGTGCTATGTTTCTTCTTTTATCTACGTTACGAGAAAAAAGAAGAATATATCGCAGTACCGTTTGCTAGATTGCCGCGGGGTAATTCGCATGTCAATTGATAAAGTCAATAATTAAACAAGAGATAATTTGTCACGATTGGATAACAGTAAATCTGATAAAGTGTATTGTTTTGCGAGCCGGTTTAGCAGTATTGTTTTGAGATTGACGCAAGATTTTGAATTATATTTAAAAGCAACGAGATAAAAATGTATATTTTTTTTCCATTATCTGAATTTTCAGTGCTAAAACATGTTTCTCTTGAATGAAGCATTTAATTTTTATTATTTTAGTTTGGATATAAATTGAAAAATATTATATGCAATGTGTGTTAAAATAAAAATATCTATTCACTGCTTGTACCAATTTTAGATATAATTTACATTTTGCAAAACACTGTAAATAATTCCACAAACAGACTTTAACATTAAGATTCTGTTTTTATTTTATAAATTTTTATTTAATAATATATATCATTTGTTTCATACAAATAATTGAACAAAAAGAAAGGAGAAAAGTTATGTTCTTTTCTTTTTAAATTATGTATTATATTAATTATAATTTTATAATTTATAGATTATGGCAGAATTAAAAACTTTAGGATGGGCCGACTATCTTGTTACAGCAGCTATGCTGTGCATAAGCATTGGAATTGGTATTTATTACAGATTCAGCGGAGGACGTCAAAAAACTATGGAGGTATGTAATTATTGAATATCGCTTCTTTCTTTTTGAAGAACGTTTTTTTAAAAATAAATTTATTTTCTTCAATGTTACGTTACATTATAGTGATATGTTTTACAGGAGTACTTTATTGCAAGTCGATCGATGGGAATTGTACCTGTTGCCATTGCTTTAGTGGTTTCTTTCATGTCGGCCATCACCTTGCTTGGCGTATCTGCTGAGAATTACACATATGGAACACAATTTGTTGTAATAAACATATCATATTTAATAGGCACTCCAATTGTGTGCTATGGATTCTTACCAGTGTTCTTCAAATTGCAAGCAACCAGCGCCTATGAGGTAAGTCCTGGGAAATTTAATAAATATTACCACAGCTGCGATAATTATCAATGATACACATTTGAAAATATAACTTATTTTAGTACTTAGAAAAACGTTTTGGAGTAAAAACTAGGATGATGGCTAGTTTTGTTTATTGGATTCAACTGCTTCTGTACTCAGGAGTGGTACTTTATGCTCCTTCTTTAGCTTTGGAAGCAACAACCGGAATTTCTAAGACTGCCAGTATTATTATTATTGGTCTCGTTTGCGCCTTTTATTCGAGTATAGGTGGCATTAAGGCTGTGCTAATAACTGATGTATTTCAAGCTTTACTCATGTTTGCTGCTGTCTTTGTTATTATTGGTATAGCTGCGAATGAAGCAGGAGGTTTGGAACAGATATGGGAGATAGCAAAGCAAGGACAACGAATCGAGTTTGATAGGTATTCTATTAGCCCCTTTATTAATTGTACGAACTTATTATTCTAACATTTTATCACATCTATGCATACTTTTGTTGTAGTATTTCTGTGGATCCAACAGTAAGACATACCTGGTGGTCTCTTATCATAGGTGGTTTATGTACATTTTTATCGATTTATGGAGTAAATCAAGTACAAATACAACGTACATTAACTGTGAAGTAAGTTCTCTAATATGTGATTTAAGTAACAAACTGCATTAATAATTATATTAAAATTTTATAGTTCATTGCATATGTGAGATTATAACATAATAGAGTAAATCTTTATCTTTTTTATTTTGTTATCTTTTTATCTTGTTTATTTTCTCAAACATTTTTATCATCTTATTTATTAATTTATTTAAAAAAATTTTTTTAATTATACTGGACAAATTTTATTCTAGGAATTTACAGGCTTCACAACAAGCCTTGTGGTTGTCTTGGCCTATTTTATCAATTCTTTCGATCACAACTTGTTTCTCAGGATTGTCAATATACAGTAAATATCACAACTGTGATCCATCTCTCCAGAAAAGGATTTCTTCGCCTGACATGCTTATGCCACTATATGTCATGGATACGATGTCCCATATACCTGGTTTGCCAGGTCTCTTTATCGCAGGTAATTCTATAATTCTAATATATTCTGATAATATATTTTCATATTGAGTACTCTAGTTCAATATCTAAAAAAACTCTTGTAGAAATTAATTACAGAAACAAAAATGATAATAAAAAGGTCATTTAAGAGTATATCTAAATTATAATTTTATATAATTTATAGTTTTTAAATGTATAATTTTAGGATAATATAAATATATTTACAATATTAATTTTGAATTCTTATATTTCTAGGTATCTTTAGCGCAGGGCTCAGCACAATTTCTGCAGCATTAAATTCTTTGGCAGCAGTAACGTTAGAGGATTACATGAAACCTGCTTACAGAATGTGTACAGGGCGTGAATTCTCTCCCTCAAAGTCAACTTCCATTGCTAAAATACTTTCTTTTATATTTGGCATTTTATCCATTGCTTTAGCATTTTTTGCGCAATTATTGGGTGGAGTCCTTCAAGTAAGTGAAACAAAAAATTAAAATTGTTTTAAAAAATCTAAATAAATCAAGGCAATAAGTTTAATTTATTTATGTAAATGTGTTTAAACTTGTCATTAATAGAATGTCTTTTTATAGGCTGGTTTAACCATTTTTGGAGTAGTCGGTGGTCCATTATTGGGCGTTTTTACGCTTGGCATGGGCACCGAATCGGCAACAGAAGGCGGTACGATAATTAGTGCTCTCACGGCGCTTTCGTTTTTATTTTGGATCGCTTTCGGTCAACCACGCCCGATGCCACCTACATTATCAACAACTATTAACGGCTGTGATATGAACAATACTCTTACGAATGCAACAGTATCCATTGTACAAAACTTGGCAACAAGTGAGTAATTTGCTGAATAATCGCTAAATCTGTCTACGTAAAATGTCGGCATCTAAAGAGCTATCGTATTTTTTTTCAGAAGCACCGGCGACAGTTCGTACTTTTATTTATATCGTATTTCATATATGTGGTATGCTCCCCTTGGATTTTTGATAACATTTATCCTTGGTTTAATTATCAGTGGCCTATCTCGTTTATTTATCAAAAATCAAAATAACAAATTAGATCCTAATTTATTCTTTCCCGTAATAGCACGACGTATATGTTATAGGCGACGTAACGATGTAGAGATCAATGATGTAGCAAATTATACGTTAGAAAGAAAGTATTCTTTTAGCAATATGATCCACAAGAGTAACAGTGCCGATAAAATTTGTACAAAACTTTAACAATTTATAATCTAAAAAGATGAATAGGCATTAAACATTCCATATTTGAAAAGTACGAGAAAACAACATAGAAATGAAAAAATGGGAACACAGAAATGAAATGATTTTGCATTACATCCAGGACAATAATATTATTATTTTGGAAACTGGATTTTTTAGAAAGAGTAAATCTTATCTATGATAGATAATTCATTGTGAGAGAATGTACATGTACATATTCATATTAAATATTATTTTTTAAACAACTTTTTATATAAAAAATACTAGACGATTTTGTGTGTATTATATTGCGACAAAAGTCTTCCATGCTGCGTTTAACTGCCAATTTTTACCGTCTATGAATCAAATATTCATACAGACAATATAATATATTTTCATATAAAATACAGTTTGCATGCATTATGCTGAAATTTTGTAGTAATACATATTTTTGCGTGTGCACGAATCATATAGCTTGGTTCCTTTTACATATATGATATTCATAGATGTATTTGAAGGAAAACTCTTAGGAGATCTTTTTTTTGATATTGCTAAATAATAAAGAGAAAGGCTTCTTTTTTATAACATATAATACCAATAGCGGTTGTAATAAGAAAATTCCTGGAAGAAAAAAAATGAAAAAAATACATATTTAAGTGTAATTGTTGAAAATGTTCAACAAGAATTTATGTATTTGTGATAGAATTAAGGCATTGTTATTAAATAATTGTGACAGTTGTATTTATTTATATATATTTTATTGCTATTAATATTTAAGGCATTGAATCAACCATAATGTTGCAAAAATTTTGAAAAACAGATAAATTAACACTTGTAAAATTCTATTCTCTAAAGATTTCTACAGATAAGACATCTATCAGTGTCGTTATACAGTGTACCATGTTTGTTGATATATATTGTAAAAGTTTAGAAAAATATATATCTTTAGAGATTGTACTTAAAGAATTAACAAAACAATCATATACATATATCAGTCATATGTATACATAGTAATATGTATCAAAAGTGCAGTATTTGATTCAATAAATGTTAATTATTTTTGTTAAAAATAAAATCGTTTTGTTATTATTGTATAAACAATAGTACTATATATCATGTCTCGAACTGTAAGCGTGTCATTTTATTTCTTTAATTAAATCGAATAAAAATGTAAACAATATTTTATGTATCGTATAATTATTATGTGAAAAATGTATTAATTTATTAATTACTCTTATGTTATTTTATAATTCAACTTTTAACAATTAATCAAGAGAGCTTATTTAATTATATTAAAATGATTAATTAATATAATTACAAATTTTTTAAAAATTTACTTTTGATATTATATTTTGCGTAAGTAGGGATCTCGGAATATTTGATAGTATTAATTAAATTTATTATTCTAGTTTCGTCATAAAATCCATAGCTTTAAAACAATAAATCGACGATACGATAATTCTGAAACATTTAAATGGAAAAAAACCTTTGTTTATCAAGTGCTTTGAGGAACTGAATTTCTTCAAGAGGCGGCTTTATTGCCTATGATATGTAACCATCGGTTTCTCTTTAGATGCTCTCCAGTATGTTCAAGTGATGACAGAAAAAAGAAACCCGGAGTTATATTAAAGAAAAAAAGATGGGATAGCGAAGAGGAAGAAACCAAGGTGGCGGCCACGCAAAAGCTTATGGTTCGTTTGGATTGACATGCCAGATTGAACCAACGACGGCCAGTTGAAACCAGTTTCAATTTATGCAACTCCGCCGTATCGTTAAGATCTCTCGAAGCTCTCTTCGTGGGTCCTTTTAATTATTTTTCCACTGAAAGCGTCTAATATCTGGCTCCTCTTCGACGGGGTGGCTGGGTCATTCATTAATGATCAATTAAGTAATCAGTGGAATTATACAAGGCCCGTGTCACTTTGTATCTCTGATGACTATCCCTTGACGATGACATGTGTACTTCTGTGTTATTCCTTTAATTTAATATTTTGTAATTTTTTTATTACAATTTTATATTTGATTTAGAAGAAAAAATCAACATGTGGAATAGTCTAGTTCTACATGCTCATTTACTGTTTTATAAAATTAATAAATTAAGGAAAGTTATTTCTCGAATTTGAATTTTTATTTAAGTAATTATTAATTATTGAAGTAATCTGTATAAAATAAAAATAACGTAATGTTTAAATGTTATTTTAATATCTAAATGTTATCTAAATTTTATCTAAAAATGATCGAAAAAAATTATTTTCTCTCTCTCTCTCTCTCTCTCTCTCTCTCTCTCTATATATATATATATATATATATATATATATATAAACAATCAATACATCTATACACGATTTTTAAGTAACGAAACATTTTAATTAATGTAATTTATTTTGTAATTTATATGTTTGATGTTTATATGTATAAGTAAGGACTTTCTCCGTCAATTCTCACTTTCTTCATTCGTGTGCTTTCATTGTATTGCTTTTGACAAACATGTCAGATTGTCTTTGACTTTCGATGACAACGGAATAAGTGTGTACAACACATTCGGTTCTAATTTCGAGGAATAAAGTCATTACTCTGTATAAAATAATCATATTTAAAAGTGATATGAGATTAACAATAGTTTGTTCATAGTGCAATAATATACACGTTTTCTTTAATGTGATGTGTCAATCTTAAAGTCGAATTAAAATCACAAGTACTTCGTAACATGATTCATTTATTCATCACATCAATTTCAGCTTCTGTTTAATAATTGGTTTCTTCATAAATAATTCTACGATTTTGACGACGCATCTAGGAATCATCTATGATTAAAATTTCACGAGTGGTGAGTAGTAATTGAAGTTGAAAAACAAATGTCATTTTTATCGCGTTAAAACAAATTTTTCAATTAATTAACAAATGCAGTATCTCTTTAGAGGCGATTTAATAAAAGTTTATTGAATTTTGTTTCTTTCCAATGTGCAAATTCTTAGCAAATATCAAACTCTCATTTTAATACTCCTCGAACGAATTTGATACTTAATAAAATTTGAGAAATTTGCAACAACATGTGTGAATAATTCAACAGTAAATAATCAGGCAATTAATATTGCAATCTATTGCAATTTGCGTTAGTCATATCCAAGGAATTGTGACATAGTTATTCGCAGATAGAAATGCATCGATGAATAAAACCGCTTACTGCTCTTCGTCGATTTTAATCGGAATTATCTAGTTAAATCTGCACACGCTCTGTATGTGTTGTGGATAGAAAGGACGTTCCAGAAATTGTGCATTCTTTGCACAAAACACAGATTTTAATAAAAAAAAAAAGACCCGAAAAAATATGATGTTTACCATATAAGAATAATCGATGATTTTTTCTAATTACGTGCGCGTAATTTTTTAATACAAAATAATTAAATTTTGATTGAAGAAAGAATTTACATTTACAAATGAGATGCGCGAATAATTTTATATTTTACGAAATATAATAATTGTGCATTCTTTTTACAAAACACAGATTTTAATAATAATAATAAAAAAAATTCGAAAAAAATATGATGATGTTTACCATGTAAGAACACGATTTTTTGTAAAACACAAAACTCTAAATTCTTTCTTCAATCAAAATAAAATTATTTTATCTTAAAGAAATACGCATGTGATTATAAAATGATTTCTTATAACGTGCGTATTTCTTTAAAGTGAAATAATTTTATTTTGATTGAAGAAAAAATTTAGTTTTATGTTTTACAAAAAATAAACAATGATAAATATTCATATGTATAATATGTCACAGTAATAATGCTTTACCATATTCCAAGGATCGTTTGCTGTCGTCATAAATTCGAGATAACGACCTCAATTAGTTGTATGGTTTATGCAATTTCAATTTCGATTGACGTCGATGCATAATATTACAAATCTGTTAGAAATCCCCGTCTACCTGGTTTGTTTTATCATTCTGTAAACTGTAACCGGTTAAATGTGGACTTAGCCGGATTTCTTGGCGTGATTTTCGCGTTGCGAGTTTATATGACATTATTAAGAGTTATACACGACATTGGCTTCCTGTGTCAACTTATATCGAGGACTATTAGGCGGGTGACTGATAATCGACCGAGTGATATCATGCGGAAATTAACGGGATGTTTTGTTTAAGGAAGAGATTGTATTTTTCAACTAAAAATATGATATTAATAGTAATACTCCCAAAAAAACTAGAGGGAAAAAGAGGAAGAGACAAGGAAAAAAGAAAATAAAAAATTAAAGAAAGAGAAAACTATTTAATTTTATACGCGAATCTAAAGTTATCTATACTATTGTTTCAATTTTTTAAAAATACTTTTTCTATATTCATAACTATAATTTTGTGTGTGAACATAATTCATTCTTTTCCTTTTTATGTCTTTTGTATTTCCGTGCAATAAATCATATGGGAATGGATTCTTTTTATCAGATATTCAGCTGAACAAAAATTCGTCTACGTTATATAAGTACATATTTTTTGATAAGTGTATCCGCTATTTAACAATGTGTAGTCACGCTTATATGATTTTGTATGAGTTTAACTATTTTCTCATTATATGTTCAATGCAATAATATGTTATAAAAATTTGAACAAGATCATAAAGTATGATAGCACAATTTTTATCATTGATGCATTTAATAATTAATTATACAACATAAAAATTTTTTATTTCCATATATTTGACATACCAATATCAAATTAATGAACTATCTTTTATCTTAAAATAAATTCAATATGCAATACGATTGCAAAATCATTAAATTTCATCAATTAAAATTAACTTTTGAATTTGTAAACATTATATTTTTAAGTCATGTATAATAAATTGCATAATTGCTAAATTATCAGGCTATGGTTAAAGGAATGAAGAAAACATGCGAAGTAAATACAAATTTAGATAGATATTAATAATACAAATATGTAGGTATAGTTACAAATACGCAGAATTGCAAAATCGTGTATAAATAACCATGTGAGTTAGGTATGATCAATTATGGAATTTATCGATGCGATGACGGAAGGACAAGACAATTGTTATTTTTGGCGAGTTTCATACTGAAACCAGTCTTACGTTAGTAGTAGGGGGATGATGGTTCGTATAAAGGCGCACACGTGACAATTAAAACGATCAGTCTCGATTCCGTTCTCCGTTTAATCCGTCGATTTTCTCTCCGCGGAAGCTGCGGATGCTTAAAAGGGGCGAGAGAAAGAAGAAGTTGAAGTCAAAAGCGCGCGAAGATTCTTCCAAGATCCTGCGATTTGCAGTCGCAGGAAAAAAATCGCATATCCTTTCAAACGAGGGACGAGCACAGATTCTCGCGAAAGCGAGGATTCGATCGAATTTATTTAGCCGATCATATATGCGTTACGTTAGGAAAACGAGCAAAATCATTCAACTGCAATTTCGCACGTTCCTATCGATTCGCACTCGCGATTAAACCGTAATTAGTCGTTAGAATCTTCGCGTTTTTTATATATTTTTTGAAAATTGGGTGATTCGTCCCACGTCTTGAAAGAAGCGATTAAGAGAGGTAAGATTTAAAATGACCTTCTTAATATGCTTTAAAAATAAATCGAAGAAAAATTTGTTTTCGCAAATTGCAAATACGTAAACTTTCAAATCAGGGATTTATTACTTTCTCATTTAATTCTTTCTGATGTAACCGAATTACTCTGCACAATGAAAATATTTTTATTTAAGTTATATTTGATTTCTGTAAAATATGATTTATTTTTTGCATTTTTATAGTTTATTTAATGTCCTATTATTAATATAATTAATAACTCTCATCTAAATACTGCTTATTTATTTTTTACTGAAATAATTGTCTTATTTTTATTCGAGCCACACGAATATTATCGATATTATTGGTTTCGAGATAAATACTATATAATAGATGTATTTTTTCTATAAGTATCACAATATATCTATTCCACTTAATTTAAATTTGAATATACAATAATAAACATACTTTAATAAAAATGTGATCACTTATTGTTTACTCAAATCTTAATCACTTACCCTACATAGATTATGGATAATAAAAAATATTTGAAATAATCAAATTTTTTGCATAATCTATCAAATTTTTCGTTTTATTGCAGTAACTAAATAAACAATTAAATATCAAGGATTGAATTACTGTTTTATTAAAATTCTATTAATGTAATTAAAAAATTTAATATGTTATCAAATAGAAGTTGATTTTCGATTTCTATGATTAATGTAAAATGTATAATGTCCTTTAAATCTGAAATCTTTTAATTTAAATTTTTTTAACACTGTTATATACTTCATAATTATTCTTCTCTAAAAAAATAATAATACTGATAATATATATGTACATATTTCATCGATATTATAACCAAATATTGTTATTAAGTAACGAAATATTATTATCGTAATTAAGATTGCGAAAAACATTATATGAATTCTACAAAAAAATTATGTATGTTTTTTACTGTCATTTAGGTTTATTAAAATGCAGTTTCATGTCGAACTAACCGGTTCTAATCAGAGAATTAATGGTCTAGCCGGCTTGAACATATATCTTAATAACAACCGAAGCATATAGAAATAGTAGTAATGATACTGTCAATAGTTATGTCATCGTGTATTGTCTACTATAATGCGCAGATTGTTAAATAATTGAAACTGAATATGAACTAGAAAAGGTCGATTAATACGTTACATTTTATTGCTGACTTGTTTATGCAACGATTAATAATCATTGAACAATTGATACCTACATTTTCTTTGACAGGAATTCATTTTCATCAATCTATCTTCTCAACCTTCATTGTATTAATTCATAGAATGATGTAATTTTATATTTGTCTTTATAGAAATTTATAATTTTTTACTTGTATGCTTTGACGATATAATAATTGTTTGTATCATTAATTAACATTACATTGATACTTTAATTGGGTTAATTGATGTTTTGATCGAAACTATATTAATAATGTTATGTAATGACACGATATATCTTCGATACGTTAGATAAAATTCATAGAATTCAAGATGATTAATGTTAAATTGAAAGAATCAATTGAGAGACAGTGTCACATAAATCAATTTATGCAAGGATCGTTAAAGCATATCGCTTTATCATAATGTTGAACAATTTTCCAGAACTTGCTATATGCGCTTGATATTAATACTCTTACATTAAATAATTTTTATTACCATGCATTTTTAATTAATATAAAATTTACCTTAATGACACAATTTGGCAGAATGTCATTTATAAAAATGTTGAAATCTCTTTTTAAAATTAAAGAATCTTTTTGAGAACATTTGATGACTTACTTTTAGATATCTGCGAAAATGCGGCGGCATCTCTTCATCCTGTTCCTCTTCCTGTCGGCCTCGTCCGCGGAGCAGCGACACGGCGTGAAAAGCAACGAGGAGTTGTGTCAAGAGGAGCATCCCACTTTGCTCCATTATTTCTCATGGGCGGATTACACGGTGTTGGGCACAATGCTGCTGATCTCGTGTCTGATCGGCACTTTCTACGGCTTCTTCGCCAAGAGGCAGGAGACCAGCCAGGACTTCCTGCTGGGCGGCTCCACCATGGGCACGGTTCCCACGGCGATGTCGCTGGCCGCTAGCTTCATCACGGCCATCGAGCTTCTAGGAAATCCCGCGGAAATGTACGGACAGGTGCGGCCATCATCCGGAATTTCATGGATATTTTTCTGCAAAATTAAAGAAAAAAGAGGAAATGATCTGTTGTTACTTTTCTATTCAGGGTACTCAATTCTGGATGACTTGCCTCTCTTTCATACTCGTGGTACCGATCACCTCTAGTTTGTATCTACCGGTGTTCATGAAATTAAGGTTGACTTCGAGCTACGAATATCTGCATCTTCGCTTCGACAAGCGTTGCCGATTGCTCGCGAGTGGATTGTACATGCTGCAAATGGTGTTATATACATCAGTGGCTGTATATGCGCCTGCATTAGCATTAAGTCACGGTGAGTGATGACTGAAATTGTATCTTATGATAATTTGCGTTAGATTCTAAATCTATTGTAACAGATAGCATAATTCAATATGCATCGAAACAGTCACAAATTAGTTATAATACGTAATTATTTTTTTTCTTGTTTTTAAAACCATGATCAAGTCGCTTCTTCAATTTCGTTAACGTTAATTAATTTGAAGCCACACTATAATAATAATTAGACTGCACAGTTCAGTCAGTAAATAGAAAAGCTAAAAATAATTGTGAAAATTATAAAGTTTAACACGGGTGCTTTTCATGGCGCAAAATAATGCACATTAAAAGTTTCTGACACTGTCTGCTCCAGAAGCTAAATCGCTAAAAAACGATTGCAGAACAACTTTTTGTTTAAACGTATTAAAAACTTTCAAAAACTCTGTTTCCATTATTGACTTCATTATAATATAATTTCTCTAAAATATGAATAAATGTTTGCCATAGCTTATAGAAATATCCTCTAATAATATTGACTTTTAATAATCAAGATAGTATGATTAAAATGATATTCTTTCATTTACAGTTACGGGCCTAAATACTTACATAGCCGTCACTCTAGTCTACGTAGTCTGCATTTTTTATGCCTCGCAGGTTTGCTGCTACATGATTAAATAATTAACAAAGATTTAATAATATTGTAATAATTAAGAATGCAATAATTATATATTGCGCAAAGAGAGTATATAATTTTTTATCGTATGTAATATAACACAATTATATAATTTTTTTCATCTATATTTTATTAGAAGCAAGATAGGAAATTATATTCTCTTTACGTAATTGCGCACAGATGTATAATTATTATAATATTATTAATATATTTTTATGTAATATACAATAATTAGAATATATATATATATATATACATACAATACGAAAGTGATTAATTTATTATTACAATAGGGAGGTATGAAAGCTGTAATAATGGCCGATACTTTCCAAGCCGCTGTTCTCATCGGCTCGTTGTTCCTTATCTTGGGTTACGGATTGTCATGGGCTGGCGGAAGTGCGCTTATTTGGCAGGATAATGTAAAATCCGATAGGATAGAATTCTTCAACATGGATCCCAGGCCTACAGTGCGACATAGCTTCTGGAGTGTTGTCGTTGGAGGTACTTTCTACTGGGCCACCATGTTCTGTAGCAATCAAGCGTCCATACAAAAGTATCTCAGCGTCGAGAGCATCTCTCAAGTAAGGATGTAAGTGTCTGTCAAAAAGATAATAACACCTCGCAGGAACTTTAAGGCCGATTGATTGATTTATTATTTTAAATCTCGATCTTATAATATTTATTATTGCCTCATTTTATTTTATTCGCAATACTTACGGATTTATATAATTATCCAATTATGTAATTATGTAATTGGCGCGTTACAGAGCGCTGTGGGTGTCTTCGTTTGGCATGATCGTAATTTATAGCGTCAATTTCCTGACTGGAATGGTACTGTACAGCACTTACAAAGACTGTGATCCTTTAACCGCCGGATATATAAGCGATCAGGATCAAATACTACCGCTGTACGTGATGAATTTTTTGGGGAGCCTTCGCGGAATGCCCGGATTCTTCGTAGCTGGTATCTTCGCCGCGTCTCTTGGGTACGATGACTGATAAATAATCCTGAAAATTTTCCTTTCAACGAGAGAGATACACTCGACAATTTATTAATCTCTCCTTCTCTCGATGAAATTTTATCTGAATTTATTAAATTAACTTGGAAATAACTCCTGAAATTATTGCAGCACCGTAGCAAGCGCTCTGAACTCTTTAGCGGCGATTACCTGCGAGGATGTCTTCCGTGGACTCTTTAATATGGATATGCCGGCAAGTAGAGGCGCGGTTTACGCCAGATGGATTAGCATATTTTTCGGAGCTCTCAGTTTTGCGTTGGTCTTTGTCGTAGAACGGCTCGGTGGAGTTTTGCAGGTAGGTTCTAAATTTTACTCTGCTACTTGTTCGTAGATTGAAATTAATAATTTGCGATACTTTATTTATTTTTTTTACTACTTTTATCTGAATACCGTGCCTTAACTTGTGTGTTATTCACTAAAAGATCACTTATTCTTAGGTTGCACTATCTTTCAATGGCATGGTGGGAGGAGTGACTTTGGGATTATTCTCATTAGGCATGTTTGTGCCATGGGCTAATGCTAAAGGAGCAATAGTAGGTGCTATCACAAGTCTAGTAGTCGTGCTATGGATCGGATTAGGCGCCCAAGTTGCCGCTCTAAACGGACAGATCCAATTAGATAGCAAACCCATCTCAATTGCGGGCTGCCCTTGCATAAACGAAACCACAATTATCCTTAATCAATCCGAGAACAACGACGAAGCTTCGTCTATATACAAGGTGAGGTTTGTCCGAAAACGTTTAATTGTTTCCAATATATCTCTCAATTTTTCTCATACGTCAAAAATAAATTAACGTTTAAATTAAAATTCAGACATCAAGTTAATCAAACAGCTGATTGCAGAGATGTTCGAATCTTAATTATTAATCTATTTTTCGTAAAATATATTTATTAAAAATTAATGTTTAATAACTATTAAATGGCAGACCAGCTACCTATGGTATAGTGCGATCGGTTGTACTTTGACCATGTTGGTGGGTCTGATAGTGAGTTTTGCGACCGGCGCGCAGAATCCTACCGACGTGGACCAGGATTACCTCAGTCCGCCAATCGCAGCTATGTTCCGTATACAAACGAAACCTCGCATCACTACAAATGTCCAGGGTATCGCCAATCTTAGCCTCGAGTTAGAAGACGAGAAGCATCAACAAGCGGACGTTTGCAAGAGTCCGAAAGTCTGAAGAAGACGATATCATGCAACCGGAAAATAGAAATCGATATAGTACAAGAATAGTCAAAATCTAGTTTAGCGAGCTTTTTTTCAGAAAAAATTCATTCTGAGAACAGAAGTTTGACAAGTGTAAAGACGAGGAAGAGTTCTGATTATCCTAATTTGTTTTTTTTTTTAGACTTGTGGATTGTCTGAATTTGGATTAGAAAAAGCTGGTTTTTGTAAATTTGCCAAATATTGCCAGTCAAGGAAACACAAAATTAGATTTTTTTTATAATTATACAAGAAATACTCTACTTTTTAATCGTGAAATTGTTGGGAATATAATCCCGAATTTCTACAATTAATTGAATTAATTGAATTAATTCTAATTAATTTTTTTTACGTCAAAATTTTAAAATTTGTTTATTCTATTTTATTTATATTGCTATTATTTAATTTATTTCCATGAAATAAACTAAATAAGTGACTAATAAATAATATAGTAGATATAAATATTATTACATCATATTACTCTACGAAATTTATTTCAAACAATTACACGTAATATGTAACAGAGGAGATGATGAAGAATTTATCCTATAAAAACTTGAATTTTTCACTATTAAATTTGTATAAAATATAAATTTAAAAATTTTGCATCTATATTATTAAAATATTTTTAGAATTGGATTTTTCATGCAAAGCTAACATTCTTCCATATATTTATCTTTACACACACATTTTTATAATATAATAATAATTATTTAAAAAGTAAATGAATCATTCTTGCTAAACAATCAAATAAAACTGAAATTATTTATTTAATGCAATAATAAAGAAGCTGAAAATGGATAAGGAGCTAAGGAGAAATTAGATGCAATTGATCAGAAAGAATGCGATTGATCACTACTTCATTAGGTACACGATCACTTTATTACACATGATCTTTTCGTAGCATTATCATGCTTAATTTAAAATTATACTCGAAGTACTAGTTATAATTTTAAGTTAAAACTGCACTTTTTAGCAGAACAGTTACTATATAATTTTATATTTTAAGTGTAATTTATGATTAAATAATAAGAGATCACGCGGATCTTTCTATTACACAAACTCGGTCAGAGCAATTTTTTGTTTGTTATGTGTTGTGGATAAAATGGTTGTGCTAATGTACATTCGAAGCTGAAGAATTTTTGTTAATTGCGTATGCCGCGTATTCACTTTAAAGACGGTGTAAAAAATAGGGATTTGAAATTTTATCAAAAACACCGCATAAATTTTGATTCGTGTCTTATTTAAATTTATTATTTATTATTAAATATTACGAACGTTTTAGCCAAAAAAAGATTATTTAAGTTTAATTTTCTTGTTCAAAAAATGGCCGGGACTTTCTAGAATTATATTCAATTGTTCTGTACCTTACACACATTGCCTTGCTTTATGAAATTTTTATATTTTATAGAAATGAGGAGGATCTCCTCTTTCAGCGCGCATTAAAGATATTTAATTATCTCAGAGTATTTTTATTACTTATTTTATCTATAATTTATTAAAGAGACAACGCAGATTTCGCGGATACTCTATACAATTATAAATATTATAAAATATTATTATACTTATTTGTAAATATATATGAAACAATAAATATAAAGAAAACATAACAAATGTAATTTTGTTATACGTGACAAATTTCTTTCGAAAACAAAAAGTTTTCAACAATATACTTGATTTTGAATGCGAAAACTTTTCCAACATGGCGTAACTGTAACATGGTTACATGCGTTCAAATGGCCTCTTTTCAAACTTCAACCCCAAGTTTTTCAAATAATCGCTTTCTTTTCTTAAAAAAACAAATTGTTTTTGTTAAAACTAGAATCGATCTGTCAAATCCAATTACATTAAAATATTTTCTTACAAACAAAACAACTTCAATAAATAATTAATCCTTCTTTCAACTTTTCAGTAACTAAAAAAAATATTTCACGGAACTATAATTTAATTGTAATAATCTTATAATCAATCCGGAATCTCTCCCATATTTAAACAGAATAAAAATAATTATAGTTTAACTAGAATCGTATGTAGATTAAAATTCTTGTGTCATAATTAAAAAAAAAACACCGATTGGACACCTATATATGCCGAAGCTTAGTGTGTACTTGATACCAACTTAGCCAAAGTATCACCCCGTTAAAGTACGTAAGATGAGCGTACGTTAACACCGTTTGTTATTGTCGGAAGGAAGAGAGAGGGACAGTGAAAGTGGATCAATACGCGGTGAGCGTGCGGCCTGTCTGGCAACGTGCGGCTGTCTCTCCTAGTCGAAGTTGCCTATCTGCGCTCGAATGACGAAGAACACGTAAAGAGCACATAGACTGACAGTTCGTTGACAGATTGACTATTTCGCTCATTGACAGTTGTCAAATCACCTTTAAATTTTACGCGCGAACGATCGATTCGGTCGCGCTTGTTCATCGAATCAGTGCAAGTTGCGACGTAAACCTCTCGTCTTTAGGGACTTTGGATTAAGGAATCTGATTGAGCTTATCGAAAATATATTCGTACTCTTCAACTGTGCGGGTGTGTTGATTTTAAATTAGATTTTACCGCGAAATTATGAGGATTTGCATTGTATGTCACGTGTCGAGGAGTGAATCGTCCGCTTGTCGTCTATGATCGAAGAATGTTATGCGTTGGATTATGTAGGAGTAACAGACAGGCGATAAGTCGATCCTGTTGCATGGAGTCGAAGAGGATTGGAAACTCTGGTTATTCGAGATTGACGAGAGAAGAAAGAGAGAATTAGAAAGCGGTTCGGGTCATCGGTGTACATGTTACGCGGTCGCGATGTATCTGTCTCACCTTGTGAGTAAAAGCAAAATCGAAGACACTTTATGGAAATGCATTTCATTCGGCATTAAAAACGCTCCTTGCTATTGTGCAATTTTTGTCTCTTAATTTATTCATAAATTTATGCTACTATGGCTTATTTTGCACGATATTTTATTTGCAGTGGCAGTGTGTATATATGCACAGAGAGAATTTTCTCTTAGAATTTACCCTGACAATCATGGGAATCGTAGGACAGTATGGAAGAATTTTATAAGAGTTTCTCTGATTAATATTTACTACTATTTATTTTAAAATATTTATATCTTATTGTGGTAGATATTTATATTTTTATTGTGATAAGTATTAATCAGAGAAACTCTTTTATAAAATTCTTCTAATAGTATATAGTCCTACGATTCCCACAATTCCCAGAGTAAATTCTAATTGAAAATTCTCTCTGTGTACATATGTATATATTTGCTATTTTATTTATATGTACAGTTTTCAAAGTTTAAACTCACTTGTGTTGAGAAATAAAAGGATGCAATTTGAAAATTGATTGTCGCGTTATTGTAAACAGAAAAATAAGAGAAACTAAACAATATATACATATAGTACACATTTTTATATTGTTCATTATTGTATACGTATGTTAAAAATGATTTCGTAATTTTGTTAATAAAAATAAAATATTTGTAAATTTTATAATTTGAGAGTAAAGGAAATAATTTGTAAATGCTTACACACATATTGCATTCCTCATATTTTTCTACTTAAATATTTTGTTTTAAAATTAGATAGCATTTTATTTAAATATCTGACAGAATATCCTATTGATCTATATTTTTTTCATATTTATATCCTATGTCAATTTGTATATTTTTGCATTTCTAATATATCGTAAAAAGAGTGATTTCTCTTTTCAAAAGATACGAAGAATGACCTGCAAGCAGGAGTTAACTTGTCTACGATTCCTGCGTTGGACTGTCCTGGTACCGCTCGTAATCTACATCTCACTTCTATTTATCAAGTACAACAAAAGCGTGCCTCTAAAGAGTCTATCAACCCCAAGTGACAAGGACAAAGAGGGTTCTGTGATGGACAACCTGTTCCTCCAATTGCAGACCGTCACGGTTGATAAAATGAACTTGATGGGTTACAAGGACGCGGGAATCGATCGCGGAAACGATGAGGGAAGAATACGAGAGATCGTAGAGGCGGAAAATCGCGAAAATCCGAGAAACCTCTTAGAAGACATATTCCGTAAAGCGGATACTGATGAGAATCAATTGCTGGATATACAGGAATTGGCGAAGTGGATTCACGCGAAAATCACCGAGCATATCACGCGCGCTATGCGAGAAAATGTTGGATTGTTCACCGCCATCGACACTAATCTTAGAGATGGTACCGAATATTATAATTGTATTTGATATTTATTTTAATTAATTAATCCTATTTTTTTCTTTATAAAAATATATAGGAATAATTAGTAAATGATCGATATTTTCAAAAATTAAACTTCTAAAGTATTTTAGAAAAAATTTTGTTACAATACACTAAAGTTTGCTAAAGAGATTGAAAACCACTTGAACAAGATAAAGCTACTTAATTCAAACCAGCGTCATTATCTTGCAACCGCAAGAGGATTGAAAATTACAGAAGTATTTATGATGATATAAATTATTATCGTTAACTGTATTTTTCATCTTTATTGCAGGCGAAGTCTCGTGGGAAGAATATCATGCTTATTTTCTGAGAACTCATGGTTTCTCTGAGACCTATATAAATTCCCATGATAAAAAACACAGCGAGATGTCGCGAACACTGAAGGAGAGCATAATGAGAGATAGAGCGCGATGGGCAGAGGCTGCTAGAAACGATCCTGATAGATTGGGTCTGGACGAATTTTTGGCTTTTACTCATCCCGAAAGCAGCCACAGAGCTCTCCTCCAAATGGTGGAAGACCTCTTCGAAAAATTCGGTAAATTTCACCTTTCGATTCGTAATTATATATAAGCATCCTACCTATTGCTACTCTTTCTCTCTCTCTCTCTCTTCATCCTTATTAGTATAACTATTTTTATGAATAAAATATAATTATAATCAAGAAGTTTCTCGTCTAAAAATAAATTTTAAAAACCAGGAAATAAAATATTTTCATACGGGATTTAATTCTCGAGAAAAATGACTTAAAAGCAGATAGCTGATCTATCTTCTTATTATTAATTTATCATGACAGTATGATATGAAATTAATTGAAAAACAAAACATTAATTAGTTTAGATATTTGACTAAAAATAAAAAATTTTATTGCAATTTATCAATGCGTTAGATCGAGATGGTGATGAACAATTAACGGAGGACGAATTCTCGGATTTGCCATCGGAAGGAGTCGGCCTAGATTTACGCGAGGATCGACAGCAGTCGATAGGAGGCAGCGAAGACAGGCGCAAGGAGTTTCGACATCTGATTGACAAGAATAAAAATGGGAAAGCCGATCGAACCGAACTATTGGTGAGTACACAATAGAATTTTAATAAATAAAGATCAGGAGATTCTACAACTCGGCAATTATGCAAATCAATAGACAGCATATTAAAAGCATATAATATTACTTTAACGAAGAAACGCTCAAAAATTGTAGAACTTGTACAATTATTTTTGTAAATGTCTTTATTACACCAGAAATATACATATATAATATAAAATATATGAATATATCAAAGAGTAAAAAGATTTAAGATAAACTGAATGTTTGTTTTCCTAGATGTACATCGATCCACGAAATCCCAGACATGCAATTCAAGAAGCCCAGCACTTGATTACCTTATCGGATATGAATTTAGATGGAAAACTCGATCTTCTGGAAATTTTGAGTAAAATGGACTTATTTCTCGACAGCAAAATGGTAGACACGGAGAAAAGTTTTCACGATGAATTCCGACGATAGTTGTAGCGAACGAAAACGATTACAGTTGAATAAAATTGAAAGGAAGATTTATTTATAATCTCATTATCAAAAGGAGATAATAAAATAGACGAATAATTCTTTGTAATGCACTAAATGCGACTAAAAATTTTGATAAGATATTTTTAAATATCTTAGCAGAAGACTTCTTCGACATTCTCGCGTACTGAATAGACAATATGATTTCGATCCATGATCGACGATGGATTAGACCAATACAACAATTATCGATTCGTGCAGGGTATATTTACTAGCGATTTGTAAAGAAATTTTTTTTAATAAATACTAATCGATTTACTGCGCAAATAAAAATCATACAGGCTTTTAGAACGCATCTGTGATAGTCTTATGACGTAGAATATCATTTAAGTAGGCACAATTATTATAGTTATTAGTAGCTGTTAGTGACAGATGTTAATACATTAATTCACGATAGCTACGGAATAACTCAATCAGATCGTTTACAGGGTTAAAATTATATACACCGGTAATTACTTGCCAATTGTACGATCGGTTGTAAAAAACGGATAAGATCCAAATAAGTTGCAAATCCGTCCTTTCATAGATTTTTAGATTTCTTGTACGTGCTCCTGAATTATATAAGAGTGTTATTAAAAATTTTATATTTGCAGAGGAAAAGAATTCTCACTTTTTCTAATTATTAATAAAAAAAATTACAAATACATTGATATTATAACACAAGAAATATTATATTAATACTATGATAATATATATTATTGTGTAGTGTTAATATAACTATTATATATAATTAATTTGTGATATTAATTTATATACATGTACACATATTATATATGTATATATAATATACATACATATATATATATATAATGTTTCAAGGTACAATAAAACTGCAATTAGTTTACAAAATTAGGCAAAGAAAAATTGTTTGGCGGTGTATTGGAAACATTTTGATCAAAAAATGAAACAAATAATGTGCTCGCTGGCAAAAGCCTCTGGAGAGCCTAAATAAAATTCATTGCTCACAATGGAATGTATGGCATTCCCTGTGGTAAATAATGGCTTAATAGCATTTTAAAATAAAATTTTATTACCTACGTTTAAGAACACAGAGATTGATGTTCCTTTATAGAGAATTTGTAAATGCTATCGCGTTTTTCTATACATTTGTGATTTGACACAATAAAATCTGTTTAGAAATCAATTATGTTGTCCTCTTTTACTTACGTTTTAAAAATATGCATAAAATTGCTTGCATATTTTTATATAAAGAAATATATCTCTTATACACACATATTAAAAATATTATATTTAAATATTAAAAATATTATATTTAAATATTAAAAATATTATATTTTAAAAAAAGGTAGTTATAAATTCTCTCTTTCGCAGGATGATTTTTTTATGATGAAAATTAATGAGGATAAATAATAAACTGTATGCTGTTATTTGCCTATAGCGACATAAAGTCATTTTATCACGTTGAAAGTTTCATTATGCTACATCGTTGTAATACGAAACTGTTATATATCGTATATTTTTAAAATTTATTTAACATCAAACATAGATTCTTCGAACAAACATTTTTACGTTATATGTAAAATATATTAATATATCTGCGGGATGTATGGCTGAGAAAAATCGTATACAAAAAATTAGTTATATAATGACATTTAATAATTTCTAAAGTGCACAATAAAGAAGATTTAAATACGTTGAATATGAGAAACATTCTCTTTTTCCGTTTAATTACTTTCGTAATTATTTATTAAGTTGTCGATAAAATAGATAATAATGTTTAATATCGAAAAAACCTAATTAATTTTAGGATTGTCAAAGGAATATTTGCGTGCTATTTTAAACTCATAGTATATATTTATGAACTTGAATTCAGCGGTTATTTTTATTTGCTCTAAAAAAGTTTTCCGTACACGAAGTATAAAATTTGCGATAAAAAGTATATTTTTAATGATAGAATTTTTTGCCTTTAGCGATATATTCTATTATCAAAGTGGAAATATAAATCTAAATTTGATATGTGTAAAATTTAGTTGAAATTGTTGTTGTAATTTAATTAAAATAGTTGTAAGCATACACGAAAAATTTGAATGTTGTACAAAGTAAGTTCGATAATTTTATTTTAATTTTTCTCGAATTTAATTTTAAATATATTAGCGAGAATTAACAATTATAATTCATAGAACACGTTCTCTCTTTATGCAAAATTTTTAATTGCGACTTTCGATCGTTCATACATATACACATTTAAGTGTATATGATTTATATGTCAATTAAGAACGTTAAAGGGCAAGCTTTTATCGATATAATGACAATTTTAGTCGGATAGATATATCAAATAGAATCCTTTGAACGTAGAGAAAATCTCATCATTATAGCGATTTCCATCGCTTATGCCTTGACAATCGATTCTCTCGTTCAAAAAAGAAAAATGTTTCTTTATCGAGAAAACACACATATCACAAAAAACATTCACATATGTTTGATATATACCTTAGGACTATTAATTTTCTTTTCAAATATAAATTATAAAACAAATTTTTTCAAAAGTAAAAAAGCTGCATCAAAAAAGCTATATGTTATAATTATATTTTTTTATATTAAATTCTTTTTATAATTAAGTCTTAAATTAAATTTAAAATAAAGTTATAATTAAGTGAGAAGATAAAATATCTTCACAATCGTCGAAATTTTATTATTAAAATAAAATGTAATTTTTTGAAAATTATTTTACTAATATTTGAAAAATCACATTATTTGTTGTAATATTTATTTAATTATTTAAGAAATAATTCTTATATCAGTGGTACTCAAATTAAGACTCATTTCATAATTATTTCTGTAATGATACAAAATATGACATGGTTAAAATTAAATGAAGAAGTCTATCAATGTAAAATATTCCTTGCCAATTCCTTTTCCCAAGATATTTTAAAAATTATAATAATAAATATCTAGCAGTATTAAATATTTTATTCAATTTTTCAAAACATTGCATAATTTTAATTATTACGCAGAAGTAAATTTTTTAAACACGTTTATCCATTTAATATCATTGTCTATTTGAGCACCACCAGTTTATATAATTACGAGAAAGAAGGCCTTGGAATTTGCGATTTATATTAAAAGTTAGAAAGTTTTGTTACTTGTTAAATGTCAGCTTCCCTTTCGATGTGTAGAGAAATTCTTAGACGAGAATACCAGTCATTTCGTGATCCCCATTGTGTCAATCTGCGATGAATGAAACTCCATTTGCTTCGGTTGAAATTCCAAATGTAACATCAATTCCACAATTCAAGGAATTATCTTACTGCGAAGACACCGGATGCCGAGAAATTCACGTAATTGCTTTAATCAGATGCCCGTCCTGAAATGTGGCAATAATCCTTTCTATATAGAAATATTCAGATTTCTCGATTAATAGAAAATTAATAGAAAACATAATTTGTAGTATACAAATTGAATAATGTAACTTTGAACATAATTCGCGATGTATTTTAGTATACATATAGATATTAAAATAGAAAAAAAGAATTTACTATATTTGAAAGAAATATATATCTTTTTTCGTAATTTTTTTTATAAAGTATCTGTTTTTTAAAAATAAATAAAAATGTAGTTGAACATAAAAATTATTTCAACTACATTTTTTATTTATTCCTAAAAAAACCGACTTTATAAAAAAAATTACGAACAAAGATATATATTTCTTTCAAATATAAATTCTTTTTTTCTATTTAATATTACATATTATATAATTTTAAATATAAATTAAAAAGCTTTCATCAGTTTTATCAGTTTTTAAACAAATCAATAAATTAATTTCCCAAAAATGGTTTTCAAAATCAATTAATGAATCAATAGCACAAAATAATTTTATTAAATTTAATAATTCAGAATAATTCAATATCGCGTTCGCTATTTCAAATTGGATGTAATCGAACGTAAATAGTTTTAATTATAAAATTAGGAACGGAGTATTTTATTTTAATAACGCTTCAAATTAGAGATACTCTATTACTTTGTAAAAAAATAAATAAAAAAATTACAAATTAAAAAAACCATTAAGCGATCGAAAGCAATAAAACTGAAGGCAATAAAAAGCCACGAATCAAATACATATCACATCAAAAGCTTCTGCTGGATGTAATCACGAAAATTGCAATTCACTGGCGTTTGCTCTTGCCATTTTCTGCACCAGTGCCTTATTTGGACATTGTAACTATTATATAACTCAAAAAATATATTTGTTTCATACTTGCTCTGGAAAGTCTGTCTACTTCGTCAACTATTATAGCAATTCTTTTATCTCTCATGCAACATGGAATTAAGTAAACAATAATTATAATATGCAAATCTTGGTTTCGTCATCAAATTATTCAGTTTCATTACATTTATTACGATTACTGTATTTTTATAATTAAAAAATGCTTATGTCACATTTGTCTGTATGGTAATAAACTTTTTTAAACTATGTATAATTTACGACTAAAATAACAGCTACTTGAAAATGCAAAAAGGATAATGGAAAGGCACTTTTAAATATTACATGCATTCAAATACGCGCATGCAGATTGCAATTCTAAAATAATATTACAATATTCTATTATATGTAAAATAAATAAAACATAAAAAAGACTTTTAATATATATTTCTTCTTGTTTAACAACGACTAGTAATAAATGTAATTGTATAACATATAATATAACATAATGTAAGTAAACATCACACGAAGAAAACTAATAAAATGGATTAATAATCAAATGTATCTAAATACCTCGAGGAAATGCGCATTCAATCTCCCTATCTCTTTGTCCTTGTGTTCTGTAATAACGCAAAAATGTTGTAAATAAGTTGCCCTGAAGAATTATGCAAAAAATTCAATATTAATATTTTTACGATTAATTATATACAACTGTAATGCTTGCTAGTTATTTGTAAATTGAAAATATGTATGAAAACTTGTTTTACATCATTTTCGATATATTAATAGTAATAAAATTAAATTATCCCTTAAGACACAATTTCTATCTTACGGTTTGGAATTATATGCTATTAATTTTTATCTAAATTTATAATTTTAAAATGAGAAAATTATACTTGGAAATTTAGAAATATAAAATTTACATCTTTACATTCTTGATTGCATCTCAATAAGAGATGATCAATTTATTTTTTTACCATCATAATGTCCATCTCATTTGTGATTGTTACTATAAGAAATATGTTTATATTTCAAAAATCGAGGAATAAAATATATGCATTTTATCTATATAATATATATATATATATATATACACATGTACTTTTGCAAAAGCGATCGATCGTCGATCGGTTTGATTAAAAAAGGACTTAAATCAGGGATCGACGGCAATAAACAAATTTTCTTTATCTTTATTATTACTTACTCGACAGATCGATCTAGTGGTGAAGTATTTCCGTCGCGACAGCACAATCTTACTAAACCAGAAGTCCTCGTTTCTTCTTTTTCCATCTCGATCACTGTGTCACATATGCATGTTCCACAAATCATCAAATTCGGTTTTTGTATCGTTGTTCGATTAACACACAAATATTTGCGAGATAAACCAGCAAAGTTAATCTTTGCAAATTAAATAAATTATTTAATTTAATTAGAGAAAAAGGATATATAAAATAAAAAATTTTGAACTATGAAGACTTATAATGAAACTTCTTTGTGAATATTTTTTAAATTGCATATATGCATGCATCATTAACTTATACATGTGAGGCTATATCAGAATTATAAATTTCCAATTTTCGCAATGCTATTTTGCAGCTACATCGCAGTTAATTCATTAGTGAGATATTAATGAGATATTATTTCCTTAATGAGATTGTCGCAAGTAATCATCGCATATTTACAATTGTTTTCTGTACAATTGTTACATACGCAATATTAATAATTGTTCTGCACTTTAGCATACATAACAATTTTTATTGACACAAAATTATTCTACCCTTTGGACGGACAATTAATAGAAAAAGCAGGTATATATGAAAATGTATGCATAAGTTATTTGCTATTCAAATATATTTTGTACACATTGTGCTTATTGAAATATTTATATCAAAGATAATTTCATATTAATTTTTTCACACTTACCCGTCGAAGTTATTCGATGAGGTTGACAGCTGAAGGTCGATTGTTTTCTGTTCTGATTGCCTCTTCTTAGAAAGAGATAAACGGCAATAGTTTTATGCAAAACGAGTCGTACCTGGGTGAAGAATAATATAAAATTACCGATAGTACATTATAACAGTTTATTATAAAAATAATTATTAAATAAAATGAATAATTATCAAATAAAATTAATAATTACACTGTACAGATTATTTTAGATTGAGCGTGTTTTCCATTTCTATATTATTCTCTACTTTTAATTGCAATTTTTTGACCAATTTTGCTGTTACTTTTCATTATCAAAAATATTAATATAAAATGAAGATATAATTTTCAAATATATTTATTTTTATGCATTATTAAAAATGGAAAAAAACGTAGAAAGAAAATGTAATGCAATGATTTAAAACTTTTTACTCACCTCGCCATTAAGGAAACAATAAAAGGTCGCGATGAAAAGGCCCTGAAATGATCGCAAAAAATGCGTCGAGTATGACCAGACCGCGAACTTGCTTACGTTATCCAATGGGGCCTCAATCATAAAGAGTATATTAGTGATGCCTAATAATGGTAAAAGTACCACGGTCGCTTTCACGGCTTTTCTGCGAGCAGCAAACGAATCGCCTTTAATGAGAATCGCTTTCAGTGTTCATAATAAAAATAGTTAGTTGTACAACAAAAATCATTTATAAGATGCAACTCAGTAATAACAAATCACATAAATAATAAATCACGTTTCATTAAGAACGAGGAGATTCATATTTTAAATTGCTCAATCGAGCAGCAAATAAACTCGAAGAATAAGTCATTCAAATGAATATATCAAAAAATCAATAATCATCTGCGCCAATTTCTTGCATGTTCCATCTCTGTGAATTTTGCGTTTGAATTTCTGTTTGAGAAAGCGCGTATTTTCCATTAATTTGCACTTGAAAATGCTTTTAAGGTTGGTATGCCAGTGTCGCATTATTGATCTTAGAGTTAATATCGTTCGTGTTTGTACTCACTATTCAAATAACATTAATAAAATATTATATTTGTAATAAATTTATTAATAAAATAATTAAAATATTAAAAATAAATATTGATTTTAAAATATTGAAAAATATCGATGTTAAAAATAAATATTATATCCGAGTGATATATGAATTACAAATATAAAAATATGTATTAATTTTAATAATGTAAATAAAATTTGAACAAAATACACATTTAATTTTTTTAGATATTAAAATATTTATATAATTGTCCAAATAATATTGTATAAAATAATTAAACTCATTTATAAAAGATCAATTTAATCAAAAACAGTTTTGCGAGGAATTACAACTTCCAAGCTTGAAAACAATGTTTTAAGCTTTTTAATATTTTGGCAAAAAACATTAAATTCCGCTTATACTTACAGAACTTGTTTAATTTCGCTCGTATGACTCTGTCGTAACTTCACTACGAGCACTCTTATAATGTTCAGCAAAAACAAGAAATTGAGCTAAAAGAAGAAAATTATATAGTTATTAGTAATTAAATTTAATTAATTATTTAATATAATCAGTTGAAAAATCTCTCATGTTTTCTTCTCTTTTTTAGCGATGAAACTCAATAGCAATATAATACATATATACATATGTTATTTCTAACATTGTACATATATATTACAATTTTACTATTTATCACATAATTAAGAAATATAATTAATATAGAAACAATCTATGTGCGTTTGTGTGTGTACGCGTGTGTCTGCGTAATTAATGTAATACAATATAAAGTATGCAAAATATTAGATTTCATTCATTATTTTCAAATTATTATTTATATTTCGTTATAATCACTAACGGATCCTGACATCGATAATGGGAGAGGGAGGAGGGTTTCTGCAAAATTATTTATAATTAATATTTTTTGTTTCATGCTTTTGCTCCAGAATCAACGACAAATTTTTTAATTTGATTAATTGGGAGGAAGGGGAGTAATGCCCGGATCCGTTAGTGGTTATAATAATATATTCACCAATATAACCGCAAATCTGGGTCCCTCGAGGATCCAAAATAGGACGATAAATTGTATCCTGACCAGCACCTGAGAAATCTAATATTGCGAAATGTTGTAATAAATGTCTGACTACAGAGTACAGTTGCATCACTACTGAATAAATTGTTATAAAGCGTTATTTTTTTTAATCAAAATAGAATTAATTTTTCTTAACAAAGATATCTTTCATTTTTTAGATAATCTATAATTAAAAATAAATTATTTGCGCAGAGTAACCTCAGAGTGATATACATAGATAATATAATCATATTCTTTAATTCTATTTTTAAACTTTTATTGAATTTTAAAAAATACTTTAAAAATATTATTTTAAGACTTTACTTATTGTATAAAAATACAGAATTGTGAAATTTACTTAACAATTAAGTAATCAACGCACTTTGATTTTGGATGATAATAAAACGTCATAATGATAGCCCAAGCCAAGGTCATCAGCACCGGACATCCCCATCCAATGAATCGATACATTCGGTAATAAGATGTCTCTTGGAAGACTGTCACTATATAATCGTAATCATTGACATTCAATAACGTGTGGCAGTAATTTAATTTAATTAGACACAAGATTTTGTCAAGTATTTATTGTTTGATCGATTATTTTATAATATTTTAATTTTTTTCGAAATTCTGTGAATATAAAAATTATATATAATAACTTCAACATCATAGCTAGCAGTCTTTAAGTCTGAAGTTCTTTTTTAAAGCTGTTTCAACGTAAGAATCGTACGATATATTTTTAAAGATACTTTTGAAAATAATATAACGCAACTTCTATTTAAAAATAATATATACATATATAATGTACTAATGTACATGCGACTACTTACCAGTCACCATATTGTGCAGAAATAGACCCTCTATGAACATCCACATAAACATCGCGGTCTTCACATATTCTAGTAGCACGTAAGTGGCTTCGCATAGCACCGGCTGAAAAAAAAATAAATAAATCGGCTTTTCACGAGAGAACGAAAATATAAATTGTGCAAAATCTGTCTCTTTGTGAAAAAAAGAAACAAAAAGAAAAGTGACACCGAGTATTCGATAACGCATTTATTTGACCCGGAACGACTTGATTGCAGTGTTGATGGAATTATATTCTCGATTCTCATGCTTCGCAAAGAAGATTTATTTACGTCGAAGAAAGTAGTAATACAGAAAATGTTTTTCTAATTACATAACGGAAAATAATGTGATAGAGAAATGCGGTAAAAATATTTAATTAATTTTCTATATAAAGGTTTTTCGAAAAAAAAAAAAATTAAAAATGTTTTCTCTTTCTTCGTAGAATCATAACAGTGAAATAATCTTATTTCGTATCTTACAGTATTTCCTATTCCTCGTTGAAGGCTGTGTGGCTTTCTTCGAAAAATCGCAATGTCTATGTACAGTATTAATCTGATTAGCACCTGCACAACCATGGCAACAAAAAGATTCTTGTGGATTCTGGTCCTCGTATTTCGTAAGGACCTATAAAATTTTAAGTAATATAGATTACAAAAATAAAATCATAAAGTAGTTAAACGGATAAAAAATAATAAATATAAAAAAATTGTTAATATAAAATTTAAATTGAAACTTGTCATATCATCCAAGCAATGACGAATTCAAAGTATATTATAGTTTTCAAACCAATACAAGCATCTTCGAGATGTTATCATTCATCAGTTGATAGGCCAGCAAATTATAGAAGACTTAGCTGAGGCTTCAATATATTTTTATTTTCATGTCAAAAACGCTAAAGCTTTAAAGATATAAATAGATGTAAAGAATAGATGCTTAGTTTTTTAATTGTATTAACTTCTCAACGAGACATATACAAATTAATATCCGATCTTCGCAGTGAATCCACCGAATGCATTTTACATAATTTAGTACATTTCATTGGATTAATTAATCTATGTATGATTTTATACTATAAAGCGTATAAATGTGTGCATGCATATATATATATATATATATATATATATATATATATATAATGTATGTGTGTGTAATCGTCAATAACTATTGATATATGAACACATAATTATACTTTCCATCAAATATCGTCAGTACAATTGTGAATACATATATACATAATTATCAATCTCATTAATGATTTATATATTAATATAATACACTACACTGTCCATCAAATGTAGACAATTGTGAATATTTTTCTAAAAGAATTGAATTTTTAGTACTTTTAAAACGCATTCAAATGTGTGTAGGTATTCAAATTGTTTGTAAAAACTTGATTGAAACTTAATAAATAATTTTGAAATCCAATTCTTTCAGAAAAATATTCATAATTGTGTTTTCCATATTTGACGGAAAGCATTATTATTTGTATGTATTCATATACCATTAATTACTGAGACTGATGGATACATATTTCGCGCAAATTACTGTTTTGTTTCTAAATTATAAATTTTTGTAAATAAATAAAAAAATAAATCCCAATCTCAAATAAATACTTAGGTAATATGAATTATTTATAAGCTAAACAAATTATTTCTTTTTCTCGAAACACTCACCTAAATCGACAGAAGATCAACAGGGAAGCAAGTAAAGTCACCAAAGAAATACTAAGACCAACAAACTCCAGGGTACGGGTCTTTTCTGCTATTTCCATTTTCATCTGAAAAAAGCATGAAAACATGAAATTCGTGCATTGATATGAAGAAAAATTTGCATCTCATCGATATACTGTAAAAACTTGCAAAATTTCTCAAAAAAAAGTATATCCTAAATTTTTTGATGAAGCGAGTTATCTGGAGAAACTAAGTTATCGCACATTTCTATACTATAAACATTTAAAAATAGCTTTCATATTTATTTTTCATTGATTAAATAATTTATTAACTGTAAATTTTAACTAACTAATCATGTATCAAATATAATATATGTATGTATACCTACGTATAGAATCTGTATTTTATATACATAGGTATACATACGTAGGTATTCATTACATTCATTATATACATGTTATATTTGATTTGTAATGCATATCGTACAACATTTGTATGTCAGAGACAATATAAAGTACAATTAACTCATTCAAGTAAACACACAATAAAGTAACAGTAACATAACATCAATGTTATAATTTTCCACTCAACAACTCATGTAACTGTTACGTACGAGGCATGTTATATTGCGGTTACATTGTTGAGTGGGAAATTAACATTGGTGTTATAGTACTGTTACTTTGTATTTACTGAGCTAATGGAATTCATCTTGGAAAGCAATTTCGTGGAAAAACTTATAAAATAGCGTTCCTAAATTATATATACAGTTACAAGAAATTAATTTGCTCGAATACGCAGCAAATGAACTAGTTGCATGAAAATACGCTTCCAATATTTGCTACTGCTATATACTCACATATAAAAAAATTGTTTATAATATGTAAATTACGTGCAGAAATAATATTTGAAGAGTTCACAAAAATAGTGAAGATTCAACTTTATATGATAAACAATATTATTATTTGCTGTTCACGTCATGTGGGTATTGACATTTATTTAAAATTTAAAAAAAATATAAATTTAATTAAAATTAATTTTTTAAATCTATATACTATAATATATAAAAGGTAAAATTCTTCTCTCGATATATACTATAATATATATTGTTATTTTCTTTAATATAGATGTATATACCCAGATAGACATATATCAGCAGATTGCCTGCATAATAACAACATTTTAAAATTGAAAATGCTTGCATAAACATTAACAGATGTGTGTTCATGTGTATGACATGAGTATTGTCAGCAAGTGAAAGGATCTTCTAATGCTGTGAAAATTGCGAAAATATGTTGCTTATTTTGTCAGAAATATAATAATTGCAATTGTGCGTTTATAGCATAGTGAAACATTGCTATTTTATAAATTATACAAAATATATGTTAACAATATGACATAATAATGCACAATTAAAATTTATTAAAATAATTCGTAATTTTATGTTGTTCTAATTGCATTACAAAGTATACATAAAATGTTTGCATACTATGTTCAGCATATCTGTCTATCTGGGTGTTAATTAAAACATTACTTTTTGAAATATTAATTATACTATATTGCCTTTCTAAATCACTTTGAAGAATACAATTTAAGAAGTACTAATTAATTCTTAAATATCAAATTAAGTTTAATCAATATTTGAAAGCTGAATATAAAACCATTTTAATTAATTTTAAAAAACTATATATATAGTCTTAATATCTAAAATCTAAAATATAATTAATTTTAATTAAAAAATCTTGAGAAAAATTTAATAAATTAATTATAATTAATAAGTCACACTAAGTAATTTAAACAAAGACCACATTGTTTATTTAATTCAACATCATATAATTGTATCCAATTTTGATTTGATCACAGAAATTCATATATTGTGATCTGTCAAATATAATGCCTGGATGATATACTTACATCGCCTTCAATATTATTGTTGTAGACCCTGAAATGAAGCCACAGCATTTCTGGTGTTAAGCAAGTGGTATAGTTCGCCCAACCGGTGGGTAAATCTTCATCCGTGCTTGTGCCATTCTGCGACTCCCAACGTCCATTGTAGCCGCATTTTTTCTCCACGGATTCTGAAAAAAAAAAAAAAAAAAAAGGAAACATAAGAAGAATTGAGAACTAAATATACGTGTTGTTTCATATCCTCGCAAAAGAAATATCTTTATTTAGTTATATTATTTATTTTAATATATAAATAATTCATACATATGTACATAAATTAATAAAATAACTAATATAAATATTTAATATATATTATTTGTATATTAAGAAACGCATACCACATCGTAAATAGAAATGACGCATTCATCCCGAGATTTCGAGAGATGAAAGAGAAGAGATTCTCACATAGCATGCAACGTCTTAAAGATTTCCTTTAAGCTCAGAAAATTGAAGGGTTGACCGCTTTGGCATACCTATACCATTCAACATGTTGCATATGAAATGACGTAATGGAGAAGTGCTATATCATGTTACTATACTATGAGATAAATCGCCAAGATTCTAGTAAAGTTTGCTGGGCACAATATTTCATTGAATCAATAACTTGAATTTTATCTCAGTTACTCTCGGTCTTTATTTTGTGAGATCTAAAATCTCATTTTGTACTTCCGAAATTTAAAAGAGCGTTATAAATTTCCTTCATCACACGCGGCTGACTATATAAGAATTTTCTGAAATAGAATTATTTTTGAATTTAAAAAATGTCAAAATATTTTAAAGTCTCTTTTTCTTTTTAAGCTAAACTTTTCAACGTAAAGAAACAAAATAACGATAATAAGTTCTACATGAAAAGTATCTTTGTAAATATGAAAATAATCATATTAATCATATTTAATTAAAAAGAAATTATTTTCTAGATAATATTTTTTCGGTAAAAGTTTATAAATAAGTTGATAATTGAAAATGTTTTATATCAAGATTCATTAATATATGTTTGTGTAAATATCAATGTAAATTTATTTTTGAAAAATAATATGAGCAATTTTATTATTTAAACTAAGATTTGTAGCTGTGTTAAATTTCCTAGATTAAAAACTATAATATACGCAAGCAATTGTGATAAGTTTTTCACAGTTTTAGGCAGCATTTGCACTAACAATTATTAATTATTTGACATGATCTTTTATAGACCAAAATACAAAATCGAGCATTAAAAATTGTATAACGAATAAAAGTTACATCGCTTTATTTGTGATAAAAAAAAATAAACTTACTGTAATATCGACAGAAACTGATTATTTCACATATTATTAGCATTTTGAAATGGCTGGTTGACAAGAAAAATGACATTTTATTTATTAAGATGTCTCGAAGCAAATTCCCTTCATATTTATTATTTTGTTGCAACATCGATGATGCAGTTTGTATATCGGAGTAAGTTCTCAAGCATGTTTAATAAAAAAATGAAATTATGTCAAATAAATATACTGAAAATTCTCCTTGTTTTCCAACAATATCTTTATAAAATTGCTTCCATCCGTACAAATAAATTTCAAATAACAATGTTTTAAAATATACAAGTCGGTTATTTTATAACAATAAAAATGTACTAAAAATTTTTCTTTTTTTTCAATAATATTTTTATAAAATTGCTTCTATTCTCGCAAATAAATTTCAAATAATATTTATAAAAATTTACAAGTCGGTGATTGTTATATATATATATATATATATATATATATATATATATATATATATATATATATTTATCGATATAAATTAGACAAACAAATCTATGAATAAATTTATAAAATAGAAATTGCATATGAAAAAAGTATTTCTGTTGCAATTTTTTTTTAAATGTTAGAAAATTTCAGAACACTGTAAAGCGCTCTTGAAAGCTGTTGAGAAGTTCTCGCGATAAACGATACTTCAACAAAAATATATGTAGATCTACGACGTTTTCGAAATAAAGCGAACATTTTGTAACAATATCATGGTTTTTAAAAATCCTGTATATACTACTATAAAACGCAATTTTATTTCAAATTCTATTTTAAGTTAATAATCAGATATAAATAAATGCCACGACGGCAAAACTTTTTTAAATGTAATGTCGCGTTATGAACAAAAAACTCATTGTCAGACTAGTCGTTCGTATAAAGCATCGTATTATTTTAAGTTTTTTTATTTTTTATCTAAGTTAATTAAAATTAAAATTATTTTATTTCCAATAAGTACAACGTAATTAAAAAAGAACGAAAAATTTGATTATAAAAAATGCGAACATATAAATACAAGTATCTACTAAAATAATTTATTTATAATTTTTTTTACATAAAATGCAAATCAGTCTATTTTGAGCACAGAAACGATATTGCACCTATTTCATATTAAAGGGGAAGTACTGTTACGATTCATCATTGGAGCAAAAATCATCTTTAACAAAACTTACTTTACAATATTAATTTTGAACTTTCGATAAATGAATATTCCTAATTTTAACATGTATTGTCAAATCAATTTTCAACAAATTATTTGTACGCATAAGAGATAGAAATCGCAAAAAATTAAGATGATTCAAGAGCCATTTCACAAATGCATATCTATCTTATGTATGTACTTACTAGTTGTATCGAATCCATCCACAAAAGGGCATCGTTGTTTTGCTGTGGTAAAGGCTTTTGTTGGCGGCCAACAGAGCAACGAATCCCATACAGGATTGCACCAGAATTCTGAAAACAGAGAAAAAATAAAGAGATATAAATTGCTGCCTCCCCATCTCTCATTTCGAAATTGTAATAACTGAAATATTTTCAGATAAAAAAAATATGTGAACGGGTTACATGATTGCGATGGGAAAAACGATACAATTTTTTGAGAATTATACTTTACCTCCATACGGTGCGACGAAACGTTTGTACTGAACATCACAGAATTCTTGGGTGTTATTGCCGCTGGCATCTAGATCCATTTTTCTTCTAAGAGTCCATTTTGCTCATTGTCAGTGTCTCTACATTGTTATTTTGATATTTGCCATGTACTCGAATAAAAACGTTTAGCGTTCTGTAAATAAGTTCTTTTGTCTTTCACTTTGTTTTTTCTATAAATAAATTATAAATTAAGTTTGCTCTTCTCTCTCTTGCAAAAAAATATGTTTGCGTGTATTTTTTTCTAAGTCCATCTTCTCTCTTCACAAATTTAGAATAAAATTTCTTTATAAGAAATTCATATGCAAAAATTTTAAAACAATTATTTGACGCTAATACATTAATGTGCAATTTTTATTTGAAAAAGCAGAGAAATAATAGCTTGTGAATATTATCTGTGTTGGAGCATTGCTTCGCATTTCTTTTAGAATACATTCATCTCTTGTAAAAAAAATTATGGTTGCTTTGATTATGTCAACAATATTACCTTTCGTGTAAATACAAAAGTTTATTAAAATGCAATGGTTAATCACACTAAATTTATTTAAGAGACATGTCTTTGATGTTTGATACAATTATAAACGATGGTTATTTATAGCCAAGTTCAACTAATCTGTTTCTCGCAATTTAATATTTGTTAATAAAACAACATATGTACTAAAAAATGCAGAGTGTGATAAGTTATCACATTCATATCATTATACTATTTATAAATAAACAGAACCAATGTATAAATATTTACTTAACTGTTCAGAATTATTTGCAATCTCACATAAGTATATGTAAATATAAGCGTTCATTCGCGTATTCAAATTAAATTGTCTCTGCATAATTCTCTTAATAATAATATATATATATATATATATATATATATATATATATATTATTTCTATATGTATATATTTGATAGTTTCGAAAGACTATTTAATTAATAATTAGACTATTAATTTTAAAAAATGAGTTTTGCTCTTTCAAATAATTATAACTATTATAATAAGCAACAATAATTATGTGTTAAGTCTCGAAAGTAGTCTGAAAAGAATATATAAAAGAAAAGAAAAAAGTTGTTTATAATTGTGCTAACTAAATAATTTTGATTCAACTGAATGTAATTTGATTAATTAAAATATATATAACAATCATAAAATATTGAAATTAATTTAAAAAATTGTAAATTATAAAAATAGCAATACATACTTTTGTATAATAATAATGGCAAATATTAAAGAGTGTTTTAATAACATTAAGATTTCGTAAAATACAAAAAATTCGTTCATTTTGTTGTCACATAATAGGATTCATATTTTTACATATCTGCATGATTATAAAATATGTATGTATTTAAAAGTATTTACAAGGTTTTTACGATTTTAAAGTCACATGTTTTTGTTTTATCGTATATATCCATTAAATTACCAAAGTATATTTAGTTTAATTTCTTCTTTCTCATGTAGTTTAAATACTTAAAGAACTCTTTTCTAAAATATGTAATTTTTCATAACAATAATTTTTATTTTATATTAAAAATAAAAGCTATTAATATCAATATATAATATTTTAAGCTAGGTTTAAATGTAAAATAATTTATTCGTATTAGATACATATAAAAGCTACTATTAGTAGTAATATAAGTTACTGTTCATGTCAGCATATCAATATGCGCGGCCCTATTGAGCTTTCAAGTGAAAGAGGTCAAGCCGAGAATTAACACATTCTCCGATAAAGTAGCTTGAAAGATTTAAATGCTCCCAAAAATCTGTCATGATCTTATTATTCTGTGTATGACGTCAACGATCAAGAGATTATCTGAAAGATCAGCTCTCTCCATAGTCAGCACATAAAAAAATGTTCAAATTAAATCTAATATTATAAATATATATTATAAATATTAAAATTAAATAATTATATTCTAATTTTTGCAATACGCGATTCAATATCTATATATCTTTATAGAATTTAAAAAATTTTCGATTTTAAAGAAATGAAACTACGGATTTTTATTTAAGGCTCATGCTCTCGAGATTTTCTATTGTTAGTGAACAATCGATTGTGGTCAATATGTTGCAATTTGCAACCACAAAGTTAGAATAATTTTTTTCTAAATAAATCTTTCACGTATACGTGATTATATTGAAATAAAAATAGGTTTTTTTCTCCGCATTCAGTAGAAATTTAAACTTTTACTTTTATAAACTTAATACAAAAAAGATTATATTTTATTTCCAATTTTATATTTTACATTTTAGTCAACTTAAACAACTTTTATTATTAGAATAATAATAAATCGAATAGACTCTAATACATAAATGCAAATTCAGACATAAAAAAGGTAGTAAGAGCCAGACACATATGTTAAAGTGCAATAAAATTCTTTTTAAATTCCTCTCTATCTTTATTTTGAAATAAGTATTTATTAGAAAAGTAGAAAATATCAGAGAGAGAGCATTTTAACAAATACATTTGCATAATATTTTATTGCAATTAGTTATCAAAATATTTCCTTGTCATGTATTGTCCACATAATGTGCAATTTGATTAACAAGCGTATATTTAAAATTCAATAAAATTAAGACACACGTAGCAATGATTCAAAATTCAAAGCATGTGTTGAAAATCACGCGACATTGTTTTCCTATTTTTTCGATAGATCTAAAAATAACCAAAATATGCACGTCGGCATGTGGATATAATTTGACATATTTCTATTTATAAAGTCGGTCATCAATTTTAGTATCTTTATAATTAATCTATTAAAAAATATTAATTTATTAAAGAAAAATCTATTGTTGAAATTAAATAAAAAAATTATAAATAAAAAATATAAATAAATATGATTTTTTATATAACAGAATTTATTGTATAGTAATTTATCTAATGCTCTATTCTAATTGTAAATATAATTATTTGTAAAATTATAGTTATTATATAATAATTCGTATATTTAAATTAGATTAGTTGAATTAACTGTATATCCACATCATCATATATATATTATATTAAATATACATAAAAAATAAACTCTCCCTATAGTTAATATCATGGATTAAATTAATGTGTCATGTTTAATTTCAAATGTAAAAAATCATTGGTGTTATATTATTAATTTTCGAAACTCTATATCGATCCTCTACAAATCGCTGTGGGATTTGTAAAGATAAATAAAGAAGCTTCTCTTTTCACACAAAACTTGTTTTAATAATTAGAATAATTAGAATAAAGTTTTATTCTAATTATTCTAATTATTAAAACAAGTTTTGTGTGAAAAGAGAAGCTTCTGTTTATGAACGCGTTTTGACTTACAGATTTTTGGCTATATTTTATTTTAGGCGAAAAACAACAGTGAGAGAGGAATGTTTAGATTTAAAATTTTAATTTGCGCCTCAAAATTTGTATATCTGACATACACATATTGTCGCACATATTTTCCGACATGTTCATAAAATACCTTTCTAAAACTCGACAGATATTTCGATTATTTAAATATAAAATAAATATTAAATGCTAACTTTTTGTAATAATATAGACAAGCTAATAAAGCTAAGCATTAACTATAAAAAAAATCATCTGAAATATAAAATAATATATAGAAATAAAAGATTAATAAAATTATATTATATATTATATTATACATATATGTCTTCCTTTATCGAAATTGTGGAAGCAATAAAAATTATAATTATTACAAAACACAATAATACTGAAATTAATTTGAAATTTTTTTTACATATAAATTACAGTATTAATATAGAAATGAACCATAATTTGATAGTATTTTATATTATAATAAGTAATTATAACAACGTACTGAATAAAATCTTACCAGTATTTTCGGCGCTTCCCTGCCAGTAGTTCAAGTCAGTATTAGTCAGTCCCGGTCTGACACAAATGGCTTTTCCATTCTTCAGAATTCTTCAAACAATGAAAAGTATGTATGAATATTAAGATTTATATTGATGTCACACAGAATGATATATTTAACTCAATAAAAATGATTTTCAATAAAAAATGATACATCTAATTTATTAATTTCTCTATGATTAATAAACGTGTTAAAAGCTATGATATTTAAAAAATAATTAAAATTATATTTCACATATGTATAACTATGAACTAATTATATCTTGTCATAGATATTTGTATTTCATGCAACAATCTTTAATCTGAAAACCAAAAAACATAGAAGAAGAGAAAAACAATTATACAACTAAATATGATAATTAATGCTGCGTTTTAATTGAAAATAAATGAACTCAATATATATATACTTTACTTTAATTTCTATTACTGAAACATTATGAGAAAAAATTAGACTCCATAAGAAAATTTGACAATTATTGTTAAAAATTTGCAATTGAATTTAAAGTAAAGATTGAGAGAAAAATTCCGCGGTATATAGATGAAGAAATTCGTCATGTAAGTAAGCTTTTTAGAACAGAATTATTTCATGAATCGTTTTCGAAGACCGACCGACACACGAAGATCTCAATGGATGCGCGTCGACTGTTTCGCACTTGTATGAATCGCGTTTCTCAACCCTTAGCGCAGCTTCCCCCACTGATCCAGCTGTTCGCCAGTCGTATATCACTACCTCTATCGCTGCTTCTTTCATGATTTGAACGGGTTTAATATACATAACTCTTTTACGACTCTATGCCTTTGAAGATTTCACGTCCGGAATTTTTGCGCCATATTTTTGATAGAGAACAAAATTTCTTCCGGCATCTTATACAATTTCCGATCATCATTTTTATTATCTCGACATTTTTCCGCCTTTAAATTAATATTCCGAGTCTTTCGAATCGATCGAGAGAATATCTCACAAAAGCAACCTGCGCGTAATGGAATAAAATCTCTTCCTCTGTGCTCCTTTATTTAATAACATCAAAGTTACAAAAAAAATTAAAGAAGACGTGGGATTCGATAATGATCTCGTAATGACAGGCAAATATACGCTCATATAATGTAACACGTGTGTAACAAAATATCGCCTCGAGCTATGTTATATATTGTTATGCGATGCAAGAAAAGAAAGCACGGTGAATGTAACACAATTCTGCAATATTAATAACGATAGACGCATTTTAAAATATATGTGTACGTTGCGTTATATAAGATATTTTTCCTGAATACTTATATATTATCATTGTAATTTCACGAAAATTGAAGCAAATCAAAATATTTTCCATATTTACTTTAAAGTGCTGTAAAAGTAGTCAATACAACGTAGAAATACAGGAACAAACTTCAGGATATCAGCTGATGGCACAAATAGGAAATGCCATTTGCCTTCATTTAAGTGCTACATATCTAAATTACATATATATATTTCTCGTATATATGTAAATCACACAGTAGTAAATATATTTGAGACACAGACTCGACAATAACTAATGATATATTATATAATATTTAATTGTATATTATTTAAGTATCGTGCAATATATGTATTCAGAAGAAGTATACATGAATTAAGAAAATATCTTCAAAAACAACAATAATTTTATAGCATAAAAAAGAGCGCAAATTTTATTTTATTAATTATTCTTCTTTTACCTTCTTTCATATTCTTATTTTATATATCTTATATATTCATTATATATGTTGCCTCTGTTTTTATTTTGCCATTATTAATAAGCAAGTATATTTAAGATGTTTTTAATATTAGTTGCAGTACAAAGCGAAGATATCCCTTGGTATCCCTATTAATGTCAGCATCGTTAACTTTGCGTAACGACGTGCACGTGTCCAATATCCCATGGTTGTCGCATTTACTTTCCCGCGTTAATTAAACGAGAAGCATATACAATTTGTTAATTAATATTACGTGAACAATTGTTGTGTATCAGAGATTGCAAATAGCGCGCGTTTCCAAACCGCGTCGTTTACGTAACGCGACTAACACGCAGGTAGGGAAAGAGTACACGTTACGCGGCCACGTGACCGCGTGTAATGATGTTACATGATGAAGGACGCGCTTTCGTTTGCGCGCTTATCGGCCATGTGAGCGTCCTATCCCCGTTTAATTCCCCACGAGAATTCAAAATTTACATAAATAAGTATATTATGCAAATAGAAAAATTCTATAAACTAGACTTTTCTACGATATATATCTAGAGCATAATAATTGTTTTGTTGTGTCATACGTTTGATTAATATTCGCAGAAAAGAAAAATGAGAGAGAAGAGAAGCAGAAATAAAGAAATTGTTATATTACATTTTAATAATTACCTTACAATAATGTCTAGCTCTTCTTTCCTCCGTGAACATTTTTTTATAATGCACAGTACATTGCGTATATTTTTTCACGCTATTTATATTATATTTTCCTGACGATATTTGTATGTATAATTTCTACAGATTTCTATAGAAGTCTGTGATAATTTCTTCAGCAGTTACCTGAAATTGTAAAAAATATATAATGCATAGAAAACAATCTTTTTAGTAGAAAAACAACTTTTTATGATTAGTAAATACCACAAACTTTTATATATGTATAATATAGAACATAGACGCATGTGCATCTATTGCACATTGAAAGGTTATTACTCCTGAACTGTATTAAAGACTAACTATTATTATTCCTGTATCGACTTCTTCACAACATACCTGTTTCACAATAGAAATAATCATGTTACATAATTTTTACAACTAAAATAGTGTTTTCTAATTTAAATATTCTTATAGCAACAAATGCTATACACATCTTATATTTCATATATTATTTTGATTACATGTCTATCTATAATCTACATCAATAAATTATTTTAAGAAGCTGAATAAGAGGTATGATATATAATTATAAAGAGATAGACTGATAGACAGAACATTTTAATATAGTATAATCACATTAAGTGCACCGATAGCATCAATATTGTTAAATATGAGTTAAATTTAAAACACTTATTTCTATTTGCTGTTTAAATAAATAGTTGTATATTAATCATATTTTAAACATAAACAAAACTTAATTAAATTAAAAGTTATACGTGAACTTGATTGTTCGGAAAATGATGAACAAAATTAATGTTATCAGTTGCTACAATTAATCTAACTTTTTATCACTTAACATGAGATAAGCGTTAAATTTATAAATTAATATTATTTTTATATGTCTAAATTACAACTATGTAAACGCAATATAATTTTGTATTATATTCCTCAAATTAACAGTCATAATTTTCCGAACAATGTAACATAAACAAAAAATAAACTCACATTATATTGAGTCGATTATCAAAACCTCTCTGCTTCAATATATCCATTTAATGTTCCACTGCTGCTCTGCTATAATCCCTCATGGTTTGGCACTTACACTGCTCCCTGCACTGTTTTTTCTATTATTTTATATTTACAATAATTATTTATCACACTTCACTACACACAGATATTCTTCGAAATAAACGGACGATACGAAAAAAATAAGATCACTCGCGAATGCATTCGGCACTTTCGATCCCGCTCGATCACGTTCGATATCGCATTCGCGAATAAAAACACGAACAAAATATCTGTTGAAAAAACCTACTTTTCCAATTCGAGGAAAGCGAGCGTCTGAATATTAAACACATTAAACGCATCGAAATATTATTTATAAAAAATAACACAGCCATCAGGTACATGCCTTTTAGGCTAGAAATACCCTTAATTCGTGACATCACTGACATCTCACGGCGCGCCGCGTCTTTACGTGACATCGCGAAGTGAGCGGAAAGTGTCATGGTGACACTTGCGCGCTACTGTTACGCGGATAGTCTCGGTAGCTCAGTATCTGCAACGGCCTTCACTCATCACTCCCCTACAATTTGAATCGCCGATATCAATGAAATCGCGATCCTCCGACACTCCCGGATACCCGTTGACGCCCGGATGCTCTTCGCGAAGATTATTCAGTCCATCGCGTCGGAACACGACACTCCCGGACTTGCACTCTCGTTTATTCGCGTTACTGGCGCACGAAATCCAAACGCGGAGCAGTCGCGACGAACACTACTCCGCCATTGGACTCGAACTGATCGGTGGCGGCGCTGGCTGAAGTAGTTCGCAATTCGTGACGTCGCGTCAGAATCGGCCGATTTCATGTAGTACTACGCGCGGGAATTTTAATTCGCCGAATTTCAATTATGTACATAATTTTAATACCCGAATTTCTATTATGCGCATAATTTTAATTCGCCGTATTTCCATTATGTAAATAATTGAAATTGTACATAATATAAATTCGGCCAATTAATATATTATGTACATAATAAAAATTCAGTGAATTAAAATTATTTACATTAAAGAAATACGACAAATTTTAAAATTATGCATAATAGAAATTCAGCAAATTAAAATTATGCACATAATAATAATTCGGTGAATTAAAATTATATACAGAATAGAAATTCGATGACATAAGACATAAAATTATGTGCATAATAAGAACTCGGCAAATTAAAATAATGTAAAACTGTCAAACAATTTGGTTGTGATTCAAACCGCGAAGCAAACTTCGAAACAACCATAACAAGCATCGCGGAAAAGAGGCCACTTCGATTAAAATTAAGTTCACTCAGTTAACATGCCTTTTTTAAAGAAAGAATAAAAATATAATATATGCTCACCGTATTTCCGTTTATTTAAAGACTGCAAAACATTATTGTAAATGTGAATAAAGTTTTCAGCTTCGCAATTGCAATCCTTTGTATTCAAAAATTTGGCCAATCAGCGTGCCCAATTTATACCGCCTCTTAAAAATCTATAATATACGTGACGCAAACTATAGATTTTCCATACTGGCAACTGTTAGCCAGATACGTTAAAACATTCCTATAGCAATTGAGAAAGGGAGTTTTAGATTTTCGTAGGTGGCAGCATTGCGAGTACATGTGCGGAGTTTGCGTGTCGTAACGTGTGGAAAAACAAGTCTGATATATAATCGGAGAGCTCCTGTCATAAAATTACTGATAGACCACCAGCAGCTGATGCTGCTGGCAGAATCGGCGATATAGAAATATATTCCAGTAGTTTATAGTCGATTGAGTTTTTTCTCCATCTCGTCCGAGGCACATCCGTGGGACATTGAAGTCGGGACGACCACTTCAGTGTACGTCGGATTTCCTTGACACTAGGTGAGTGTGAGACCGATCACGTCAAAGTTATATGTAGGTATACCGCATTATTCATTCTAATAATTCCGCATCAACGCGAATCTTTTGTCTGTTGTATTTCTTGTATAACCGCAAAAATATTTAATTCTTTCGAACGCGCTCGCGCTCGTTTATTGTCGGAATAATAATAATAGAGTTGACATAATACTGAGGTCATATAAATTAGTATCATATTACCTGACAGATGCGTCATTTATTCGGATTTTTGGCAGAAATTTCGCTGCCCGCGTGAGAACGCGATCCTTCCATCGTGATAAATGACAGATCAACTCGGATCAGCTGATCACGGTTAATTCCGAGAGCATAGTCCATAGTTTCTTCTAGATAATGTAAACGTCGTAAACTGTAAAGATTATTTATTCTCTAAATTTAGTCACATTATTTATGAATGAAAACGGACGGAAATCGAAGACGTTTTAATTAAGAAACATTTTTTAGTTAATATGTAAAACTCTGAGATCGTGAATCAATCTTTTAATTAACATAATTTATCTGTATTAAATGCATCCAGTAAAACAAAAATTAAAAGAAAATATCAATCATATGTGTCGACTCGTTGCAAATTAATATAAATATTTATTTTCTCTCTTTGATATTCATATTTAATATATATTATTAAATATAAATAAATATTATTTCAATTATTAAATCCACAATAATCAAGAAGTATAATGTAATGCTATATATAGCTATATCACTGCAATAGGTCATAGTTCAGTTATGCAGTATTTATTCAAATAGATATGACTGTCTTCGATAAAGATAATTTCAACTTGTTTTTAAATATTTAGTACCAAGTCATGTTAATTTTATTACTTAAAAGCTACTTTTATCTTAAAGCTATTCCATGACAATTATTTCTTGACATTTATGTAAGTGAATATTAAATAAATTAATATATATATTTTCAAGAATTATCAATTTTTATCTACATTGTACAAACTGCTGGGACAGATAAGATAACTATTTGTAGATAATATTGATAAAATATAAAATCCAATATAAATGCAATATCGACTAGATATCTCATCTGTGAAACATTATACAATAGATTGGGAGAAACAGAGATAGAGCAAAATCAAGTTGCATGATGTAGTTAGGAGATAAGCGATTTGTCTGTCAGCTCATAAATGTCTGGATGCTCGAATATGTGTCTTCGATAAGAAGATAGAATTCTATTCAAACGACTGTCACTATGATTACCCTATTATAGGATGTCAATGCTCGTTGTAACGTAACAACTGAACTCGTCATCGCGCACGCAATCGAATCAATTGACATCGTAACCTTGAGGGAGGAAATGGCTCCTCAAGGTGATACGAATGCATCAAGATATATACCACATAAATCGAATAGATAGTTCCGGAACCGTGACTTTTAGACCACTAGGAAACGTTTTGAAGCAGTTCTTCATTTCTCTTTAATATAACATGATTAGCTTTTGTACTATTAAAAGAATTATATTCAATATTTCTTTTTTTTTTGTCGCTAAATTCATTAACCGATTTATCAATTTTTCGATTGAAAATATTAGCAACATTTATTATTTATCACACTACTATATTTTAGCGTTATAAAAGAAATAAAAATAAAAATTAAATACACGCGCGCATGTTGATTTTTATTTATTTGCATGAGGTAAAGTGGAGCAATTTTTTGTGAATCAAGGGGGAAAATGTATAAATACATATATTGATCACAACCTTATTATATATAGGCTCTCCTATGCCAAGATTAAAAAAAAGATTTTTAAAAATATCTAGTTTTGTTATCACGAGATGAGAAGATGCATAAAATACATATATATTCATAAAAATAATTTTATAATTTAATTTTACATATAAAATAATATCTTGAATTTTTACTCATATAATGTAAGTTGCATTATGTACTTTATATATTCATAAAAATAATTTTATAATTTAATTTTACATATAAAATAATATCTTGAATTTTTACTCATATAATGTAAATTGCATTATGTACTTTTTATCAATTAAAAATTGACAGTACTTACAGTATATGTTGCATTATTTTTTTTTTGTCAAGTACAATTTGATTGACAAGATGCACATTGCAAGATGCATGTATATATGTATAAAGTGTTTTATGAAATGGCCTTCAGGTTTTGGCACAATATTTTGACTACTGTTTAGCACTTCCTGGCAGTATCACAGTTAGCACATTTGTAATAAACAGCAAATTACTCTCAGTTGTGTATATTTCAAGACGAATATTTCCTCAAGAGAATATTTCCAACAAATCTGAAATTTTTGCATATATTGATACCTGTTGAACAAAAATAATTCTTATTATTTTAAGACAGGAATATACATGTTGCAAACTATTTTAATGCCTTTTTTCTTTTTCATATTTTCTTCAACAAGTACGGGACCTTAATCCACAATAATAATGGCACAGAATAGTCCACAATCTACGGAACAATTTAAGTATGTGGTATTCTTGTATAAAATTTTCCTCTTATATAATATTTTTCTCTTTCTCTCATAGAACGAAAAAATAATAAACATAGTGATTCAATGTAACAAAATATATTCATCTAATAAGAATCTGTTCTCATTTTTAGGCTTGTACCAAAAATCATAAATGGCGGAATTGCTGGAATTATTGGAGTTTCCGTGGTGTTCCCGCTTGATTTGGTTAAAACGAGATTACAAAATCAAGTTATCGGCCCACAGGGAGAACGGATGTATAAATCAATGCAAGTATCTTTATTTAAAAATTAATAGGATATCGATATTATGTACATCACAAATCTCTCAAAGCGAAAATGTGCCAATTAATTATATAAGAAAAAGAAAAAGACTTCGTAATATTAATTTGTATAATCTGTTATTTACTTTAATGTAGTTAAGATAATTTAACCGAATGTAAATAATTTGACTTTTAGGTTTGATTGTTTTAAAAAGACTTATAAAGCAGAAGGATATTTTGGAATGTATAAAGGATCTGCTGTAAATATATTGTTGATTACACCAGAGAAAGCCATCAAACTTACTGCCAATGATACATTTAGACATTATCTTTCCCCCGGACCCGGGTATGTTGCACAATATTTTTTACATTATTAGAGCACTTATTTTTCATGTTATTAGAGAAGTATCAGCTTGCATCCTTTATATGTATGTATCATTAACCGGAGCGAAAACTAATCTGTGAAAGCTTGGCATAGAAGAACATATTTTGTTTATATTTTTAAATATTTTTAAATAGTTATAAAGAGAGAAATGGGCTCCTTACATACAAATTTATAATTAAACATCCTAAATTAACTTAAAAGGACTGTTCAATTATAAATTAAAAGAAAAACATATTTTTCATAATTTTTATCATTAATATATAATGATTAATTAGTATTAACTATGTCCTTTCTCAGATTTTATACATTTGATTTTAATGTTCTTACTTAGTAGCGTGCGTAATGTCTACTAATTATATATTTTTTTCTTTAGATAATTTATTACTTCTCACTTTTCTTGTATGTTGTTTGCCACTCAATTATTATCCTTTCTGTTGCGATTCTATTGTAAAAAAGTGTCTGCCAATGTCTTTTCCTCTTTAATAAATTTAATGCATTTAATATTTCCATGTTTTAAAGGAGATTATTCAAAGTTTTAGTAAGTAAATCAACATGAAATATGTATTTTAGGTGATAATATAAACTATTAAACTTAATAACATCAAGATTATGAAATGGGCTTTTCAATGAGTTATTTATTAAAATCATTAAAATTTATTATTAAAAATTAATAATTGAATTTTTATAAAAATATATGATATAACATATGATGCTTTCATTCATTTTATAAACTTTAACATTTCATAAATCATCATTTGTACCAAATTAATCTAAAGTAAATATAAATTTTGTATTAAAACTATTGTAAATTTTATAATTAACATTTTCATTATTTTTTGTGCACACACACATTTCTATTTCTAATGAACGAATAACACATATAGATATCCACGTAAAGTCAATAATTATAAATTGCATTGCTAATAATCCCAGAGTGCAAGAAGCCAAAGAATATTAATTAAATTAAGTGGTGTGCATAATAGGAAGTAGTACATAGATAAGAAAATTTCTGTTAGAAACTAAAAGTATATATTACGACTTACTAATTTTTTTGTCAAGAAGATCTAAATCTATATAATAATGTATTATGATTTTTCTTTATTTCTCAAAAAGAACATAATTGAAAACATCGGATATTTTAATTACTTACTTAAATTGTTTAGTAATTCAAGTAATGCAATAGTAAAAATATATTTATAATTGAAAAGCTCCAAAACTAATGTATTGCAGTTCGTAGTTTAATCAGCAGAGCATCATATTTTTTGTCATTCTTATCTTTGCTATTTCTAATAACTACAGTGATTTGTTTTATTAATTGCTTACAATTAATTCTTCCTTGTCAATTCTCTTGGAATTCATTTATCCTTTCATAAGTTTCTAGAGATATATATTGTCGTTTGCATTGTTTAAAAAATATTGCTGTTTAATTTTGATCTTAAATTAGGCAAAGCACGTTTCTAGAAAAGCTAAAAAATAAAGTTGTTGGGCTCTCGCGCTATTATGCCAAAATCTTATGCCATTATAAAGCATATTGAAGTATATCTCATTCTATACTTTTAGACAACTGAAGCTACCAGTTTGAATATAACTAGACCAGTTTGAAAGCACTTGGCAAATGGTGCGAACAACCATAAGTAGCTAACCGAGTCACAAGTAATCGACGAGAGCAGGGTAATTTTTGCTTCTTCTTTTTCTTTCTTATAAAATATTTTTTAGATCAGTTTAAGAATTGACGATACATCCAAATTTGTACAAATTTAATTATATTTCATATAGGAATTTAATTATCATTTTTAAATTTTAATTTACAATTTTATAAGTTGCATCACAATGTATCCAATTATCATTTTTGGGTCTCTCGCCTAAAAATGTTTTTTTACATACGTAATTAATTTTGATGTACGTCGTGCAATTCAAATTACTAGTAAATTGCGAATCATTAAGTTTGCTTCATTTACATTTGTTGTCAATGTGTTCTTGATGCTCTGCGATTTATTAGATGCTTGAGATATTGCTTGTCGCATAATGTTTGAATAATCTCCCTTGTATTAGGACTGGCACTCTTTCATAATGATTTAAACGGGAACTAATAATTAATTTCGTATTATCGAAAAAAAAATAAAGAACTACATTGCACTTGAAAATTTTAAGAAATTTGAAAAACCGAAAATTAAAATTGTCAACGTAGAAAGTTACTTTGTGTGAGAGCACTGTATTCTATTTTTCTATATGTATTGCATGTATTGCATAAAACACAGATTATTCCAATTTGCAGTCTTGCAATCAGTGAGTATTTAAAACATTTTTTCAAGATGATATTCAGTAACATGTAGATCATTTTCTGAATGAATTAAATTGTGCTCACAAGATGTCAAAATCAATTTTCAAACAATCGATTCTGCGAATAATCACAATGCATTTAATTGATAAAATAAATTATAATAAAGTTGAATTAATCAAGTGTAAAATAAGAACAATTTCTCAAGATTTAATAACATTTTCGGTTTTTCGAAAATTGATCGATTGTGCATGCCAGTCCAGCCATAATCTCGTATACTGGGATTTTCCTCAACTTTTCCGTGATCCCAGCACTCTGTTAATCTTTGTTGTCCAGACAAAAATTGCCAATAGAACGTGAAATGCTCGCCGGCGGCTTGGCAGGAGCATGCCAAATAATCGTTACCACTCCGATGGAACTGCTCAAAATACAAATGCAAGACGCTGGCAGAGTCGCCATGGCAGCTAAAGAAGGTGATACGATATATTTCAGAGGGTTTTGTTTCTCGCGAATACGCGCGGCTTGTCGAATAAAGCGAGACTACATATAAAAATTCTTTCATTGCAATCATCATTATTATCTTTCTTATTTTCTTACGACTTCATATATAACAAGAATTGTCTGTTCTTAATTTATTTTAAAATACCGATAAATATTGCCATGTCGACTGTATACTGTAGGATTGAAAATTATTGAATGTGATACCTCGGTCTAGATGCAACGCACGTTGTAAGATAGTCAGAAAATCAAATTAGAGGTGTAGCTAATTTGATTTTCCACAATCCACATATATAAAAAAAAAATAATGGTAGTAATAAATATAGAAAATGAGATAATCTCACTAACAAATGTCTTCGACATATGCAAGGTCTAAAGTAAAAAATGTGCTTGAATTTCAAGACTATTATACCTTTATAATGGAAATTGTAGCCTTTTTTCTATTGTTGCAGCGGGTAAAACAGTACCGAAGATATCTGCTTGGTCATTGACGGTGAATCTACTTAAGAAACGAGGTATACTTGGGCTGTATCAGGGAACCGGCGCCACGGCACTCAGAGATGTTACGTTTTCCGTTATTTACTTTCCTCTATTCGCCAGGTTGAACGATCTCGGTCCGAAACGAGAAGACGGTTCATGTAAGCGTTCTTATGCTAATAAGATACGCCATCAGTTCTAAATAAGAAAATTAAACAATCAATACTCTTCTCTCATTAGCTGTATTCTGGTGTTCATTCCTTGCCGGATGCGCTGCTGGTTCAACGGCCGCATTAATGGTGAATCCATTTGACGTAATCAAAACTAGATTGCAAGTTATCAAAAAAGCACCTGGTGAACCAACGTACAACGGAGTATTAGATTGTATAACGTGAGTATAACTGAAGTCAAATGTTTACTCGTCGACAAACTTATCTTTGAGATTATTAATCATGGCTAAATTTCCATCTTGTAATAATTATACTCTTGACTCGTAGGAAGACATTTAAAAACGAGGGACCGACAGCGTTCTTCAAAGGCGGTGCTTGCCGAATGATCGTCATAGCGCCGTTGTTTGGAATAGCGCAAACCGTCTATTATCTCGGTGTAGCCGAATGGCTGCTGGGATTGAAGTGAAATCGTCATATCTTGCCGATCCGTGCCATTTAAATGCTCTGGGAAATTGACAATAATTGCTGTAGATGTAGTATTTTGGCTTGAAAATGCCCGTAACGCTATAAGAAAATATCATTGTTAGATGGAATCTCGCGATCTCGCTTATATGTAAGAGAAAGTAAGAGAATGTGTATCAATTGCCGTAATTCTCGCAGGTCGGAAATTATAACGGATTCATAGTTGAATGAAATATATATAATCACATCTTTGTTCCCGTAAAGTGCATTAAAATCAAATACAACGGAATCAATGCGTAAATTTATACTTTGCGTTTGACAAATTTGTTGAAAGATCGAGCCAATTTAAGCAAACAGTTGTAATTTGGAATTATATAAATTTCCAATAGTGCTATGTACTATTCAGTACTTGAATTATTGCATTTTTCAATGTAATAATGATTTTATCTTCCTCGAGTTTTATAGAATATATATTACACGAAATCCTCTTCACACATTACTATTTATCAACAAATCTACGATATATGTACACTGGGATGTTGTTATATCTACAAGACTAGCCAGTTAAATAGTCAATTATATATGTATAAAAACTCTTTAAGCAGATTTATCGTGATATTTTTTAAACAGTTTAATTTAGAATGAAATAATAGAATATTTTGTTAAAGCTAATATTTTGATTACCTAATTTTCTTAATTTTTATTTTATTACATCAAGAAATAAAAATGTAATCTCTTTATGTCTATGTATTATATAACAAAAGTATTATAAATTCTTTAAAGCAAACCTGTAATTGTCGTTTCTTTCAATTTTATCTCTTCTATATTTTTCATTCCTTCATATTTTTTACGTCACTCCTTTTACGTCACTTTTCATTTTGCATAATTGCAGACTGCAATCTCTTCAGCACATTAAACTGTGATTTAAAAAAGAAGATTATTATATAAATGGGAAATAAAAGATAACATAAATAAATTAACTAATGAGCTTTAAAAACATTAATTAATTAATTATTTAGAAATTAAACATACATTGTCTTTCACAATTGCATAAAGATGTTTGATTTGTTCCTGTATAGAATAATTTCTGATACTAGGTATTTTTATTCGAATTCCAAGTTTTGTCGTTCTTAAATTGTCATGAATATCATATATATACATTCGTCTTCACACAAATGTATAAAAACTTACAGTAGTCCGTAACTCCAGAGATATAAATCGTATGTCAATTGCTGTATATCAATATTAAAATTTAATACTTATGGCCATTAAAATAATCAATTTTACTATTTACTAATTCGACTTAATACTTAACATACATATACGTAATTTCGTTTAATATACTAGTTGTAACATATTATGCTGTTGTACCTCGTTAACAGTAATATAATCTGTTTACGCATTAACTTGTCATACAAGATTGGTATATAATGGCAGAGACTACTTATGTATCTAATAATTATAAAATCTAACTATATTAATACAGACTCCTTATAAAAATTCAACTTAATTTTAAGGATATCTAAAAAGTCTAATAAGGCCATTTGGTTTACTAATATAATGACATGCAATATGATTTATAATAAATAATTATGTGTGTGAGCGTACTTCATTGAAAAAGAAAGACATTCTTCCCGAGTTCTTCAGAGCAACAATTATAATCTTTAAGTTTTTTTCAGAGGGACAATATGTTTTTCTTTTATATGTATTTTGTATAAGAGTATATAGCAAAATTCATTTTTTACAATTTCTATTTATTTATAGAGAATTTGTAAAAATTGTACTTTTTACACTTATTTTTTATTTGCATTTTTCTTATGAAATTAAAAAAATCCTCTGTTTCTCTATGATCTTCCAATTATGTTATTCATCTTCTTATGTATAAATTATATGTATCTCTACATTTTTCTCATTAAGTTTCTTATTCAATTTTCAAAAAAAATATTCCATCAAAAAATTTGAAACTAGGTACACTCGTATAAATAACAATAAAGAGTTTCGTGTATCGATCGTTATCACATATGTAAAGAATACAATAATATAAATGCATTGTTATATGACGAATTTGAAATACTACTTGTTTGCTTTAAAAATAAAAGTTAAAATCCTAAATTGTTAAATTATTGCAATGGTTAATGTTCCACGTAATGTGACTTTGATAAAACTGTAAAAATTACTTTCTTGCCAGTGTGACGTTTATCATATTTTTAATATAAAAGCGGAAAAATATATGACTATAATATGACTGTACAGATTTTATTTCGTGTATAAAAAAGCGTGAGTATTGTTATATTACATTGCACTTATAAAAAATTGCTCTCTCTCTCTCATTAAGAATCTTTCTATAATTATTCTTATTAAATACATGCGCGAGTTATGTTAAAAAGTTATTGAAAAATTTCTTATGTATATATCGATAACAACAATCTTTATCATTATTTGTTCTAAATAAAAAAATCTATAAAATCTTATAATACAGTTAAAATTTGTTCTTTGTGTATGTGTAAAATATCTACCATAAGCATTATTTTTTCGTAAAGTTAAGATATCTATTGATGCTATTAACATCTTAAGATTCTTACATATGTAACTGGAAAAATGGGTTTTTTTTTTAAAGGCATATCACCTTAAATGTAACTTTGTTTTTGTCTATGTCTATGACATTGCACAATTTTTCTGCATTCCGATAGAAATTTATTAATTCATCCTAATATTATATAATAAGTCTTGCATCGAAGTACACATTAACTGCAACATACAATAATATTTTTATAAGCTTACGTGTGTCGAAACAGAAAAAAATAATTTCCATATTCGAAAAAATTGCACAAATATAAAGAAAAAATATATTTATATTGTGTATACAACATTTTTAATTAATAAGAAAACTTTTTGATCAATTTTCCTCTAAAAATTACAAATAATTTATAATGCACTTTTAAAAATATTAGTGTCCAGAAATGTCTGTGCAGTTAAGGTTGACAAGATTAAACTTTTCAAATTTTCAAAAAAATATAATCATTACTCCGTATCGGAAAGATTTCTTACCACTCACCTCATGTTATAGTGATGAACCGGTTTTCGGTAGAGTTCGAAAGCGCTTCCTCTCTGCTCTCGGCTACCAGCCAGATCTAGAGCGCTGGGTTCTCTGTTGTGACCAGCATTGGCAGATGGATAAGCCGAGCCCGCGGGAGCATGGGGATTATTACCATGCATGTATCCATTGTGATTCGTGCTGTTCCGGTTGTGCGTCAGTCCGAGACTGATTTGACCGGCACTGTTGCTGTGAGAATGCGCGGTAGTCACAGGTGGACTGGAGTGAGAGTGCGCGTGACTGTGGCTAAGGCTGTGGCTGTGCGTCGGTGTCGCGAGATGACTTAGATTGTGGTGCGAATTCACGAGATTACCTTCATTGTAACGGCCGGGCGGCGGAATGTTGTAGTAATATTGGCCGCTGTTACGTTGAACATTACTTTCTACCTGAATGAAGATAAAGACGCATAATGATGGTTACATACATCCGGAGCGCGTACGCATGGGAAAGAAATATTCTTTGTAGAGTTATCTGCATTTATAATATAATTACCCCATTATGTACATGCGACGTGGCAATGGAATAACTCTTTGAGTGCTGATACGAATTATTTCCATCATTTCCATTGTTCTCCGTTGTTTGTCCAAGCGATGCTTGAGGTGGTCTATAATTTTTTGGCTTCGGAGGCGGAACTGGCTTGTAGGTGCCTCCCGGTTTATTTTGCGGCATTGGTATCGATTTGTAATCCGTGGATCGGCTATAATACATAAAAAGTAATATAAATATAGAATTTTCTATTTTAGCTTTACGTAATTAGCAATTTATAAACCAGTATTTTTCAATCCATTTTTATACATACCTATATTTAGCATAATCGGTTCGCGTTTGAGCGTCGTGCGTAGAAACGGGTTGAACCTGAGATCTAGTGAATCTATATTGATCGTGCCCTCTCACCGACATGTTGCTACTCTTGAGATCATCGGGTACATTCGGGCCTAAACGACCTGTCGATGTGTTTAAATTCACCGCCCCATAATTCGCATTTCCATTGGTATTGTTGTATGAATCGTACGAGGACATGCTGTCGTAACTTCCCTATACATGCAAACAAACTTTGTATCATTTTTGAAAATTACATTATAAATATCTGCATGTTTTACTAAAAACATTAATGTGTATATCTCTTGATTTTCTTTAAAAATTTTATTTTTTATATTTACATTTTCTAATCACACAATTATTAAAATGTATTGTTTAGCAAAAAGGAGAGATCGATGCTTACCGCCTTCGGTTGCGCCCGTTCAAGAGATGACGTGGCATTTGCTTTATGAGGAGTCGCATTAATATAATTTCCCATATCCAGGACCGAATCAATTTTGTTTACTCCTAGACGCTCCTGGGCAGATCGTCCTATCGTTCCCCGTGGCGTTTGATTAATCGGCTTTACGTTTCGATCAACTCGCGGCGGTAGATCCGGAGGGCTGTGATGAGATCTAGGTTCGAAGGAACTACCCAGATATTCCGGCGAGCCAGATTGATTACTCATTTGACCGGACAAGGAGAAACCGTACTTGCTGTCTCCTATCCCTTGAGATCTTCTCTTTTGCTGCTCAAATGATTGCTACGGACAAACATATCAATTAATTATACGCAATAATTTTAATCAATCTACTGAAAACTAATTCATACATTTGAAAAATTGAAAAAGATACTTTAAGTTTGCACTGATATTTTTATAGTTCTAGTTTAAAGAAAATTAAAACAAGAGAGAGCTTATTTGATGAGACACATATTATAAATTCTTATCTGTAAATTAATTTCAAGTTGCATAAATTGCTTTCTTTGTATCTAAACGTCTAAATTACCTGATAATTTGTTGAGTACGGTGGCGGCGCAGTGGTGTCATCCTGAGTAGCAATACTGGGGTCAGAACTGCTCTTTAACCGCGACGGTGGACCCAAAGTGCCGGGAATAGCAGGTGCCGGACTCAATTCCAAATCGCTCTCCGGGGAGGAAGCGTAGGAGAGGCGAGAAGTCATCGGGAATAGGAAGTCATCCGAGAGGGCTTCTTCCGGCTACGATCGCAGACCACAGAGATGACAGGACACAACGTTACGCAAACGATATATAAGTATATGAATTAATCATGGCACAATGTATTTGTGTTATTTGCGCGATATGTGTATATATGTATTAAGATAAAACATGTTTATGATCAATAAAATGTAATGAATGAATTATTATATTTTTAACTATTTAAAAATGATATACTTATTAAAAGAATATATATTAATAAATGATTTACGAAGAAGCAAAATGTAGGAATAAATGTTAGTATCAGCATTTAAAAAACGTATAAAACACATTAAAAATTAATGTCATGTGAAATTCGCCCAAGCAATTTTTTTTAAGAGAATTACAAATTTTTTAAAAGTATTTTTTTATATAGACTGTAAAAAATTCTTTTTAATATTGTAAAATTTTAATTGTAACAAACTGGAAAAGGAAAAACTTGTATTTGCACCATAATTTTTCAAAGCCTTTTTGCTAGTGCTATTTACAACGTGGCAGAATGATAAAACATCCGAGTTTTTCCTTTTCTTTTTTATTATAATTAAACTACAAAAACATTCTATTTTTTTCATGCATTAATCATTAAAGCTGTAATTTCACAAAGTTGATAATTTTGAGGAGAAAAAATAGATCATAGAGAGATAAATAAAATCATGCAAGCTAAAGAAAAGCATGTACCGAGCATGCAATATGAATTAATCCTTTAACTACTTTACATATTATTCGTCTGCAATTTGCATGCAGCAGCCGAATATGTTTGCGTTCGATTAATGTAATTCTTGTATACGCAATAATGTTGTCATGGTAGAAAAATATTATAGATCAATTAAATATTCTTCTACATTTCGTAGTTAAAGGATTAAAAGCAAGAACTTATATATAGCCGAAAAATTGCTCACGGATGACATTTGAGTTGAAAGGCGGAAGTGGTGGAAGTTTTTCCACAGATGTCGGTAAAATTGAGGATTGATGATGTGACAAGAGCACGTCGTGATTCTTATTCTCGTCATAATATACATTATTGTTGGAAAATGGAGGAGGTGGAATAGCGGGAGGTGGAGTATGAGCGTGTACAGACGGATGCGACAAGTCCCACACCGTGTATTGATTATATATCGACTATAACGAACAGAATCGCCGTACAATTTAGTGTATATACGAGCGACAAAGAGAACTTGTGATATTCGTGAGAAAGGTGTGAAAAATAGAAGGAAGAAAAAGTCAAAAACCATCCCGATATATGTATTTCTTTTAGGTGAAGACTTTCTTCTCGACTTTTTATTATCCCAAACAGCATGTCTAAAATTAGACATAAAACATCTTTAAGAAGTCTTTAAGATATGATATGGTATCTAAAAAGCATCTTAAAGACGTCTTATGTTCCAATTTTAGACATGTTTCAATTTTAATGGTCTGAGATATTTGGAGAATAAAACGAAGTAAAATATACGCGCATTCTGAAAAGATTCAGTATGTAAAATTGCCTACCTTGGTTTGGCTCATCCATAGCAAGCCTTGCTGCTGGCGATCGATGAGCTCTCTGAGCTTCCGATACCAAGCTTCCGGCGCATTGAGTGTAATCACCGCACTAAATACGTGTCCCCAGATTTTATCGAGCTTCTGACATTGTTCCAAAAGCTTCTTACTGCTTTTATGCGCCGATCTGTAATTATACGTCGCGTGTAGAATACAGCTAAAGATAAAATTATAGTATTATCTTGCTACATCGCTCTTACTTTGGTATGCCAGCTCTCATCTCTTTGATAACTTGTTTCGTCTCAGCTTTCAGGAAGATAACAATCGGATAAAACTGGGCGTAATTTAAGCGATCCACGGCATTTGGAGTAATGTCCAATAATGCATGTTTGCTTCTCTCCATTACTTCTCTGATAGCGCTTAGGCGAATGATGCCAGACGTTTTATTCTTTCCTGTACCATCTTCCATCTGGCTTTCCATTTCTACAACATTCAATATCCAATCATTAGTAGTTTGCTTCGACAAAGTGAATTTTACATAACAAAGATAAAGATGTAAATAATGAACAGATAGATATATCTACTCACGTGGGGAGGTGAACTTATCGGGGAAATCCTTGAGAAGTTTTTCCCTAGCGAGATCAGCTACAGGCCCAAAGAGAACAACGGGCCTGATAAATCCGGGATGTCGTAAGATTACGCGCTCGTAAGCTGGAAACTTGCTGACGCTATCGGAGAACACTACATCGTCCCAATGATCCTAAAATACATATGAAAGAAATATGAAAATTTAATTCAATCTACTTATTAATGTACAAAAATTAGTTCGAATATTTATAATATCAAAAGATATAGTAACATTGAAAAATAAAGTATATAATATTATGTAAAATCAATTATAAGGCAAGAAAATTGCATTCGTACCCTTCCTAAGGACTTCGAACGTCTATGGCTATTTCTTCTTCTTCTAAAGAAGCTACCTCTGCTTTCGTTGGCACTCATCTCCTTCTTCGTCGCGTTAAATTGCGCGGTTGCGAGCTCTTCAGCTCGAGCTTTGTTGGGTATAATACCCTTCTGTACCTCCTGGTTGTTTCGTCCAATTCGAAAAACCTGCCAGGATCCTACGACACCGTTATGAAGGGTATCCACTACGTGGAAGACATCTCCGCTACGGAAACTCATTTCACCTTTTTGCGGCTGTTCATAATGAAAATGGGTCCTACACAAAAATATACATTAACCGTAATCGTCTTTCACGAGCCAGTAAAAGTTAACGCTAATTGGAATTAATTATAAAATGCTCTTTTAATCGTTGGAATAATTATTTGAATATTAATGACTAATTTATCATATAAAGTATAAGTATTACTTACTTTATATGGAAGGAGTCACCTCTGCCAGATGAAATGATCTGATCGTACTCTTGACGTCGATGTTGCACGATAAGATCGATCTGCTCTTGCAAGCTAAGAAGAAACAGCACAGCCTCCTCTCTCGTCACTCCTTTCATATCCATATCATTTATCTGCGGAAATAATTTTATATATATATATTGTATATCACATCACAATAGTAAAATATTATATTTTCAACACAACGAAGAACAGTTCAAATATAATATTTTAAATATAATAATAAATCTGAAGGAATATTCGACATATGTATATAATCGCATATCACATCTATTTTCTAGAATCTTTACAACTTTTAATAGTTTTGAGCAAACTATTATTTTAATTATATGCTCCTTGTGTATGCATTTTACTTTAATAAAATATATTTAAAATTCAGATTACTATTCCAAATTAAAATAAATCTTTAAATTGAGATAAAACCAAATATATTGTTAGATCTATTATTGATAGTATTTTGCTTTTGCAATCTAATTTGTCTAAATGTGTAAAATAAATTTTGACGCATACTTGATGTAAACTGAATAACACTGACCTTTAAAATTTTATCTCCTGGTTGAAGACCCTGAAGAGACGCAGGACTTGCTGGTTGAACTGCAGTTACAAAGACCCCAGTTTCATTGCCACCACTTAATCTCACCCCTACAGATCCTTCCTTTTGGAAAGTAATAAACCGGGGATCCGGCCTGTAAATATTAAAAAAAATGTTACATACAAAATAGTACTGATCGACTAAAAAAAAAATTAATTATACTTTATCAACTTACATAGGCTGCTTCGTTCGTGGTGAAACCGAATCTTCATCATACAGTTGTCTGCGCGTACTATAATAATCTATCAAAGAAAACAACATGTTAATGAAACCTTAATAAAAATAAAAAGATGAAATACTAATAGATGAAAACTATAAAAAAATTTTCAAGAAAACAACTCAACGAAATTCTCGATAAAGAAAAATTAACTCATAATTTAACTGACATAGAAACAATGAACTATGTGTGTAAATGAAATATACACACATATTTACAATTTCATTTATTATAACTTTCACTACTTGACAATACAATAAACTGAATGAAAAATGATTTGTATCGCGCAAAACACACGTACCTTCCGCTCTGGGCGGAGGTGGTCTAGGTGGATCCACGGTGGGTGTAGCCGGTAGATCCAGTTGACTCAGAGACACGTCCATCAGCGGACCCCGAGAACGACCCCTCGGCACGAGATTACTCTTGTCATCCAAGGGTTGCCTCGTAGGTGGTGGAACGTACAAGTTCTGACTACTGTAACTCGCACCCGATAGATATTCACCGCTATCTCCTTTACCTTGCTGCTGTACGTGGCAACACGAGCTGTCTCGCGTAATTACAATTGAAAGCCTGTCTTTGCACTGGTCCATCAGCTTTCTAGCTTCCTTCAGACTCATATTATCGGCGGCAACGCTGCCTATTCGGGTTAACACGTCCCCGGTTTTCACTCCGATATTTTCTCGCGTAACCTCCTTTACGTACAATCGACATCCCAGCACGATGCCAAAGTCTAGAAATCGAGGTAATCATTGTCGCATATATCTTGCTTTATGGTAGAAATAAATAAAAATGAAAGAGAAGAGATAAAAAAATCAGAATATAAAAAAATTAGATTAAAGAATAAATTTTTTGTTATATTAAATTTAAAAAATTAAATTCTAAGAATAAATTTAATCAATTTAATTGTGTTTTCTCCTTCTCTCTAAAGTTAGATGTCGGCAGTTTAAATCGGGCATTGTTCGAGCTTTTGGCGACTATTATGCGGTGTTCTAATTATACATACCATCCTTTTTATTGTTTCGTGTGAGCGTAAGTCGATGACTCTGAGGTCCAACGCTGCCTAAACAAGCGGGTGAATTTGAAGAAGCTCTTCGTTTAACAACCAACAAAACGGTAGAACCGGAATCCCGCAGGACCCGCACGGCAGCCCCATAATCGGCGCCTTCCAATGATACCCCATTAGCGGAGATGATACGGTCGTTAACTCTGTATGTGTCAATCAAATAATAATTTTACTCATTACATCAAACTAAGATAACAGCTTAAAATTAAAAAATTGAGATTATAAAAAAATATAATACAAAAATTGCGAATGTATTCCTTTTAATTTACTATGTGATGATAATACTTTGTCAAAAATAAAAATTCATCATAATATAAGAAAAATACATGTTTTTATTATATTATAAAAGAGTAGAAATATGTGTATGTGCTTCTATCAAATATTGGGCATTAAAAAATAATTAATTTTACTTGTACGTAACAAACTTACTGTAATTTTCCTTCAGCTGGACCGGCTTTGAGCACATCGGAGATTGCGATCGCTGGATCACCATTAGTAAAATGAGGATTGTCGCGACCTCCTGACACAGCTATACCAAAGCCATAACCGGGAACTCTGGTGACGGTAACGTGATGAATTTCCCATCCTCTGTCTCCAGTCTAAAATTCAAAACGAAAAAATTATGACAATGTTTAAAAATGCAACAATTTTATCGAACACGTGGGAGAAAAAATTTCATTATATAATATATTACAATATAATTTTATATACTTAATCAAAAACTTTCCGTTATATCTAGATTCTAGATTATTTCTATTCTATTATATATAACGTTAAATGTATCGGATAGGTACAATCACTCTTCTTTTATCATTAATTCATTATAAAAATATCATATCATCGACACATTTTACATCATCTTCTTACATCATCCTTCAACGATGCCAAGTACAAATATATATAAGCACAGTTATCTATCGCATATTTAAATAAGATAATATTATGCAAATATGAAGAGTTTACACGCACATATTATCATGTCTAGCGACAAATATCTTGCGCAAAAAATGACTTAAAAGTAGGTATATCTTGAATATACATTATCGTAAGTAGCGATAATTGGAGATTCTATTTTATGCCGAAAGTCTCTTTAATTTTGCTTATTAAATAGCGTATTAAACACGGACAAAGTTCAAAATTGATAAATGTTACAGATATATAAAATTATAAATATGATTTAATTTTTTCTCAATTATATTATATCGACAATCATCTTAATTAATTATTAAAACGATACTAAAATAAATTTAATAAAATTAATTAAGTTAACTTTTATTTTCAATAAATGCAAATATCGTATTTCTCAATAAAAATAGATTAACAGATTTAATTTGCATGCGCGGATATAATGACACAACGCTTAACCGGCAATTAGGAGACTGGTATAGCTTAATTAAAACTCATAATTCATTTCCTACACACGTGGAAGCGTAATACAATGAAGTAATTATATTCCGCATTTCACGGTGAGCCTCGTGAATTTCCCCCCAATTCTCCCGTGGCGTGTTTTCGTCAAAATATGCGTCAACTGAATTAATGATAATCATCACGGGGTTACATTCACTCGCGTCCGACGCGATTAATTGGATTTTTGAGGGTGAGAGGCAGGAATAATGAATCTAGCATCATTAAAATCGCGCGAATTTCAAGCAATTCGTCACGATGAATTTAGCCGGATGGAATCTCACTTCGAGAGCACGTGTGTTGTGTGTTACGAGATCCCCCTTCGATGTGAGAAAGCGCTGATCGACAGATAATCCAATACCCCCGTATCAAATGGCGGAGTTATCGCCCTAGCGTAGCGAAACCATTTCTGATCCCGTGATTCGATCAGGTATTACATCCTGTCTTGAATAGATGAGTAGGAATAACAGCAACAGCTACATCTCAACAAACATTCTCCCCCTATCCTCTTACTTCTCTGTGTCAGGTAGTATTATCGCAACGCGATAATAGAAAACAAACGTAATATGTGCAATGATAAACTATTGATATTTTTTATGATTAACCCCTCGGATACCTCAACATACGCTTACAAAGAGGTGAAAAATTATAACAGGATTAATTTAGATTGATAAAAATCGAACGAAATCCCGCATTTAAAGCTTTACTTAAGCGATGTACTATATATATTCGATTTGGAATATTCGTATCAGTCCCGAGGATCTCTACCTGGCCGTCGAACCCGCCGGTGGAATTGTGAACGGTGCCGTGGGTCGACGAGATGGAGTTCGGCGGGGATCCGGAGTTTCCCACGTGACAGCTGCCTCCTCCGCCACTTCCTCCTCCTCCTCCACCTCCTCCGTTGCTACTTCCGCCGCCGATCCCGCCGACGACATTGTTATCGCTCCTGTCCATCCTGCGAAGACCGTAGAGAGGGTGACGTATCTTCCCTTATCCTCTCGCGCGCGTCCAAGAGAGGACGGGGTCTCTCTCTCTCACGGGCCGCTCCCTCGCCGCACACTTCCGCCGATTCGCGATCTGAGATTCCGCATCCCTTCCTCCGACCCAGAGCACTCGCCTTCTCGGGTGAATCAGGCAGGATCGACGTGTGTCGCAAACGCATTCATGCGAACCTGTATGCGTATTGGAGATCGCGCAATCGATTGGATCTCTTGCGTAAATGACGATTGCTCTCCTCGAAGAGAGACCGTTGACCGATGGTTTACACGTGACGGAAGGTGTCGTCCTCCTTTCCTCAAGTCTGGTCTTCGTGGTTAACCGAGAAAATGCACGAGTGCGTTATCTATTGTTCGAAAGGCGTGTTGCTTTTTCTCCTTTTCCGAAAGATGTTTAAGTACTGCGGCTTTTTAATGCTCTTCGTGTAGAAAGTATGATCTTGAAGAACCGCTGCTCCGGAATCTGTGGAGATCGATTTGTATGTCGCCTTTCTCTTGTTGTTGCTCGATATCCTGCATAATAACTGTATGATAATCAACTATCAAGACGAACGTTTTCCGCTTCTTTTAAAAGTTTGCCTCTGAGATTTTAGAATATACTTCGAGCTTTCCTCTCTTTCTCTTTTTCTTATTGGTAGCGAATTCATAAAATACTAAGAAAAAGAACCCTGGAGGAATAACACAATTCGTGAAATTCACAGAACAAACCAGCGGGAAGTTTCTTATTGTGTGTGAACTGAATAATCTTGCAATCTTAAACCATTTCCTTTTTGAAAAAAAAAATTAATACTCTTAAAGCATTGCACGTGAGAACTTCTAACATAAAACGTTAATTTCAAAAGAAATAATTTTACAATTATAAATATACGTTAATAATATTTCACAATTTCTTTCGAAACACCACGTGTGCATTCTTTTTCAGACGACAAAAATTGCACAATTCCACACGAACCCAAACACTCGATTCAATTTACAAATAACGAGTTTAATTACAATTAATAAACAGTGCTTGAAAATAATGAGAAGGTTTTTATTCGCGCCTTTTTCTATGATTTATACCGAATACTTCTCGCACAAGGTATATCTCTATCTTCTTCTTAGGACAGATCTGCAAGATTTTCCTCAAGAAATATCGAACCGTTTCTCTCATCACGTCGCGAATTTCCTTCCTTAATTCATTCCGTTCTCTTCGGCGACTCGCTCCCGTTTGCCTTGCTCGGTCACGCAGTCGTGGCTTCTCGATATACACTCTTCGTCGTCGTCTTCGTCGTCGGCGCTTTTTTTCCCTTCGCGTCCGACGCGATGTAGCGTGAAGAGCTCAATTTCGAGATCACCGCGAATCTTTGCCGCTTACACTCGATCTCGAGAATCCAGGGTCTCTCTCGACAATCTGGAGAAGCTTAAACCCTCGACGAAAGATCTACAAGAAACAAGAAGAGAAGCTAAAAGATCGCAAACCTTCACGAAAACGATAGCAAATGTTGACAATGATAGATATTTTTTATAGTTCCTTTGCGTTGACTACTAATTTTTCTCCTCTCTGGTTTTGATTCTGATGATGCAAGTTTACCTTTTCGCACTTTTGATCTCGCTTTTTCTGGCTTCTCGAGATTCAAGGGACGCTTCTCTACCTTTATTTCAGATTCTTGTGCTCGAGCGAGAGAAAAATCCCATCGAATTTATATCGAATCCACGAAGCATCAGCTGTTGAATCGTGTATGACTCCAGAATTTTTTCTCTCTTCGTGATATCGATGAAACTTTTACAGATCTTCTTGAGAAAAAAAAAAAGAGGAAAGATCTCGATGTCTCAGAGGCAAAACTGAAATGATGATGAAGTAAATATCTTGATAGTTGATTATCACAGCATTATACGAGAAAGAGGCTCTCGTCTAGAAATTCCGAGACGGCTTTAAGCACCATATAATTATCACGACGATGGCAGTTTCCCGCGAAACTCCCGGTCGTCTCTCCTTCTTCGTCCTCTTCTCTTCCTCGCTTCTCTCTCCCCCTTCCACCCCCCGGTTCGTCACGTACAAAAATATACCGCGCCCCACGACGACGACCGGAAGCGCATTTCCAAAAACTCGCTGAAGGCCGTCGACACGCACAAACAGGTTCCCGGCTACCTGCGTCTACGATCGCCCCAAACGAAACTATCACAGAACCGGATCGCGGATTTAAATCACCGAGACGACCTCGCTCGTCTTTATCAAGGAACTCGGGTCGATCTAATCCACCACTGTAAGAAAAAAAAATTAAATAAAACTCTTCAGCTTCGAAAGCTCACGATTCACAAAATTCCTTCATTCAAGTTGCGATCTAATTTTTCTTAGAGAAACGACAGGTCTCGAAAAGACTCGTCTTTATCAAGGAACTCGAGTCGTTCTAATCCATCACTGAAAAAAAAAAATAAATAAATAAAACACTCTTCAGCTTCGAAAGCTCACAAAATTCCTTCATTCAAGATCTAATTTTCCTAAACGACAGCTCTCGAAGAGACACGTAGAGCAACTCCGGAGAACCAGTCGATGAAAGTATAGGAATTCCAAACCTCTGGTAACACTAGAAGAGAGGCTCGACGCCTTTCTTCGGTGGACCGTACAAGAGTTATTCCCACGTGAACGAAGAAGAACGAAACGTCACTCGCGACTACGGGAATTCGGTGGCGTCTCGGTTGACGTTTGGTCCCCTGTGTTTAGGCTCGGCACTGCTCAAGGAAGGATCGGCACGCACGCCACGTTCACGGGCGTGGATGCACGTCGTGGTCGTGGATGCGCGCGTGCATCTCGAGTGATCCGCGTCGACTCCCGCCGCATATCTCTCTCTCTCTTTCTCGTGCCGCACGCGCGTGCACACGGCCTTCGCGTGTGCTCACGCCAATCCTCCGCTGGAGAAACGGGTTGTCGCCGTGGGACAGAGACGGGAGACCGTTCCTCTTCCTCGAGGAGGAGCGCGGGATCGGTATTTCGGAGACGGTAGACCCGAAAAAAATCCGGACGGAGAGGAATGTCGTCCCTTTTGAGTCCTGGCGACGTTCTCGGCTTTCTCGATCGTCAGGTCGACTGGTCGAGGTGTAGAATCGGTCGTGGACTGTGCAGGGACGCAAAAGGACGGTGCTGGAAGGAGGGTCGGCGATGTTTAACGCATACATACAAGAAAAGAGGCGGGAAGGAGAGGGAAGGGTCTCGAAGAAAGAGCGAGAGAAGAGAAGAGAAGAGCGAGAAGGAGGGCTTAGTATCGGGCTCTCGACACCGGTTTTGTGCCTGGTCGGTTCGCTTAGTTGGCAAGACTACAAGCAGAGGTCGTTCGTCGTTCTCGATGAATGTCTTGCGTATGTATACACACGTGGTTTTACATGTGTGATGTAGACCTGGGGACCTGGTACGCACGGGGCCACAGGCTCTACGAGAGAGAGACCATTAACTGGAATATGACACACCTTACACCAGCTGGAATTCTGCTTGTCGCGCGCTGTGGCCCCTAGGTGTATCCGCTTTCCGTTTCTTTCTATTCTTTGTCCTCGCGGCCTGGGAGTCGCACCGGGATGATATACACGTGTGTGGATGCACAAAATCTCATCGCGATGAGATTCTCTTCTTCCTTGCCCTTTCCTTTTCTCAGCACTTTCAATTAAAATGGATACGTATTTCAGCTGCAGAGAGAAAGAGAGAGAGAGAGGAGAGAAAGAAAAAGCGACAAAAAGTGAAGAGGAGATGAAGAAGTCGAAGAGAACGATGCTGGACCAAAGGATTAAATGTATAAAAATGTTCGAAAATTATCCTAGAACAGAGAGAAAGTAAATTGCCAATTAAATTTTTGTTATGATACAAATATGGACAAATTAATTATCAATAGTATATGAAATAGTAATCTCTTTTTGAACAATATGATTGCTATCTCTTGTATATCATGACTTAAAAAGCCTATCTTAATATTAGTAAGTCTTTCATTTTAAAAAATCTATTAATATTAAACAGCGATTTATATAGAATTTTCATCATTTTAAACTTTCTATACTTTATTGCAATCTTTTTTTTCTTTCTCCATCAATGCATAAATACGCTGCATTAAATATAGAAAGTTTAAAGAGATGCAACTGAAAAGAGCAAACCTTATGGTCTCATAAACGGAATGAAAGTTGACCTTGAACGATCAGAGAAATGTATGCTCTGAAAGAAATGTTCTAAGATAAAGCTGATTCCATAGCTCGATCGTTGTACGATCGATACTGAGCACGGAGATTAACAAATAACTCAACAATGACATTGTTTTATCAGATAAAACTCATCTTTTCTCTCATCTTCTACTTAAGAAATATAAATTAGCTTGAAATCTGATAAAACCATCAGAATCTAAAAATACTGGAATCTAATGACTTACGTCGAGATGTAATTTACATCATAATGAATTGCTGACTTCTCATCAGCGTGTATAATTTCTCGATACAAATTTTACTTTAATTAAACATCATGATACAAAGTCACGTCAGCTACTCGCTCTCGTTCCTTGTAGAATTAAACGAATGATTTTGCGATATTTCTAGGAGGAAAGTTGTTCTCTAATGCAGCTGTCGTATTTTCATTTAGCGCGATAGGAAAGCTAGGCATACTCGATGATTCATAAGTTTCATAAAACCGTTCTCTCTCTCTCTTTCTCTCTCGTCAGTCTTGCCAGACTGACGAGAGATCGCTGAAACAAATCGTGCACTGAAAAAAAATTATTAAATTAATCAATATTTATTTCCATTAAACAATGTTTAATTTAAAAGAATAATCCAATCAATATTATAGGTTTCAGATAGATGATAGAGGAAATAATTGAAATTAATATTTCTTCGAATTTAATAATTTTTTTGTTCAGTGCAAGAATAAATAATTCCCGGCTTCGGCCGATCGTAGCAGATTACGCACGCATTTTATACTAATGAGAAAAATTCCGCTCGCACTTCCCACAGCTCGCTCGCCTCATTACGTATGAATCTGCTTAAGCCATCGCGTTGTTGAATCTGCGTTGACGCGCGGATAACGGATTTGAAAGGGAAAATCCGAGAGAGACTCTAGCCAGCTACACCAGGCTACCGTACTACTTTTCAAGCGTGTCGAGGAGGCTATCGCGCTGCACGAAACGCAGGAATGCAAATGACGTCGTCTACGCAAGAGTTTCGCGGATGGGACGCGCACGTTTCAGGAGAGAATCTCGGTCTTAATGCCACTCTTAAATTTAAATGCCTTCTCGCCTGGTCGAGAAAGTAAAAGAGCGCGAAAAAACAAATAACATCTTATGTGTGCATAATAAAATAAATTTGACGAAGAAACTTTCCTCTTCGAAATCATCATAAATGTGTATTATTTGTATATGCAAAATCGTGTACAATTTATATTAAAATAAATGACATTTTGTTGAAATTTGATATGTAACAACGATGTAAAGAAATTATGTAAATAAAACCTGGGAATTAAATATGGGAAAACGCGTTATATAAAATTTGACAAAGAAGCTTACTTCTTCAAAATCATCATAAATGTTCCACATTAGATGAATCGTTATATGCAAAACTGCGTAGGAAAATAATTAAAATTTTATTCAAATTTGATATGCAGTAGTGGGCTGAAGAAATTACGCGGACAAAGATTGAATTTCGAGATTAAATATTAGGAAAACGAGTTATAAAATTTTGACAAGTTTCTTTCTTCAAAATCATCAGAAATGTCCCACATTAAATGGATCGTTAAAACCGCGTAGGAAAATAAGTGAAATTTTATTAAAATTTGATATGCAATAGTGAGATGTAGAAATAACATAGATAAAGATTGGGGAAAACGCGTTATAAAATTTTGACAAGTTTTCTTCTTCAAAATCATAAATGTTCCACATTAGATGAATCGTTGTAAGCAAAACTGCGTAGGAAAATACTTGAAATTTTATTCAAATTTGATATGCAGTAGTGGGTTGAAGAAATTACGCGGACAAAGGTTGAATTTCGAGATTAAATGTTGGGGAAAGCGCGTTATAAGCAGCAACCTTGCAGTCGCGTCGAGCACGAGGGAAACGTTTAGGAATGTAAAACGCTCGTGGATATGTATATATACACAACACACCAGCGCATGATTCAAGCATCCAGAAAAAAATCTGCCTCGTCGTATCGCAGATGGAAAACCGGATTTCAGAGAATATCGCGTTATCGGTTTTAGGATAATCGCTCGCGTAAAACATCAATGGTGAACAGTAACGCGGTAGACTATATGCATTCAATTGACGTCGAAAGATTCGTGATAATTTTATCGATAACTTTTCGTCAACGACTTCATTTATCCTTTTATTTTTTTTTCATTTATCTTGAAACGCCGCGCTGTACATAAAAGACGAGAGAAGCATCGATGTATCGAGTCGTATAATGATAAATAACACTCAACGAAAATTGATGACGATCGAACACATTAATCTCTCGCAGCATTCCGCAGGACGAGAGTACATAAAATGTGAGAAGACGATGTAACAACGACGACGACGAGAGACACGGTCGATTTGCCGAGCAGCAACGTCATTCGTGCGCAAAAAAATCTTTCGTCAACCGCGACGCACAAAAAACTTATTGGCAACTTCGGGCTAAGGCCGATCCTAAGGACATTTCCTGTGGAATGTGCGCTTATAACCCAGGTAGTAGATCTAGGTACCTGTCGCCGCAGGCAGGTAGCTGCATCAACTATACTAACCGGACGAAAGATAAGGCGACACGAGGGCGTGGTGCGTATTTGATCATCATTCGCTTCATCGAGCGTTTTCATTTTTTACCGACAAATATATTTATTTTTTCTCCTTTTTGTATTTATTTTATGTATTTTATTTTTTTATTACATTTTATTTATTTTTCCATTCGCTGGAAAGATATCTTGAAAGCTTATTTTGCAAGAATGCATGAACGGATTATTAATCCGTCATTAGAAATGTTTCATTAAAAATTGTATATTTTTTTATAAATATATAAGTACGAATTTCGTAAATGATAAAGTTTATATATTTTTCTAAAAAGCAATAAAGCATTAATATATCTTTATGCTGTCGATTTAACGTTAGTTTTCCTCGACGAATTTATATATTATTTTATCAAAGACCGGAAACTCTAGAATTCTTTTATATTGTGTGAAGTTGACCTGCCGCATTTTCACTTGTCCATTCCGTTTACCTGCACTTAATGCGATTGCCGTTACAGCACTAATACGGCCGCATAGGTCATTATGTAGGCAGGTAGCTGGAAACGGACACGTTAATAGTAGAGACATTATATAGTGTCCCTTTCAATATTTTGCTCAATGCACTTTCTACACGGCCATCATTCTATCATTCTTCAGACTTATTCTTGAAAGAGCGCGCAGAGATGAAAGGAGAACAGGGTTCCCTCGTAGATATAAAGGTAAATATGTATAAACGATAATACTTCATTTGTCGTACGATAAAGTAGATACCGAAAAGAGTCGCTCAACTCGAGAATCGAACGGAAGATTGATGATCTGGTTTCTATCGATCATGAAATTCTTACACAAAAATTCTTATATACGCGTTTTCTAAAAATCGCGATTTTTTTTTAGCCGGTATACATTCCTCTACAAAATTGAAAGAGAATTTTTTGAAAAAGCCTGTGTGTCGAAAGTGATAACAAACGCATTAACGCTTGGCTGCGACGTCGTTGGAAAGTCAGATGTGCATATTATACACCTGTCGAAACCGGATTAGAAACGTTTCTCCCTTCTATCTTCTCTAATTGTTTTTTTACGTAGGAATAAAAATTATTAAATATTATAGCTCAGCGACGTTAGAATGCTTTTCCGTTTAGATCTATACTTGATTCATTCTCGCCTTTAGCGATAGAAATGCAACTATCATTTCCTTTAACTTTGTGAATTTGTTACTTTTATTTTCTAAACTTCAGTTATCATGAAAAATTATTATTCATATGGTGATATGATTTAAATAGACCTAATCTAAATTTAAATTTACTACATTTACACTACGGAAAAAAGTTGATTTTTACACAGAATTTTCTCTTCGAATTTACCCTCAAATGGAAGAATTTTATCAGAGTTTCTCTGATTAATATTTATCACAATAAAACAATTAATATCTACTATAATAAGATGTAAAAAAATGTTTAATTAATTTTACTATGTACAGCATATTAATATTTTTTGTTGCGGTAAATATTGATCGGGAAAAGTCTAATAAAATTCTGTAAATTACAATAAATTCTAAGAGAAAATTCTCTCCGTGTACAAGTATAATATTTTTTAAATATTTATATCAGATTGTGTGAATGAGTGAATCGTAGAACAAGATATTTTTCTATACTTTCGCGGTGTATTTTGAATCGCTCTATAGAAAAAGGGCGCACGATAATTGTCGTACAATCAAACACGCAAAGTGCGCGTCTAACGCTATCCGTATATCCGATTATGCGGTCACTTCCCGTGAAATTATAGCCGGGGATCCGTTCTCCAACTCGCGTAAACATGACGCAAAAAAATCGCACAGCTCCTATTCTCGCCGCGTTGAACTTTGACTCTCGCGTTTCATTTTCGCGACGATAATATCCTCATCCTATTAAAAAAAAAAAAAAAATTACAGACTGCATACAACATTCTAGAAGACGTCGAAACGTATTTAAATAAAAATAATGAAATAAATAAAAGTAAAAAAAGCATTTAATATCGAAGATGCGATTAATAAATTCGCCGTAAATGATTTGACGTCCATTAGTGGATCCAATTGACCTGCCATTCTTAATAATAGCGCATACACCGCAAATAGATTGGAGCAAAATAGACAGTCATCCTTCAACGAAGTCACTCAACGCACACGCATGTTATGACACATATGCGTGGGTGCGGCAAAACGTACGCAAAATATGCACTGCGCCGTACGGTTTACCGCAAAAGGCGTAATGGATTTATTGTACGAGAAAACTTTACGACCAGCAATACGTTTCAGCACCTGTCCCCGACACGAGAATCACCTTGGAAGGTCTGACGTAATCGCAAAAGTGAAGAGAGTGCGTCGTTCGCTCGCGATATAAATATCGTCCTTTCGTAAATAACGTCAGCGTAATGTAAACTCGCTGACTCGACTAATTAATTTGCCTTTCTCCTTACCTTGTGTTTACGTCGATGTCGTCTCGAGCTGCTGCTGGCGACGCCGGTACCAAAGAGGAAGTCGTCTTTCGGTAAATGCGCGTCGTGCGAGATCCTCTTCCTCGACGAAGAGGAGCTCTTCCGAGATCTCTTGTTCACGGAGTGCTTCTTCTTCTTCTTCCTCCTAAAGATCTTGCGAAAGATCTTCATGCTCGGTCCAGAGACACCACAGAGATGATCCGCGCCAAATGTCATTCAATGTCACGCCGATAAAAAACGTCGATTCATCACTCTCTCTCTATCTCTCTCTCAGTCTCTGTTGACAGAATAATTAAAATCCATGTATTTTAATTGAAACGTAAATGAGAAAAAAAAAAAATATTTAAGGCGCGACAAGCGGCAAGGCACACGTTACTCGTAGTTTCCTCGAGGCTAACTAACGATAGGTGTCGGGAGAGACGAGTTATTCAATGCACTCGGATGCCGGCTAACAAACCGACTATAGACGCACCGCCGCGTTTACGCGAAAGCCCATGAAGAGTTACTCATCGCGATGCGCCATGTGCGATGGGGGCGGCTCGTAGCTCTTATCGTGCACGCAACTAGATACACGCACCAGATGCACGCACCCAGAGATCGGAAATAGTGTCTCTGTGATTTGCCCGAAGCGGCCCACGCGTTTGTTCGATTAATCGATCGCGCGAAGCCCCACCGAAATAGTGTCTCTGCCTCGCCTCTATATCTTGTTGAAGAGAAAAAAATCCTTTGCATAGTATAAATTCGAAATTATAATACTGATACAGTATTATAATAGAGAGAATTTTCTCTTAGAATTTACCATGAAAATATCATGGCATTGGAAGAATTTTACCACAGATAAGAAATATTAATAAACATTAAAATTACGTATGGCAGTAAATAAAAATAAATTATTTATATATAAGATACAAATTAATTTGTCAAGATAATGTACACAGAGAGATTTTCTCTTATAATTTACCCTGGTATTATTGAACGAAGGAAATTCTTATACTATTACGATAAATGCTGAAATTGCTGAAATTTTGGTTTGCTTAATGTAAAATGTACTGTGACTTGGAAAACAATTTTCCCTCTTTCTCATAGTAAATTCTTTTTTAAAAATAATAAAATAATTTTGTGGCTATTTTTTTCGTACGTAAATATTTCAGTGCCACTGCCATATTTTTTCGAATGCCTTTTAGGAGAAACAAAAGATTGTGTTTGTCTTGATTCTTGATTCAATGAGGTCATCACACTTCTCATTGCATTGATATCGGTTACACCGGATGCACCGTTAAAGGACGCGCGAATTAAAGTTCGCATACCTATACATGAAGAATGGAGAGACAAAGCACTTCCTCCGGAAGAACTAAAATTACCAAAGAGTCCAATACAGTTTTGATTTGAATTTTTTTCCAATTAAAAATGCCTGATTATACATATATACTTGCACTTCTTCAAATTTATTTTTATACCATCGTGTCATAGTTGGTAAATAAATCAAGCTGTAGCTATAAATCAATCTAAGGAATTAAATTGATAATACAATCAAAATTATACCATATCTCGAAAATGTTTTCGATTTAAATACGATAAATGCATTATCATTGAGAGATATAAAGTGTAAAAGTCATATTGATACAATCAAAATATTGTAATCTAACAAGACTCCAATCACAATACTATATCATTTTAATCATTCTATACGTAACCTATTGTACATCTGTTGATAATATTAATCCTACATATATCTTTTTATAATCTGCTAATTATTTTATACACACACTTGTATGTATATCTACATAGTTTCCAATTATAATACTATTAATTAAATACATTTCTGTAAGACACATTTATAGACAAATCTAAATGTAATTTATGTCTTAAGTATATTATAATATATACAGATTTATTTTTAAAATGTTATTAAATATCAAATTAATTTTAAATTATTTCTTTATAGATTTCAGATTATTATAAACTGTATGTGTGTGTAATATTAAGCTGCAATAAAACATGTCATCGCACACATGTTGCATATATAATGCGTATAATTTATTTTCCCCTAAACCTATTCAGTAATCTTTGTGTTTTTGTATTAGTAATATCGTCGTAAATACTATTTTGATGATTTTAGAAACGAATCATCATTTCAAGCAGCGAGATATAAAGATAGATAAAACAAATAAGATATGTGTTTGCACAGTCTTCATATTTTACATATGAGTAGGTGGGAAATACGCTAAAGATAATACGCATTTTTTGCATTTTTAGAAGAGATATTCTAGTGACGAAAAATTATGTGAAGTTATAATTTGTACAGCTCTTGCTAATTTTTTTTTTTAAGAAAATACCAATCTCTATAAATATTTATCATTATATATTTATGTTTTATAAATGTTCAAATTCTAATTTGACATGAAAATGACGATATAATTAAAGTTTCCAATAAAAATTCTTATAAAGTAGATTCATTGCAAATTATATCTTGATTAAATTTTTATTTATTGAAAAATCTAAGTAAACTCTTTTAACATATTGCAGTTCGAAAATTATTAATATATGGTTCGAAAAAAATATATTCCACGTTACGTTCATTTCCTAACATTATTGGGATATACCCCATAAAGAATAATTAAACAATTTCTATTTCATACAAAATGTAAATGCACATTATTACACGCTTATTTACACACGCCCGTTCCTTGCATCGATGGCGACTAATATGGACCGTCTGTAATATAATGAGATAGAGTGACGTGATATCTCTCCTATTGCCGACAACAAAACGCCCATCAGAAGTATTATACATATTGAAACATTTGTTATTACGTAGATTGACGTATGATCAATCGATTGGTTCTTATTACATATGTATATAATTCGACTCGTATATAAATCCCTTTTCACATTGAGCACATTTTATCTTGCGTAATGGCAAGTATATAAAAAAATATTCACAGAATATATATATGTATAATCTCTATAAAAGATAATTACAGTGGATCACACAAATAAAAAGCTATTTTAATGAAATTCGATAAAATGACAGTATTTGATTGTACAATTATGTGGTAAATTAAATTAATTATTTAAAATTTTGTATCCCAGTTTAATGCAATCATAAATAATTATGATTGTAAGCATGATAGAATACTAACTTTTGTGAGAAAAAAGCAGTTTTATCTTAATTTGTTATAACGAAAATAATTGTCATCGATTGGATTCCACGAGCGACCATGCTATTAAATATTACAACAGTTCAAATAAATAAAAAAATTATTTGGAAAAAGATTTGAATAGTGATTCTTCACTCTCGTGTTTTGCATTTATACTTTCGAAATCTGATGGGAATAAAAATATGAACAGATTCTTATTTTTGTCGAACAAATTTTGAACTTATTATTACTCATAATAATACCAATCGATAAAAAACATACTCATAAATAATTTATAAATATATGTATCCAAAATCTTTTTCCTTGAATATAAAATTGTTTCCATTTATGCTCTGATTCCAATTGAGCAAGAAAATCATAAAATTCACAGAAAATTGATTAAGATAACATGCATTTGCTAAGCTAAATACATATTTAAGTGATAATCTACATTTAAGTGTTAAATATATACGGAGAATAATGCAAAGTTCGGCATCACACATTCAATTAAAAATTTATCGTCAGCAATATTTTTATCTCTCCAGTTTTTATTATCAAAATTTTTAATTATGTTAACATTAAGCAGAATATTTTTGCAAAATTCTATGGCATAAAAGTTCCCCATAAAAGTTTGTCAGTGATTTGTCCGGCGATTTCTCTCGTCCCCATAATTCTGATATTATCTTTAAAAAAAAATCTGTTTTACGCCACATAAATTTACGATAAGAATTGTGTGTAAATTAAATGAATTTCGTGACAAAATTAACATGTTAAAATTAATTATGATATAAAGCCCTCCCATCCACACTCGGAATTTTGAATTTTTCGTGAGCGATAATTGAACGATGATCACCTATGTAATGATATTACGTATGTGAATGTGATATCGGCGCATTTTACGATAAGCGTTTATTGAAGATAAAAATCGGTGAGATACATACACCTTCGGTGGATCGAGGGGGCCAAAGACGCGTAGAACGCTTTTTGTCTTCTCAGACAGTTTTATCTCGCGACAGTTTACCCACGCGTTTATATCGTAAGCACGAAGCTCGCTGATTTCTCGACGGTGAAGGTCTCTGTTTTGTTTTTCTTCTTCGACAAATTCGAAATGACAATTGGCACCACCACACCGGTATTACACCCTAATGATGCTACGTCAAAACCCTTTTTGGTTACCTTATCTATGGACGAAGGGAAGGAGAAGTACGTGTCAAAAGTGGCGGATACTGCTGATGATTCTTCTTCCAGCAAAGGAAAAAAACGTTTTCAATTTCTAATTAGTTTTTGCGGTAAGTATAGCATGTAAGATCTAGGAAGGAGTTACAATTTTTTTTTTATCGACGAATATTAAAATTTAAACAAGTGGGCTTTCTACAAAACTTACGCACTCATTACAAAGTGTATAAAAAATATAGGAAAAAGTAATGGAATAAATTGAAATAAATTTATTGAAATTAATGATTTTAAATCTTTAAGATTTTTTCCTATCTACCTATTTATAAAAATAAATATTTGTTATTAGTATTCCGTCTTGTTACAAAACTTACATTTTTCCTCTCATGTATTACGAACTAAAATCATGTGTGTAAGTATAAATACATATAAGGCCAACATATTGTCTCATGATATCGATGTTATCTGAAATGATCGGCTTCTTCAGACTTGCTTACAATTGAATCAACTACTTATCTGTCTGAATATGACACTTATCAGCACAGAAAAAAAGTTTTACGATCCTTGAGTAGTTACTATAGTTTCTAGAATCAATCTAAAATAAGCTTGGAAAAATTCTTTATATATCAGTAATTTTTATATTGCAATTTAGTATCTTATTCCACTTTGTACATGTAAAAGTTCGATAATTTTCCTTTAATTTATAGGACAAACAGCTTATATTTTAGAAAAAAAGATTCTTTAACAATTAAGACATATGTTGTCTGCCATAATTAAATCAACTTGACTTTACCGCTTTTATTTACGCATTTTTTATTTGGTTTTTATTTTGTATAATAATTTTGTGATTTTATTTGGTAGATCATTATTTATTTTTATTATTATTATGTTAAAGAACACTGTAATAGAGTTGAAATGTTTGCGGTTTTTTAATGTGTTTATAAGTACAAAATAAATACCCTAAGATTTTATTGCTCGAGTAATTGGCCTAAATATCATTTTATTTTTAAATATTTCTTTAATTTACACGAGCCTTCCAATTAATTATTTTAAATAACTTGATTGATAATTCATTCATTGCAGAAAGTCGACATATAAAAAAGCTTATCGTAATCAAGTTGATAAATACGGAAGTCATCGAACTTGCACACAATTATTTCAACAACAATTTTTCAAGTGCTCTATAAATTGTTGCAATAAATTATTTCAATTATTTCAATATATATATATATATATATATATATATATATATGTCATAGAATTTCAATTGTCTTTACTTATTTGGTATCTATCGGCGCAATTAATTAAAATTGCTTTTTTTGTAAATTACTAAAATTTTCATAAATCTTGTATTTTTTCTTCATAACATGCATATTATTAAAACGTGTTATATATTGATCTTTTTACAACATATCTTTGACAATTGTGTTAATCCTACACGTGTTATGCAAAGTTTCGATAAATTTAGATAATCAAGTATCTATAAAAATTTCCCTTTGATCGACGTGTATGATATAAACGATGATAATTTCATCACTGTTTCAGTGTACATAATCCAAATCAACATCTTTATCATTTTTCAGAAAATTGTTTCAAAGAGATTAAATTGTTAAGAAGATACGACGTATGATAATAGAGTTACTCTTTTCTCTCTCTCTCTCTCTCTCTCTCTCTTACAGTCTAAAAAGAATTTCATTGTCAAAGGAAAATTATATCAAATTAATATAGAAAATATTACCACATAGTCTTCAAAATTCCTTTCTAAGGCAATAAAATTATTCCATATGCTCGACACATTCTTATTTTAGCAAAAGAAATTTTGTGCAATTTAAATTATGCAACTAAAACATCAGTTTAATTATTTATTAATTCAATTATTTTAGTTAAAAGGAATATACAAATAATTTTTCGACATCAATCAGCAAAACTATTATTTAACGATGCACCTTTCTGTTTATAATATTTCCTTTCGAGATGAACACGTAATTTCTTTGCAGCTGCCCTAGTGGGTATGCAAGCCGGCATAACTCTTGGCTGGACGTCGCCGATTCTGCCGTATCTCACATCCGAAGAGTCCTTCCTCCCGAAACTGTCCGAGAGTGAGATCTCGTGGATATCATCCTTGCTAGCGTTGGGTGCGATCGCGGGTGCCGTACCAGCCGGCAAGGTCGCCGATTGGATCGGCCGGAAGTGGGCCATCATTCTGACAGTAGTGCCGTTCACCACGTGCTGGCTCACCTTGATCACAGCCACAAACGTCATCAGCGTATGCGTCGCGAGGTTCATCGGTGGAATCGGCGCCGGGGCGGCCTGCGTCCTGGTGCCCGTCTACATCGGCGAGATCGCCCAGGCGTCGATCCGGGGCGCCCTGGGCGCCTTCTTCCCTCTGCTCTTCTCCTCGGGGATATTATTCTCCTACGTGGCGGGCGCCTACTGTTCCTACGTCATCTTCAACATCGCCTGCTGCGCTATCCTGCTGCCCTTCGTCCTTAGCGCGCCCTTCATGCCGGAGTCGCCGATGTGGCTGATGCAACAAGGTCGCCAAGATCAGGCGGCCGGAGTGCTGTCGATTCTGCGAGGATCGCGTTACAACATCGTCGAGGAACTGGCAGTTCTTCAGGACGAGGTGACCAGGATAGCGAAGGCCTCGGGCGGCTTCAAGGACCTCGTCTGGACCAAGGCCGGACGTAGGGCCGCCGTTACTTGCGTGGGACTCATGTGCTTCCAGCAATTGTGCGGCGTGGACGCGATGCTCTTCTACACGGTCCACATCTTCCAGGCGGCCAACAGCACGATCGATCCCTTCCTGGCGACCATCATTATCGGCCTCACCGAGGTCGTCATGACTATATTCGTCGCTACTGTCATCGACAGGTCAGAATACCTTCAATACGATTCTTTATTCATACTAGGTTTTCAGAAACCATTTAGCGATCTTTCACATCATCTTTTTCCATTTTTTCAATATCAAATTAATTTTTATTTCATTTTTTCGATTTTTTTATCAGACTTTTCATTTGATCATTGCATTATAAAATGATATAGGTGTTCTTTCTTCTACTTTAAAAAAAATCTCTCGCATATATTTCTTGAAAGATAAAAAGCTTCTTGACAATTATTTCTTTCCTTCGATTTTTTTTATCAAACTTTTCATTCGATCATTGCATTATAAAATAATATAAGACTTCTTTCGTGTTCTACTTTAAAGAAAATCTCGCATATATTTCTTAAAAGATAAAAAGCTTCTTGACAATTATTTCATTCCTTCAATTTTTTATCAAACTTTTCATTCGATCATTGCATTATAAAATGATATAGAACTCTTTCTACTTTAAAGGAAATCTCTCGCATATATTTCTTAAAAGATAAAAAGCTTCTTGACAATTATTTCATTCCTTCAATTTTTTATCAAACTTTTCATTCGATCATTGCATTATAAAATGATATAGAACTCTTTCGTTCTACTTTAAAGGAAATCTCTCGCATATATTTCTTAAAAGATAAAAAGCTTCTTGACGATTAATTTCCGCCATGTGATGCCATATGATGTCTTTCCATTCCTTCAGATTTGGTCGGAAGCCGCTCCTGCTAATATCCGGCGCGTTGATGACTGTTTGCCTGGCTATCCTGGGTTACTACTTCCGACTCAAGGACGGAGGAAGCGACGTGAGCGCCTTTGGCTGGGTGCCGCTCACCAGTCTCGCGTTCTTCAACGTTGTCTTCTCGATCGGTTACGGGTCCGTACCTTTCACGGTAATAAGCGAGATATTCCCGCCGGAAACCAAGGGCGTCGCCAGCAGCATGTCGATCGTGACACACTGGAGCCTCGTGTTCGCCGTCACCAAACTGTTCCCGACCATGGAGCACGAGATGGGTCAGGCGGCGACCTTCTGGACGTTTTCCTGCTTCACTGCCGCATCGGTCGCCTTCGCGTACTTCGTCGTCCCGGAGACGAAGGGTAAAACGTTGCAGGAGATACAGAAGAAGCTCGAGCGGAAGAAAGTGTCGAGCGTCAAGTATCCGGTCGAACCGGCTTGAAAATCTCCCGGCATGTCGCCAAAAATGTTTACGCTGTCGCGTCATGTTCTCAGCGCAAAGATTAGTATATTGTGATGATTCTGATAGAGGTCCAAAGATACTGACGAGCGATGCAGGATCTGCGCCGCTATTTATTTTTTTTAATTTTTACGGAAACGAACAGTTTTCCACAAACGATTATTCGAAATAAATTCCTTATTTTTTTATTAGATGTAATTATTGTTAAAAGGAGGGAGAAAATTATAATATCGTAAATACATGATATGTGCATCGGTGCAATAACTTTTTAGAAGCGCATTTAAAGCATCAAGAATCGTACAAAAAAATGAAACATATAAATCTGAGATCTTTTTGCACACAGAAATTTCATTTTAATTATTTCATCAAATTTAATTCAAATTTTTGTTCAAAATTACATATCATTTATATCTAAATACAGATTTTTTACTTTCCATAATTCATTATTTGTGTGAAAGCAAACCGTGTCGAGCATGTTGAACAATTTTATTGTTTAAAGAAGCATTTTTTTAGCATTATAGAGTGATAATTATTATTTTTATATTAAATTAATAAAATTTCAATACAATATTACAAATATGTTACCGACCAGCTGATGTCTGGATTAAAGTGAATATCTTCTGTTAGATGTCACGTGCTGTACATTTATTGTACGAAAACGTCGCATTCTCGTGTTACTTTAAAAATAAAATTATATTCATTTTAACTATTTAATTTTTATATTTTTAAATAATATAGTTTGAGTAAACATTAATTAAACAAGTTATCCACATTTTTCATCGGTACTCATCAGTAGTCAATGATCGAGTAATGTAAATAATAAAAGTAATCTATTTAAATCCTTCGTAAAAATTTCAACGTTTGTTTAGCAATTTAAAAATGTCACAAAATGTGGCAAAATTATTGCTACGCATGAAATGTCAAATGTCAAATATATAAAATAAGCATTGGAGATTAAAAAATTGTGAAAGACAACAAAAAAGTGTATATTCTCTGCTCTGAAATATATGGTAAAAATTCTTTTCACTGCTTTTTTCCCTGCAATTATTTTTTTAAAAATGTAACTAAATTGAAAAAATTTACCTCAACATATTTTGATTCTGTTTACGATTAAGAACCTTTGTAATTTTCCGTGTACGAAAAAAAATGAATAAGAATTAGAAAATATAATTTAATTTTACAATTATTTTTAGATCATCGATAATTTGATTATTTTAATTACAGCAACTTGGCAACTTTGCCACTAATATAAACTAATTATGACTCATAGAAAAATATAGCATTTACAATTTTATTTCCTTGATGTTGATAAATAAATGACAACAAACGATAATGTAGCAAATTTCTTTAGAATATTCAGTACCCTTTCGTATCGAATCTCGGTAATAATGAATTAAATATCCTAATCTCTTGTGTAAATGAGCAATGCACCAGTTATACAATAATATTGCTTGTTCTCTTCAACAAAGATATCTATATTATTTCATGTGGATATATCGAGCAAAGACGAAACGTATGCAATTTATTTGTGCAGTTTATTTTTCAAAAAAGTACCCAACCACAGTTCCAAACCTTCACAAGTCTTTTGTGAAGAGAATGAATATACTTAAATTTATATTGTTCTGGACCTATCATATGTATAGAAATATATGTCATATTAAATATGATATACAATATAATAGCATATCATATTATATGTGAGAAAGGAAAAAGAATAATATGTAGAAATATATTAATTTCTAGATATTAATTTCACACTAGAAGTAAAAATTCCCATCCCAAGTTTGATCTTAAACCTGTATTTTTTGCGAGATCAATACTTGTTGCAGACAAGTAGAACATCCAGCATTTTATCACGTAGCACTTTCAACCAATAAGGCAATTCAGTCACCGACAGTGATACTGCGCTGAATTTCACAATGGGAAGATTACTGTTTGATTCGAGTTAGGGATCAAGTGATGAGGCTGTGCTATTCTCCGCTTATATACCTCGGACGTGCTTACAATACTGGTGTTCCGTCTGTGACGCACTTTTCACACAGCGTATCGCTTTGTATTCTAGCATTGGCTTTAACGCGATTACGTCACTCACTTCACGCAAATCCTCCGTATTTCTATCTCTTCCCCGTTATTACGCGATTATAAAACACAGTTAATTATCATCTTTTCGAGACATACGTATATATGCAAAAAAAATTACGCATATAAAATTTACGGATGTCTTGAATAATTTCAAGCAAATTTTTATGCATACCTCATTTTACATCTTTTCTTCATTTTTAACAGTAAATAATAATTATTGTATTAAAATTCTGAGTCTTAAATAAAATCCTGATTCTCCATGCTTCATTAAAGTAAACAGAATCTCAATTTGAAATATAGTGTTTATCCCCAAGATATTTAATATTTAAATTTCAAAGTCTACACGAAAAGAGGTAAAGAGTCTATATTAAATTTCAACAGAAAAATTATTTCAGTTTTCAACAAAAAATCTCATTTTACTCTCCAAATAATCTTACTGAATATGATATTTTATGTAACATGTCTGCAACAATATTTAAAATCCTATATAACATGTATGCCCTCGTGCAATGAGGTCGATAGAAAAATATAACGTTTAATAATTCTGTGCTGCGAAAGAGTGATAACCGGGCGACGAATCTTTCTGCTGAGAAAAAAAATCTACGAAATTTCTCATGAAAATATAAATGTGCAAGCATCAGCACTTGCAGAGATATGAAAACTTGGCGCGCGACGACGCTATAAACCCTAAGTAGGACTCGGTTTCCGGGGGTTTTAACAACTTATCCTTCATAAGTCTCGCTGATGACGCTCCACATTGTCGGGAGTTTCGTCGCCCTGTTTCTCTGTCTGTAAAGACTATTATGGTGCGAGGGGATACGCGGATGAAAGAGAAGTTGTAATCACGCGTTGCAAGAATGGTCGGACAGGTAAGAATACACACAAGGGAAGTAATATCCGGGGTGATTCTCTATTCCTTTAACGACGAGCTTTTAATCGTCGTTGTAAAAACAATTATGTCCAATATATATCCATTTCAAAATGTGTGTACGATAATTTATCGTTTTTAATAAACGTCATATCAGTATAAAAAATATTTTAAATACTTGTTCTTTTCTATATCAGAGATAAACTGTCAAATAAAGTTTCTAATATATGTCGCCTCTTCTTAAAATATAGTTATAAAACTCGTTATATTTTTCTCTCTCGTTTATTTTTTGTTGAAGAAATATTAACTTAATAAAACTTTCGATTTTATAATTTTCGTCTTTATAAAAAGTTTAACTGCTGATCTGATAATTTCTTATCGTCACGTTTAGTAAAAGAAAGACAAATAGAGACATCGCGGCATTTACAGGCGTTTCCATCGTGATTAATTTAGAAATTATTTGTTCTGTGACATTCCGTATTCATAAACGCGTTCCATGTCCTCGATCTGAATTCCTTTGAATACTAAATCAAGGACAAGATATGTTTCATAATTTACGGCCCCGTTATAACCGCACGAATAGAAAATCGCAAAGCTAGTTTCACGTCCGTCGTAGGAGCGATGCATTACACCGTGGCTTATCCGACATCGGTAGCTTAGCTTACAAGAAATATTACAAGGCATCATGCTTGCAAGGTTTTGTAGAAACTATGCATTTAGATGCATATTCAAGCACGACTGAATAATCTTTCGTTATCAAGACGAAACAGATGTCCCGTAAGATTCATTTCTCGCGAGAATAACATAAATAAAAATGATGTATATGTATGTACCATTATAATATTACAACTATACTTCATTTTTTTTTTTTTTTTTTTTATAGAAACACGATGTTGGAGGATATTATAAAAATATATATAAATATAATAATTCACTCTTGCAAGTCTGTAAATGCAAACAAAAATAGACTGGTTTTGAAATATCTTGGATGAAAATCTCGAAATGTATTCATCGGGAAAATCATAAATGAGTGACATAAAAAATAATTATCATAATTACTTTCATTTGATTGCAAGAATGATAGTTGCAATATTTATACAATAATGCTGTTTCTGATTATTTCGGAAGCATGTTCGATTTTTTTTTCTTTCGAAAAATGTAAAACCTTTGAATATTAGTACATATAGTTATAATTCCTTGTTATCGATTGTTATACATATTAGAATTAATTGAATAAATTTTTATGTGTTGAATATCATAGGAATTATTATTGCGCGTTCCCTTATCCAAAGCAATTTCAATTATCCCACTGGCCCTAGAATTCTTCTTCGAGGGAGAACTTATTGCAAGATTGCTCGCGCTATACGAGGGAAAGTACCTTATACTCGTGGGAACGTACGTCCGGATGGTACTTTCCGAGGGTAATGTACTATCCAATAAGTTTTGCAATTCACACAGTCCGCAAAAGCCGTAGACATTCAAAACCGTACGAATATCGCGAGCTATTATTACTACACTGCACTTGAAAAAGAAATGAAGCGAATCGCGTGTTTCACACATCCAGCTCCTTAATTAATTGTCATTAAGTGCGAGCTCTAAATCGCGACTTAATAAAACAAAAATGACGAAACAAATAATTATTACCTGGTAAAAAAATTTTTATATCTAACAATATAAAATTATATAGAAATATATAAAATTATACATATAATCGCAAAATTATATACGAAACATGTCCATACATAATTAGATAAAAGTGCTTTTTATATATAATTATATAAATAAGTATTTCTTCATATGTAAATATATATATGTTTCATATATATATAAATTTGACATGATTATATATAAATCTTATAATATACAAATTTATATAATTATAAAAATTGACATTATATTGATATATAAAAAATTGTTTACCGGGTAACGAACAATAGTGATGCTGTTAAACGGAAAAATCACGTTGAGATCACGCTTAAAAAATAGCAGATGGAAAGTAAAGTCTCAAATATATTATTGATGCGTTTAAAATTCTCTATGTACGAGTCATCCTTCATTTCTTAAATTTAAATGTCATTTTTGTCATTAGATTTATATTTCTCGGATATCACGTAATATCGTGGGCTGATTATCTTCGTTTTAATTCAGGTGGAATAATCATATAAAATAGAGGAGAGAGAAATTGCATAATTCGCTTCCGTAAGGACGGAAGAAAATCAACTAGACAGAATCGTTTATATTCCTCCGTTATATATTTGTAAGATTAATCCTAACAAATAGCTTATTACTTATAGCACTGACTGCTGAGTCTCAGTGCCATTAAAATATGGGAAAAGTATATAATATTTTCTCAACAAATTTAAATCCCAAGTCTATTATTATAATCTCATAATTTGAAACTTTAATATTAAATAATATTAAAATTATTATTTACGCTTTTAGAGTTTAATTAATTAATGGTATAATTTTGTTTACTAATTAACGGTAATTACGTCTGCTTAAATTTCCGTCGATAAGTATTTTTCCCCATTTATCGAATTTCACATCTCTATTGTGTTTAATTTTCACGTTCCATCAACCATTTTGCAATGCAGAAAAGTGTCGGTTACATAGACGATATTATCGCGATGCTACAAAGTAATGCGATACCTCGCTTCATTCAATCTATGATCGTAATTAAACTCCATCGAGATAAAATCACACTAATGCTAATTGATCACTCCTATTACTGATTTCCATTTTATCAGGAAAATTGTTATATTACATCAAAACATGTACGGAAAGAATATAATTTAATCGTTCCTTAATTTGCCTCAATTTATTTAGTTATCGCTTAAACTTGTCCTCCCAGACAAACATTAATTCGAGATTATATAATTCACCAAATTTCAATTATCGATAATTATATATCTGATAGAAAATTAATTATACAGCGCCACATAACGTCAAACTGAGTGACAGCTTTTCGTTGTGTTTGTACATTATCCGTAATGAGATCCTAAAATTTATGCCTACAGGAAATCGTCGACAAATGGAAATCCGCAATCTTTCCCCTGACGGTCATATAACATCGTATAACACACACAGAGAGATAATCTCGTCGGAGGATAACATCGACCATGGAGAACTTTCAGACTTAAATTTCCGCCAGAAAAAAAGCCGGCAACGCAAAATCGCGATAATAATAACTCTCTCTTTCGCAACCCCATCCCCGAGATCCCTTGCATCTCATTAACTCTTGAAGGACCATATGAGGTGTAACTCCTAAAATTTTTATTTATTATTTCTACAATTTTTAATCTTTTTCGCTGAAACCGTAACTATGTCACCACTTTCAGAATTTTAATAAATTATTTTATAAAATTGTTACAATTATTAATAAAATACCGGCAATAACGAAATAGCATATTTTTAATAAACTTACAGAAAGATTAATATACATATTTATATAACGAAATCGAAATTCCAAAAATCCTAGGATGCATATTCTCAGATTGATCGATCGTACGCAATAAGTACTACCGGGATTTCCTAGTTTCCCTCATCCTTATTTACGTATATATATGTTTCACGTGGTCCTCCAAGAGTCAAATTGCAACCCGTCGCGACAGCTGATTAAATCCTCGTGACAGATAATCGCGCGTACGAGGAAAATTTACGCGCGCGCGAGACGGTTCGCTGTCAACTCGTTCTCTCTCACATTCCGGAATCCAGTGTCGATTGCGGCGGATTAATTACGGACGCGTGTCCTGGAGCGCGGAGAACCCGAGGGGTACCATCGTTCAACCCGTCCGCCTGTTTGCCGTATCCTGCTCGCCTACACCAAACCGACCATCACCACCACCACCACGTCGTCGTCGTCGTCGTCGCCACCACCTGCAGGGGGTTGGTTGCGCTTGTTCGTTGTGGAGGTGGGGGTTGGCGTCAGCAGCGGTGGGTGTTCGTGCAGGTACGTGGTTCCTCTCTTCTCGCCCTCTTCCTCCACGCCGAGCATCACCACCACCGGTAGAGCGTTCTCCCGTCTGTGCCCTTTGCGGCCACGTACGTATGTACACGTACGTATGTATGTGTGCGAGGCTCCGTATGTGTACGTAACCACGTCGACGGAGATCCTCCGTACGGCCGGCGTTCTCCGGCTCGGCTCGGTTCGATACGCGCGCGCGCGCACACGATACCGATGGGGTTCATCAGTGCCGACAGTGCCGCCACAGCTCTCGTAAGAGACGCCCGTGATTTTGCACCCCCGCTCGAACAGAATTTGCCGGACTATACGACGAGGGTGCACCACGGTTCTCTCTCTCTCTCTCTTTCTCTCTCTTTCTTTCTTTTTTTCTCTTTCCCTCTGTCTCTATTTTTCTCTGTCTGTCTCTTTTTTTCTCTGCATCTCGTTCCATCCTTGCCTCTTCTCTCCTCTTGTCCTTTCGACTTTTCTCTCCTCCGCTCGACCGTACCATTCGTATCGCGCCGTACCTCGCCGGATTAATAAGGTGATGAACGACGAGTGGGTGCTGACTGGGGGATAAGAGCCTCGGCCGCATTCGGTCTCGTCTCGACGCCTCGTGGTGATGTGGGTGCTTGGTGGTGGTGGTGGTGGTGATGATAATGATGATGATGATGATGATGATAGTGGCGCGTTGATACGAGGCGACCACGCTGTTCGCGAGATTGTGTACAGACGAATGCGCCTTCCTCGCCGGTGTGTATCCCAACAAATCAGCGTGGCTGATCCGTGTCCCGAGCGTTGTCGCCGATAATTTTTCTTCTTCAGGATCTCCCACGTATTTTGCCATTCACGTGATTCCGGATCGGAGCGCGAGCTGCAAAACGCCGAGAGAGGGTCAGGGTGATCGACCGGGAGACGGCGACGCTTCGCTAAAGCCGTCGTTGCATTTCCGAGAGACGTGCATTTATCTTAGAAAAGTTTCTCCTCGCCGAGAGAACGCGGTAAACAACACAAAAGTCCGCGATCGACGAGAGGAACAAGCGTAAACGTTTTCGCGTCTTAATTTATTGATCGAGCCATCGATCGAGCTACCCTATCGCGGACTTTTCCCCAGGTTTCGGCGAGTGTTCTAAAATATTCGCGATAATTTCGCTCAGCGATGCAGTCACGTGGCTGACTCTCGCTCATATACATATTTATGATGAAACTTGCCCAGCCGAAAATCGTCGGCGAAACGGATCGGGATTCCGGAGCTGCTAGCGCGATCGGTCGATGCTTATAGCAGGCACTACTATGACACTCGGTTTAGTTGCTGACATTCAGAATGAGCTATGCACAGCACACAGGTACGGACTCCTTGACCTCTTAAAGTCACGACACGATACGACACGAAGAGTATACTTGGTCGCGCGAGTATGTGTAAACTGCTTTCGACAATACGGCGAGGCTTAGGCGAGAATTGCAGCTGCGGTATAACTCGAGGGGACTTCTTGCGATCGAAGGCTTTTCGAGATTTCAAGAGGGTCGTAGTTGACACGGAGAAAACCAACGTCAAATCTGGCTTCCCGCACGCCTTTCATCCCTGCTATGTTCTATCTCTCTCTCTCTTTCTTTCTCTCTCTCTCTCTCTTTCTCGCGAATCCGCAATACGGCGTAACCAATCCACCACCGTAATCAGTCATATCCGCAACGGTTTCCGGACAAGCGAAATCGTCGCAAAACTTTCCAACTGCGAGAATTGATTGCGAACAACTTGAAAAGTCCCTGCTCGTCATCCATCACGCGCGAACACTTATCAATTATTCTTCGCTATTGAAGACTCGATAGCAAAGTCTATCGGGTATTATTATCCGCAATCCATTTCCAATAAGTCATTTCCGATAAGTTACTCCGAAAGAGAACATGCGCAAAATTGCTTGAGAAAACGAAACGGTGTAATAGTCGTATCGCAAAGTGTATCAGCGTCATTAACCGCGTCCACGAGACTATTCTCTTTTGTACTGTGAACTTTCGATCTTGGACTGCGAAATTCTAAATGTCTAAAAGAAGGAAGGCACCATTTCCGAAGTTAAATAAATGTTTTCGAACGCAAACTTCACGAGTGTTTGAATTGTGATTGAATGAACGTGCAACGTGAAGTACAATTTGCAAAATATATTAAATGCGATCGTAATGAGCGAAACTTTGTCGAAAAATCGAGACAAGAGAGAATTTTCAAAATCCTGTCAATTAATCGATCGACAATAGCGATCGCAGCGGAGATCAAATTCCGATCAGGACAATTTAGCGATAGCATGAGGTCGACGAAAGTGGTACAGGATCGTAAGGGATGATCGAGCATAGATCCCAATGACATCTCGGCGGGGCGGGAGCGAGGGGTTTAAAAGTCCTCCCAGCCCTCCGAGCAGCGGTTCGGAGGACAACGGTTTCACGAACCGACCCCGAGTGGCCGGACTCTACGTCAAAAATCTGAGCCGAGAGGAATTGGATGAGTTGTCGAAGGAGGGCATCTACGGACCAACGGGAAATCCGGACGATCGACCTAGAGACAGCGGTAGTCAGAGAAGTCTTAATCTCCCAGGCAGCAGCAGGGACTTCGACGCTCACGATTACCTCAGAGGTGCGATCTCCAGGACACCCCAGCCACCTAGAAGATCCGGCGTCGGAGCCAGATATCGAGAATACGGCGAGAATTTAGTGCGAAGGGATCATCATGGCTCGCTTCCGGTGGAAAAGAGTTGGCCAAGGCGACTGGAGGATCGTCCGAGGCAGGCTTCGCCGGAGAGATTCGCTCGAGGATCCTCCGAGTTCCCTGTCCGAGGTTCCTACGATCCGTTCGTCCGACCCGGCGTGTCACCCAGAGCAAGTTCCATCGACGTACGGATCACTAGCGAGGAGTCCAGACCGCGTCGCTTCGGAGAAGGTTCCAGGTACCTCGAAGGACTCCCTCCTCGCATCCCTTCCTCGAGAGAACCTGAGAGAGACCAACGATCTTCGATCGAGCGATTGCCGCCATCGTACGCGGGTCTGAGTCCACCCGAGTACACCGAGGCGGCCAAGATTCGTCCGAAAACTGCGACGAGGGTCCATCGGGACGGCGACGAGGAAACATGCAAACAGCCGGGTTCACCGCCGGCGGAAGAGAGCCGGGAGGACGTCGTGATCTTCAAGACGATGAACATTGGCGGAAGAGCGGAGGAAATTCCGAGTTTGTCGCGGACGTCCTCGGTGACGGAGAAGCCGATCTCTCCGGAGTCCAAGAAGAGCGAGTCCCCGCCAACGAAGAGAGTTGGCTCCAGGGTGCAGGACAGTACGAGGTTGCGACCCCCATTGGCCGGAACTGCCGGCACCTCTGCGGATTCCGGTACCGGGGATTCCGGAAGCGCGGAGATCCAGGCGGATGTCGTGACTCCTCAAGCAACATCGGGCGACGTTCTCGATCCTAACATGTCTACGATCGAGGGCAAGTCACCCGGTGCGAAGACACCGGGCGCCAAAGGCGGCAAGCAAACAGTCAAACCATTCACGAAGGAGAGCCTCGACAGGCTGGAAAACAAGACTGTGCAATTAGTGCGCGAGTATGGCTTTCAACCTAAGAGAAAAATGTCGGTGGAAGACGGTGCCGTACTGCCAAATAAATTCGAACCATTCCCGAACGAGCTCTACGGTAGGCCATTGGAAGAAATCGACAATTTCATCTACGACGAGGTGAGTTCGCCATTTCGACCGTATATTCTATTTTTCGCCTTCCTATTATTACATTCTTGATGCAATGCCAGATTAAATTATCAAAGAGATATATAACTGCCTTCTTCAATTACTTTACATATATAAATCGTAATATGTATCACGATACATAATATCATAATATTATAATATAAAATATCTAATAAAATATAATATATTTAACAAATTGAAAATAATTAATTTGCAAATCATTAAAACATAGTATTTATAAGTATTACATAATGACTGGTTAGCACCGCGTTATTTCCTTTAGATAAAAAAGTAACTTGTGTAATATCGAAACGAAATCAAAAAGTGCAATTTTCAAGTACAGCCGGAGCTTATCGTAGTTATCTTAAATCTACAAAGAAAAATTCAAGGACCACGCAACCGAGGATCGTTATAACGCGACGTCGCGATATAACTGACGTATTTCCACTTTATCGTCGAATGTTGAAATGAGAGGCGAGAGCAAATATCGGTCGAACGCGCGCAATTTTTGTTTCTGTAAATAAATTTTCGCGTTCGGTGCAAAGCGAGCGGAACAAAGATGGCGAAGAAAAGCTAGGTAGGTAATGTTAAAAAAAAAAAAAATGAAAAAGAAGAAAAGAGAAAAGGGTGGTTTCGTTGGAGAGATGCGCAGAACCGACGAAAAGGAGCTTAAAACAGGGACGGAAAGAAGTACTCGAAGAGAGAGAAAAAGAGAAGACGAGCGACGACACATCGGCAAAATAGAAAAAGTAAAACGACTAAGAGGGAGAACGGACAAATCCCTCTTTTCGCTTTCTCTTTCTTTCTTTTTGCAGAAAGAAATGTGAAAAAGAGGGAAAAAAGATGAGAAAAGGGACGAGATGACGGACAAATTAGGCAAATTCGAGCGCATATATCTATATTTGCATTAAAATCGATTGTGACTCTATTCGTGACTTGTTCTCAAATAAGAAATCCTTGCGGGAGATTATGTGGCTCATAGAGGCACAACTCGAATTTCTTTTAATTATTCTCATTCCCGGTTATCTCTCGCCAACTATCTCTGGGGAGCTCTTATCTAACGAGAGAAAAATTTTCTCTCGTTAGCGTACAGAACGTTAACGTAACGTACAGAAAGAGAAACGTGCAGAATTTTATCAAGCAAGTTTCATCGGATTTCGAAATATTCCATAGCTGAACATTTAGTCAAACGTCAAACGAGACTGCGTTCTACTGAGATATCAGATGCGGAATGTGAGTTTAATGTGATGCTGGTATGCAACCCTTCGCATAAGTGACGTTCTCTTGCAGATTCAATCGGAAACGCTATTTGCTCGAAACATCGATTATTAGAGGGAACAAAAAAAAGATAAAATATCTATTCTCTATTCAATCGAACATTTCGTAGTAAAGTAATGGTTACTTAAAAAAACCTATGGGGGAAAAAGAAAAATGAACTTTCTTCGTACTAGTCAGAAAAAAGAATACTTTTGTAATTTATCTTTAGGAAGTAGAAATCTCTTTTCACAATGGAATAGCGGGGATCCATTTCGCGTGTAGATGACGGAGCGTTATAATGATATATCCGTGTCAGGATGACCCGATAAAAGGACAGTCGAGAGAGACAGCGGAAGGTGGCGAAAAACACGCGCGTTTCATCGCGAAAGGTTATTCTGAAAATGCAGAGGTCGAGAGATAACCAGGTAGAAAACCAAAAGATTTCGGAAGGTGTGAAAGAATAATTGTCGCAAAAGATTGCCTCTCAAAATGTAGAGACCGAGATAAAACATTTTAGCTGGAAAAACCGAAAATTTCAGAACCTTTTCGAGTGTGCGAAAGAATAATCGATACGACCTTTTGACAAATCTTTCTCTATTTGGGACGCAAGTATATTTTGCAAAAATATCGTTCAACTAATCTTGTATTTTTCTCTTTATACACAGAGAATTTTCTCTTGGAATTTACACTGAAAAACCTCTGAAATTTATGAGACAATATAGTATTGGAAGAATTTTATAAGAGTTTCTCTGATTAAAATATTTATCACAATAAAACAAATATTATGTACATAATAAAATTAATCGAACATATTTTATATTTTATTGTGGTAGATATTAATATTTTTTATTGTGTAAATATTAATCCGACAAACTTTTATAAAATTCCTCCATATTGTCTCATGATTACCATGATTTTATAAGATAAATTCTACACTGAAAAAAAATTCTAAACCTTTCAACTAAATTATTATTTTGTTAATTAATATTATATATTAATATATTTAAATACCTTTTGATCTAATATTTATTTTACATGTTCAATTAGCGAAATAATATTTAGTTGAAAGGTTTAGACAAATTCTTGTTTTCACAATGTAAGCGAAAATTCTCTGTGTATAATAAACATTTGAAATGTTTAAATGTCACTAGAGTAAGAATAATGAAAAGTTCACGAGAAAAGAAAAAAGTCCAAAGGCGATTGACAAGAAATGAGACTGATAGCGGTAAAGGGTAAAGCTCGCCGGTTGAGGGCTCTCGCTAGACTGACAGCTGTACATGTCACACTTCTTCCAAGGTCGCGCGGGCTTTAGTTTACAACGCAAGTATTTACATTTAATTGCAGAGCGACAGAGACTGGCTTTGTACAATGGAACAGAAATATAAGATACATTAAATTTTATTTCATTCGAATATCTATGATTCAAGCAACAATTTAAACATATCATGCATTCATTTATATTTAACGATGTTAAAGAACATTTTTAACACGGAAAAAAATGAGCCACCATAGTTAAATTTCAGCTGCCCCTATATTACAATTTATCATGCCTAAATTTTTAACTATAGTTAAAATAACTTTTAACTTTTTAACTGTAGTTAACGAAAAATTCTATAGCTAAATATATTAGCTATCATAGTTAAAATTTAGACATAATAATTAAATTTCGTGTGTAATATAGGGACAGCTAAAATTTAAGTTATAGTAGCTAATTTTTTTCCGTGAGAGCATTTTAGATTATATCACAATATGTGTTAATAAAAAAGCGTATACGATAGATTCTTTCCAATTTATTGATAAATAGTAATTTTGTCGTATGTTTTGAACAATCACACATTAAATAGATTATATTGTAAAATATAATAAAATATATTCGGAAAGAAGGAATTAATAAAAAAAAAAATAAAATAAAATAAAATCTTACGTTCGGTGTGAAATATATTTCGTTAATTTAAATGTGAGATTTCTAATTAGCTGTTGAAATAAATTAAAAATGGATTGAGGATAAAAATTCAATAATTACAGTGCTGAAATGTAGGGAGATAGCAAGACGTAAACGTGCGTGGCATTAGTGGAATTATAATTTCACATCTAAACAGTTAGTTTGCACGTGGTTTGCGGTCGACATCGCGCAACCAGAGTTGTAAATGTCTCGAAGCTACAAGGAGCAATCAAGACGCAATGGCGGATTTGTTGTGAAGTTTCTGCTTTTGTTGTACGTGCGAGACGGCAAACTTTTGCATTTATACCGCAGAAACTATGACGAATATATATCGAGAATAGAGAGCAAAAGAGAGAGAAACAGGTTTCCACGCGGTTACTTTTGCAAAGTATCGCTAAAATCGATGCTCGCTTTAAGTTTCCGATCGACTTTCCGATATTCGCGACCAATATTCTGCGTTGAATCTTAATATCAATCTCAGATTGATCACGGAGATCGAAAAGTATTTCTATCAAGAATGAGTCGCGCGCAAGTTTTTCGAACATATATAAAGAATGACATTTTCGCAAGAGAGTTGGATGACATTAAAACTGTTGATACTGTTTGTGCTCCGCGCAAACTTTCTTACGACTTATAATAGACGCGAAGACAAAATTTATCAAGTCTCATGGACAGACGAGCATCAATTATAAATCTGCATTTTATGCACGTGAAATTGTATTTCACGTTTATTTATCGTGAAAATAAACACGCGTGATCTCACTGTGTTTTAATCGAATTTTCCATAATGTTACCAGTCGCATATAGAAAAGTTTGATCCCAAAACGAGATATATTTATTTAATATTTATCGACTTGATTTATCACGATGGTGTCCAATGATATAAAAATGTTATCCATTAAAATAACGTTCATATAACTTTTTTAATGACTTTTTCGTTACACATTGTTGTTATCAATGATGTAATAAATTAATATAACCGCTATTGTAATACTACAACAATTTACACGCGACATACAAAATACAATAGAAATGTTTTATTATTTATATGCTTTCCTTTATTTCCGGAAAAGTTAATTTCATTAATAACATTCTTATTGGATTGGACACCGCTAATATTTTATTACAAGAAAGACGGTATAGTGTCTCGCACATTTCGGATGTTATGAATGATACGACCCACAAACAAAATTTATGAGGTTTGCAAAATGTACTTCTTTTTATTAGCCTATCGTGAACCGAGGCATCCCGTTATTAACTTATGGCCTCGGCATAAAGTCTCCTTCGAAGCACGTCGATGGGTTTTTGGTGCCTCGACTCTCGATCCGCGCGGAAGACACTGAATATTTCACTTTGCGCAGCAAAAATAAAGAGCACGATCTCTAATAAATTCATGTCGCTTCCTTTTACCGAGCAATATCCGTCGAAAAGATTTTCAATATCGCGGAGAACCAAGAGAGCCGATAGGGGATTCGGACAACAGGGCTCGCAAATGCGATTTCAATCATCTCGTTTTCTCAATATAACGCCGGCATCGATATTCCGAATTATCATAATTGCATATGTTGTCCGTGGATTTATGTTAACGATTAGGCGTGATTTGTAAAATGCAATCTGCACACGCAGCTTCGATCACGATACGCTATTCTGAAATTACGAGGACGAATCCGACATAATTCACCGGGAGAAGCACGAACAAATAATTTTATATAATTTATATATAAAGATATATATTTGATAATTAATTTATATTGTTTCAACGTATTCGACGATTCTCTCGAATAAATTTCTA